GAGCGGCGTGCGGCGCTATACACCCCCGCTGCCGGATCTGTCGTCGATACAAAGTGTAGAAGCGCTCGTCGAGGGCAGCGACATGTCACAGATACGCGAAGGTGTGTTCTCCCCATACAAATCACTTTTCAACCCTTGCTCACGAGTGTTCTCTTTCATCTCATAGGCAGCCCGATGACACCCGAGTACGCCTGGGCACACCGCGAAGGCCGCAAAGCGCGGTACGAGGGCAAACGCGTCGGCGGCACCGTCGTCGTCCACTTTATCAAGAAGCACATGTGGTACCTCGAGACGGCGCTGGCTCTCCTCGAGGGCGAGGAGCAGTCGGAGGCGGAGCGGTACGAGCAGGGCAGGGCGGCGTTGGATGCTGCGGAGGCGAGGGCGAAGGCGGCCGTGGCGGCCGTGGAGCTGGAGTTTCAAAAGGAGGCAGTGGAGGCAGAAGCAGAAGCGGGGTCGAGACGGCATACGCAGGTCGCACAGCGGCGCTCGAGAGGAATTGTTTATTGAGTTGCTTTTTCATCCCTAACCCTACTTGCTGCTTGGACTTTATTATCTAAAAGGCCATTCGTCCTTTCACGCCACAGAACAGCTCACACATATTCTCCCAACATCCTGTCGTTATCCTCATACACGTCGTTGCCCAACTATAAGCAACCCACTACACCACCAAATGTACTGTACGCATCGCACCACACACCATCATTAGTTCGAACCCGCCTCTCCTGAACCCCTTCATTCCTTACGTGTTCGATATCTTGACTTTCCTTTTCTTTCTCCTGTCGTTTACCCTCTTTTTTCGGTCTGGGGTAGGGGAGTCGGTGCCATCCAGGGATTTTTTTCTTCGTCTTCTTACCAGCTGCATAGAATAAAACAGTCTATTTATTCCAATCAAACAAGAATTCGAATTCTGTCAAGCTGCAAGTGGGGAGATGGCGTCATTCAATTTTGAGTTGAGCATGGTGAGAGAGGAGCTACTACATAGACTTGTACAGAAAGTATCCAACCAGATAAAAGAAAAATGAAGCGACAAGACGAAAAAGATACGAAACATAAATAACTTGAACATTTCCAGCTCAATATCGAACCAGCGTCTCATTATACCCATCCAACGCGCTCGCCTCCGAGTTCGTACGTGGAATCGGCACAGACGACTGATACCTCCCAATGACCGCCCGCGTAATAACTCCCTCCCAGCTCCTAAACCACTCACCCTCCTTGAGCCCCACGAGTTTCTTCGGCCCAGTGGTCGTCTGCATGAACCTGCTCGACCTGCGGGTAACGACCAGCCCGCCCCCTGTGCTCAGGCTGCTATCCCCATACGCCGCGGCCGCATACGAGGGCAGCCCTTCCAAGTCCTCCACACCCACGTCCGGGGCGACCTCTCCCGCCTCGAGCGGCACCCACTGCTTTAGCGGGTACGCGCCGCCACACACTTCCCACCGGCCGCCACCGCGTGAGTGGAAGCGCTTGAACAGCCAGATGAAGGGGTAGATGCATAGGAGGATGGAGAGGAACTTGAGCCACTTGTTCGAGAGCGTGCGGGAGACCCAGTTGTCGGGGCGGATGTATATCTTGGAGTGGTGCGGGGTGAAGCTGATGGCGATGGTGCCGTGGTAGGGCGCGCCTTGGATGGTCGCGCGCACGCTGTTCTCGATTTGCTGGATGTTCCAGCCGTAGAGGACCTGCAAAACATTGAGTAAACCTGACACAGACGTTTGACAGTGTCAAGTTCACTGACCTTATGGTACACAAACTCTTTCAGCGTCTTCTGACTCTGACAGTACTCATCCGCCCACTGTCTGAGCGTCTTCGAGCTCCTCAGCGCATCGCCCTCAGGGGGCGGGGCGACCATCGCGCCGTCCACGCCGGTGCCCATCCCCGCCGCCTCGTCCGCCTCGCGCATCCACGGCGGGAACCCAAGCCTTTCCCTCCGCTCCAGCCACTTCTTATACGCCTTCACCTCCTTCCTCTTCGCCGTCCTCTTCCCGCCTTTCCGTTCCCCACCGCCCACTACCAACCCAGGCGCCTCATCGTACTCGCGCACCATCCTCCCGCGGTACGCCGGCTCGTCGTCCGGCACCGACCAGTGTATATGCGCCGGTCTCCGTTCCACAGCGGAGGTGAGGGTGTGCGGTAGGGCGAGGGTGAGTTGGGCAGGGGTGATGTCGATGTTGAAGTCAAAGTCGGTGACGGTCTCGGTGTAGGTCTCGCGCCGGTTGCGCGTGCGCCCCTCGGAGTCGCGCTCGGTGACCCATCGCTGGCGAGTCTCGTGGTGCGTGCCGCGGCAGTTCATGCGGTAGGTGGGTGGGATCTCAGATTGGGCGAGGAGGAAGCGGTAGAGGGCTTCGCCTGCATATGTGCAGTATCGAGGTCAATGTATTAGGTTGGAAGATAAGCAAACGAAAGTAATCGTCAGTACACTCAACTGAACAAGAGGAGATCAAAGTAACGCACCATCCGTGTTCAAATGCGGGTCATGCGAGACCACATCGTCGTAGCCCACCTCGAAGTGCTCCGCTTGGTAGGGCGTGAAATCCGGTGGGGGGCCATCCGGTATCACCGCCATCGTCATTCCCTGGCCATTCCCCCCTCCGTGCTGGGCGAAATCGACAAGCAGGTGGTCGTGCTCCGTCGGCTCTGCGCTGCCGGCGTTGCTGGAGGATGTAGCGAACGGGGACTGGGAGGGTGGTGCACTCCCACTTGTTGAGGGTGCGGTGGAAGAAGAGGAAGAGGCGGCAGGGTTAGAGCTGGCGTAGCGCGCAGCGGCCTCGCGCTCCTTTGCGAGCTTTGTGTCTAGTTGGTCGTCCTCGATGATGATCATCGTTGTTTGTTCAAAGAATGCAAGGTGAGTCGGTACGCAGTTCGCAGTTCAGGACGGTCCTTGAGGCAAGTTCTGGTGCAACGACCACGTTCGATCGGGGAGATGACTCGCCTGGAGAGTCCAAAGATAAAAACGAGGCGTGGATGGGTGGGGGAAAGGACGAAAAGAGATGGACTACGTGTTCGCTGGGCTCTGATTTGACCTTTGGGCAGTTGGCAGTTGCTCTTTGAGAGGGATGCCGGGAGCGTGATGGCCTCGCTCGGCAGGTCGCTGCGGTCAACGAATATCCTTTTGTGGGTGATGGTGCACGTCATGTTGCCGTTGGCGTCCTTCCCCGCAGTACCCGGCGTGGCTGTGCTGATGCTGCGATTGGCGGATTGTGTCTAGACCAACTTTATCATTATCAGTTCCAAGGCTGACCGCTGAAGATCAACTCCAATCCATGAAGAGGTACTTAGTTATGTTCGTAGGACAGTCAGCGTATGCAGAGGAAAGCCTTCTCGCGAAAGAGAAAGAGCGACTGATCGACTGATAAATTCTCCGCCGATCGCCCATTGCGGGAGTTGCTGGGCGGCCCGCGGGTGTCTTGTGTGTGTGGCGCACTTTACCGAAAAAATACTGTAATTAGAATCGTGTGTCATGAGTTTAGATCATCTACATAGAGCAGCAATAGGTGGTCGTGTAGTCAAAGTCGTAGTGGTGTCGCGCATGCGCAATAAACCCGGGTATGCAGAGAGAATACATAGCGCGCCAAAAACCCCAAAGAAAAAAAAATCAATACCCCTCCAACGCACCTACTGCATACCCCTCAAGCTGATTCGCCGGGTCCGCAGGTCCATCCCTCACGCTCCTGAGCGGCTCGTCGCGCTGCAGCCTCATCTTCGCGCACCTCTTGATCACCTGCTCCCACTCCCTGAACCACTCGCCCTCCCTCAGCCCAATCAGCTTCTTCCGTACCCCATCCGCGCCCACCACGATCCTCGGCTCCCTTGTCACCCCCTCGCCCTCCCAGCTCCCCTCCCTCCTATACCCACTCAAATCCTCCCCCTCTTGCACCGGCTCACAACACACCAGTCCATACGCCGCACCGCCCACCTCCCACTTCCCCCCGCCGCGCGAAGAGAAGCGCTTGAACAGCCAGATGAACGGGTAGATGAGGAAGATCCAGAGGAGGACCTTGTATAGTGTGCGGGAGAGGGTACGGGAGAGGCGGTTGTCGGGGCGGATGGCGATGCGGGAGAGGGAGGGGAGGAAGGAGGCGGAGATGGTGCCGGTGTAGGAGGTGCTGTGGATGGAGGATGTGATGGCGGATTGGAGTTTGGTGGTGTTCCAGCCGTAGAGGGACTAATTGGGGGTGAATAAAGGAATAAAAGGTCATATGTGAGTAAAGACGGAAGAAGGGATATGAGAGTAATTAGCGCTAAATGCAAGATGATGATTTGTTCGGAACAGCACCTTTTCGAAGAGAAACTCCTTGAGGAGCTTGGGGCTGGCGGCGTACTCGTCTGCCCACTCGCGCAGGGTCTTGCTCGATGCCTGCATCTTGCAGCGTGTCGTGCGATCGAGGTTCTCCCAAGGCGGGATGCCCTCGTTTATGTGGGCGTGCTCGTCGACCTTGAACGCCTTGATCTCATCTTTCGTCGCCTTCCTCCTCCCAGCTATCTTCAGCTTCCCTCCGGCCTTCTCTACATCCGCATTGGCATTAACCGCCGGCGCAGAGTCGACCTGGCGCACTGGCAACCCGCGGTACGCCGGCGTCTCGTCGGGGTAGGTCCAGTACGCAGGGCCGACGGTGATGTAGTCGGTAAGGTCGATGGAAAAGTCAAAGTCGGTGATGGTGACGGTGTAGTGCTCAACGCGGGTCTGGTGTGTGCCGTTGACGGTGCGGGTGACGGTGCGGGTGCGGCGTTCCTTGTGTGTGCCGTTGATGGAGAGGGTGTATACGGGTGGCTTCTTGCATTGGTCGAGGAGGAAGCGGTAGAGGGCTTCGCCTAGATAGAAGAGTGAGGATAAGGATAAGGAATAGTGCGGGTTGTGAGGGGGACGGACCGTCTTCGTTGAGGTGATGATCGTGGGAGATGACGTCTCCGTGGCTGGAGAGGAAGAACTCGGGCTCGTAGGGTGCGAATGGTGGCGGAGGGCCGTCTGGCACTTGTTGTTGTTGTGGTTGTGGTGCAGCAGCATTCTCGGTGTCTGGGACCTTGCTGTCGGTGGAAACGTGGGCGTCCTTGAGGTCAGACTGCGTGGAAGATTGGCCGGATGTGCCGGTGAGCTCTGGGAGGGCGTCCTTCTCCGCCATGGTCGTCGATGAGCAAAGAGTGTTGGGAGAACATTGCGGTGCTGAGTAGCGAAGGGCGGACCAGGGCCAAAATGATTTGCGGGCTTGGCGTGACTTGGCGCCATTTTGGAGGGCGAGCAGGTTATTGTAGCCGAGGATGTACCTTTACGTTTTGCTACGATAATGGTGGGTATCTGAACAGGACTCCAGGTCGGTCGTTGCAAAGCTAATTAATGCGCAAGCTAACTGGCCGCTGCTCCACCATGGCTCTTGTCTCTCCCCTCCATGTCCTCCTCTAATGCCCCGATAACGACACAATCCACTAACGACTCCCCCTCCGTCCCCGTCACACCTTCCCCGCCCGCCACGTCTGACTCTACCCCGCCCTCGTCGTCCGCCATTCCGCCCCCTGCGTCCCCGTCGACGCCCGCCCTGCCCTCGACGACTTCTGCTCCGATGTCATCATCCGCCTCCACTGTCCCCACCTCCACAGAGTAATCGTTTGTCTTCTCTCCACCTAAATCTGTTCTCACGATAAACACAGTTTCTCTATTTCCTCCACTTCGTCCATGTCCTCGGCCCCTCCAGACACTTCCGTCACTACCACCACCACCGAGTCCTCTGTCTCGTCAGACTCATCCACCGCCTCCTCCATGTCCTCCTCCACCTCCACCACAACCGAATCCTCTTCCTCCACTTCCATTTCTTCTTCATCCTCATCTTCGTCCGACGACTCCTCCAGTTCTTCTTCCTCTTCATCCGACTCCAGCTCCTCTTCCTCCTCATCTACCGTACCTCCCACCTCCGAACCACCCCCGCCACCCTCTTCCTCGTCCTCGTCAACATTCTCCGAACCTCCCAGCTCCACCCCGCCACCGCCCCCATCAACCACACCTCCTTCCGCGTCGCCCTCTCTACCGCCTGTCGCCCCATCGTGCGTCCTTTTTTATCCCTTCGGCCTATTTAGCCGTCATTAACGATGTCATACTTCCAGCACGACTTTCTCCTCCCTCGTCTTCGTCCCAACAACTGATAGCCGCGGCTCCCTCACCTCAACCGCACCGGCCGTCATCACCACTACCTCAACCTCGACGCAGGCAAATGGCTCCCTCATCACCATAACCGAAATAATCGCAAATCCTACCCTCAGTCCAGACAACGGGAATTCAAAGGGTTCAGCGTGAGTCCGCCGGCACCCTTCTCCCTCTCTGTAATTTTAATCTAACCTTGTACCCTGCCTTTTCCATGCAGTTTCTTCCGAAACACGGGCGCAGTCGCCGGCGTGTTCGTCCTCGTGGGCCTCGCAGCTGCCTCTATCATCCTCTGGATCTTATTCGCCGTAAGAAGACGCCGCCGCACACGCCGCATCGAGCACGACACCGCAGTCTCCGCCACACTCGCCGCCGCGGGCTTCCACCGTACCCCGCTGGATGACGACGACGACGACGGCCCGCTCGGTGGTGGCGGCGGCGGCACGCACTCCCACTCACTCTCGCACCACTCGGATCCCTACCTCGCGCAGCGACGCTCGAGCTCTGGGCTCGCCATGAGCTCGATACCGAGCGCGGGACGGCTGAGCGCGTACCTGGACACCGCTCCTCTCCAGCCAGATGACAACGAGGCGTACAACCCGTACGCGGACTATATCGTCCCTGCTGGCTCCCGCGAGGGGTACGTCTCCGGCACGGGACTCGCGGGAGGCGCAGCGGGTGCCGGTGGGGCGGCCCCACCGAGTGCGTTCCTCCCGTATAGGGACCGCAGCTCGAGCGGTGGGCTCGCGGAGTTGGGCATGATGGGCGGGTCGACGCACGGGCACACGCACAGCGCGAGTGGGAGCCTCGAGCCCCTCCTCTCGTATTACCGCAGGTCGCTCACGGGCCCGCCCTCCGAGTCGCCCCCAGCTGTAACTACCGCCCTGCCCCCTGGGGCTGCGAACCCTGGTTCCGGGGACTCGTCGCCGACCGCACCGCTCATCCCTGCCGGGAACCCGCCTCCATATGCCTCCCAGACCCAGACGTCTAGTACCCCTGCGAGCGGTGTGCCGTTCCCGACGGGTCGTCCGGAGGTGGTGAGGAACCCTACGTCATCGGTGTATTCGTCGGAGAGTACGGGAGATGATAGGCTCGATCCTGGGCTGAGGAGGCGCATTCAGAACGACGGGGCGTCGACGCATGACTTGAGGGATAATGAGGACTATTCGAGGCCTGTGCTTGGGGTAAGCTTTGTTATTTTATGCGAGTTGGAATGGTTGGTTGACCTCTTATGCTCTGATAATAGGTTCGGAATCCCGACGCCGCGAGCTTGATATCTTCCAAGTAACCAATATCTGGCTCTGCCCTCTCGGACCCACCTTCCTCTTCCCTTCTTTTCCTCTCCTCGACAATAGACACACTCGAGCGTCCCTCCCTCTGGCCAGCACCAAACTCGAACTCGTACGCGAACTTGAAACACCCGCCTTCCATCTTCCACCTTCCGTTCTTTCCGAATGTTGTACTTTGTACCTTGTCGCCATTCCTTCGCTTCGCTGCACTAAGAACGAGATATCGTCCGCCCGTTATACTTACTATCGCCGCCTGCCTACAGCCTTGCTTAATCTCGCTTTTCTGTTCGAGTTGGCCAGAGGGGGGGTTTCCTGCAAGATTTTCGAAAAATACAACGCACACGCACCGACTCTCGCACCGACTCTCGTTCTCTGCATCATACACGCATCTCACCACCATCCATTATCCATTCACCATCCGTCCATTCATCCTTGTGTACGGCACGATGAGACCTTCCACTTTCTTGACGGACTTGAATTTCCTTTCCTTCCTTCCTTCTCCTTTCCGTCGTTTCTTCCTTCCTGTGCCGCCGTTTGTCGCCGTACTGTATATTATTATCTACGCCCTGCGCTCTGTTCACTACATGGTGTCGCAAGCGTTGCTTTTTTTGATTCTGGATGCTTATGGACATGGCGCCAGTCGTATACGTACTTGCCGAGTACCTCTTCTTCCTTCTCTTCCTCTCTCTCTTACCTACTCGCACGTCCCTATAACATATATTACCTTCTTCCCCGTCACCTACCCTCTTCTGCCTAGAAAAATCTACATTTAACAACCACACAAGCACCACCAATCCCCACCCCTGCATACATCCTTAAAACTCATGTTTCGTCACGAACGCCACGCCACGACGCTCTCGCTCTGCATACCGGACTTTCTTTTTCAACAACCCCACACTCCTGCACCTCGCACCCCGTACTCCTGCACTCCAGACCTCGTCATTTTTTTTGAACAAGTAGTTAGTAGTCACCTCGTTAGCAGTTAGTTATCATTAATTTCCTCCTTTTTCCCCATCTCAGAGTCGTACGTTGAACCCTTGAGGCTTCCCCTTCTAGAGTCTGAAGGGGCTCGAAGCTGTGGTGCCTCCAGGTGCCTCCCAATCGACATTCCGACCAGAGCTACTTCAGTTTCGCCGTAGTACTTGGGGCCGCACCTACCTACTTGTCCTGGTACCTCAAAGCCCAATTCCGAGCTCATGGTTCTGTGTTCCTCGACATTCATGCATTCGTCCATCCGTCCATCTGTTCATTTGATTGCACTCTGTCCAAGGATCAAGCTCGAGATGTACAGCAAGGCACATAATTACACCTTATCCAGCCTCGGGATCCAGATCGTGTCCTCTCGCACCAAGCATCCTATCGTCCTTGCACCGCCAGCAACGGCGGTAGAACAACACGTACGCTTCTGCGAAGTTCGAACAAAGATGGCCGAGGTCCTTCGTGGTGGAGGTGAGGATATTTAGCGGGTGTAGGGCGTATCTTAAGTAGACTTCAGTATCAATCTTTGAATCTTTGATCCTTACTAGAATCGTCGCCAAGACGCCTTCAATATTAATGGACAACCAACTCTACTTATAGTGACCGCCACCTTGAACCCATTGGCTGATCTGCGAGGTCTGGAGGGAGTGGAGCTCCATCGCAATTACCATGATCCCACAGACGACAGTCCTGGGATAAGGATAAGAATCGACTCGACTCTAGTCTTTGCGAAATGAAAATATGTAAATGTAAGTGTGAAATGGAACTCGATGTCGAGGGAGGAGGCTGTTCCTGTCGTCGGCGTATGTTATTCCCCTGGCGGAGGGGCGATAGCTGGGTGATTGAAATTTCGCGCTAGTCCTGGAATAAGGTGTGTCTTGCCACGGTCTTGAGTTTGGTTTTTCCTTGAGAGAAGTGCGAATAAGGTAGCGGAAAGAAAGACTGTGCCATATGGGAGTGGCTCAAGATGGGTTGGATTTTCACATCTGCTCCTGCAGGTGACAGGGAATATAGTAGGCGATTGTTGTTTTTCTGTTTTCCTGTTTTCGAGCGTGGATGCGCCCCCATGGACAGGGGACCAGCTGTAGAATAATATTAGATCCCGTTGAGATAGGAAGAGATGGGGCAGCTTTCGACAAAACCCAACGCACCTCGCTTTCATGCCTGACGAACCGAAACACTACACCCCAATTTCTGAAATGATGACGCGTAAACCAGTCTCTGCGCCTGTCGAGTACGGCTCCGGGAACGATTTCTGGGTCGAATACTCCTCTGGACTCGTTGATCTGTCGCGTACGGACCATCTACCGGCAGATGGTGGTCTATGCCACAGTCAGCCTGAGCTCAAGGAACACCAGGCGGATATCGACGTCGACGTCGGGCGCACGATTCGGGTCGATAAGACTAGGACGGCGCTTATAGTCATCGACATGCAGAAGTAGGCGAAAAAAGAAACTTGGAGGCATCGTGCTGATCATAGAACGCCGTGTGCCTAGTTTCTTCCTTCATCCGGACATTCGAGCGCATCCTCTAGGTTTGAAGTGCGTCGAGCCGCTATTGCAAGTCATCCCACTCCTTCGTGCGATGGGAAGCAAGATCCTTTGGGTGTACGTAGCTTCTTTCTTTCCTTTATCGGAGCTGGGTATTCAAAGGTCAATTGCCTGCGACAGGAACTGGGGTTTAACAGAGCACGAGCTCAAGACAACCCCGCCGTCCCTCATCCGTGGGTTCAGAAAGCACAATGGAGGCGGTTTCGGGTCCGAGCTTCCAGGAGACTTTGGTCGCCTTCTGATGCGCGATGAGTACAACTCTGCACTGTACGGTCCTCTCCAGGCCGAATTCGAGAAGGGTAGACAGGCAGGAACCGATTTCTGGATTCACAAGAACCGGTAGGCTCACTGACCGAATGAAACCGACTCCGCTATTGAACTATGTGGCGCTTTTTTTTTTTTACAGCATGAGCGGTTTATGGGGATATCAGACTGCGCTCGACCTGTTCCTGAAAGAAAACGGGATCACGACTCTGCTCTTCTCGGGAGTCAACACTGACCAGGTAATGGGCATTCAAGTACCCGAAAGTCGCGATTGAATTGTTCTTTCCCTTCAGTGCGTTCTTGGTACTCTGGTAGACGCGTACTTTCGGGGATACGATTGCATCGTTCTCAGCGACGCAACGGCAACAACGTCACCCGACGGCGCATATGAGAATGTTATCTATAATGCCGGAGGCGTGAGTGTACAGTCACCCAAACTGTGAATAAAGAACACTCACCTTGTTCTCAGAGCTATGGCTTCGTGACGGATACAAAGCGATTGATCGCTGCGGCGAAGTAAGTAAAATATCGAAGTACTTGGTAGGACTGAGGCATCTTTTTCGTATTGGGTAGGGTACGCTAGGCGGTCATGAGAAAACCCAACGCTAGAATGAGAATTTGCAGTCCAGTTATGGATACATCCTCCGAGCATAAATTACATAAAGGCAGTATTTGAAAGCCTTCAAACGCTGCCTACAGTTAAGAATTGAATACATATGTATATACTCCGCACAATTAGGTGATCGCACGGGCGCGAACCTACACAGATCGGGGAGTCAGCTGGCGCAAAATTGGACTTGTATGTACGCACATCTAAGAGGGTCCGGCGCGTGAATATATCCTGAGGGCGAGCTTCCTGGGGGCGAACCTCAGAAATAGGGCTCGGAGGCATCGAGTTTGACTGGGACGAAATAGATGCCGGTGGAGTAGGTGGAGCATAGTCAACGATTTTGGCACTTTCTCGGAGATGGGAGCGGGGAGGCCTCGGCGGAACACTTGTCACGGGAGCAACGGGCTTCGATAAATCACCTTGACCGTCGTGGTCGTCATTGACTGGTGGTAGACTTGCAGGATAAAGAGAGGGTGTTGAAGGTGCAAAGGAATTCCTGAACGGACTGCGCACAAGCAAATCAAGGTCGACATTGTCCAAATGTTGAAGCCCATTCCCGAGATGTTGGGGATGCGGCTCTGATGCACCTCCATTGCGGAGACTTCGGCGGTTATGGGTCATTATTGGTGCATCAATCGCTGGGCTGACGCTCCTGTGTTCCATACTAACAGCATCCTGGGCATTGCCGGCCGTCCTCATTTGCGGTGAAGTTTGTGAATAGCTGTCATAAGGATCCTGGAACGGGTCCACAGAGGGGGAGGGGGGTTGCTGTTGCCGCATACCAACTAGCCAGCGCAGGCGACGATTTTTACGACGTCGGCGGCAGACGAGAAATATTATACCACCTATGATTGCTGCAATCGCGAGTCCTACTGCCACGAATATGCCCGCAAGGGCGCCTTGATTGTGGAGAATGCCACTACAAGAGGGTTAGAGAGTTTGACGAAAGGGATGATCATGAAGTTTACCCTGCTTCACTCGTCACACGTTGTCCATCGTTGAAACCAGGATTGGCGACCACCTGAGTTATGGTTACAAGTCCGCCGTCCGGTTCCGTCGAAGTGCTCAGGATGGTAACCAAAGGAGGCGTGGTCAAGAAGTCGATTCCATTGGAATCCGTTGAAGTGAGCACAACTGGGCTCGACAATGTTGTGTCCGGATGAGTGGTCACTGTGCTTGTCCTGGCAGGGTTAGTAGCTCGAACGAGAGTGACTGTCAGGTAATTAAGATATTCAAAGTTAGCGAGATTTCGAAGAGCAGGAGACAACTTACGCGATGTAGTAGTTAAGGCTGGGCGGATAGAAGTTGCTGGAGGCGCAGTATTTTGTGCAGTAGATTGCGATGTCGCTCTCGGAGGTGTTGCTGTTGACGATGGAGGAACAGAAGGAGTGGCATCAGCTCTTGTCGTTGCGGATGCGGGGGGAGTCGATGGCTCAGATGACGCAGTCCGGGTGGTACTTGAAGAGTCTGAAGACATGCTGTGAGGTTATCAGTAGGTATTCCAGAAAGTAATTGATGAATGTACGAACTCGCCGTTGCCTGGAGCAGGAATTGGCGCGGGTGGGCCTGCTACTTGGGTGGGTGCAGAATGAGATGGTTGAGACAATGTAGCCGATTGAGAGGACGAGGCGGTGGACGCTGACATAGAGGGGGTTTCACTACCAGCAGGCTCTGGGGCGTTTCCAACTGCTCTGGTCCGGCTCTTAGTGCTAGTAGCGCCTACAGCAGAGCAGATCGTCCTCGTCTACAATGGCTGTAAATAGGCTAATATGAAAATAAGCGATGCCCACTCACAAGGCTTGAGGTCGGGCCTGATGACGGCTTAGGAGAGGAGCTGATCGTCTGGAAACTGGAGGTCCTGGTATGATCTATGCTTGTGGAAGATGTAAGTACAGGCGATGAGGATACATTAGCAATTAAAGAGGGGTTTATGGGTAGAGAGGCGAGAGATTGCGGCCTAGAGCGCAGCAGGAGCCCTTCGCAGGACATGGAAAAAGCATAAGGAGGAGTTCTTACTTGAAGTCATAAACCCTTCAGCAAGAAGGGCCCTTCAAGACCATTGACTGGCAGTTCTCGGGGAAAGAGGCGATTCTAATCTTGTCCCGTTCTCGCATGGTTATACGATACGTGGAAGGCCGACATGTGAGCGATGAGTTTTCCCGGGATGTCTGTCAATGAGCAGTGCTAGTCACTTGATGGACCGCACGACACTTCGCAGAAGAAGCCATAGGCTACAGCCTGGAAACCCAAGAGATTGTCGAATCGGACCCGTACTCCGTTGGAGTAATTTGAGCGAAGGCATTCGATTTGCCCGGAGCACACGGTGGGAGTAGTCAAGATTGGCCAAGAACACCAAATCAACTAGCCGATGCGCATGGGAATCGACAGATCCGGCTAATCTGGGGTCGCTCAAGGACCGTTTGGCCAGCAGGTATTCTATAGTGTGTTTGGGGTACTTAGGGAAGGATAAGCAGGGGTGAAAATACTAGCTACTAGCAATATACCAAACAGCACTGTACATATTATCCGTTCAGAACAAGTGAGAAGAATTAAGGAGGGGTAGATACAGACAAGATACCCTACTGAGAAGCTGAGATGCGTGCGATAAAGATGGTGGAGCGGAAGAAGCCCCGTGTGACTGTAGAGGTAGATGATCATCAGTAAATGTGAGAAATGAGCCCGCAGTCCTCACTCACGATGTTGTGCAATTCTTGCGAAGGTATATTGATTGAGTGGGTATGCATATGGGCTGGTTAGGAAGGGGACTAGGAGGATGACTGATAAATGATGGTTCCAGGAACTGCAGCACACAATTGTCGACCGAGTTAATGATAGAATGACAAGCTAGATGGAGCTTACTTGGCTTCAGCAACATTTAGAACCTGGAATCCAACCTTTCGCTTTGAGTTTGACGGTTCCTCTTCGCCGTACGCCGCTCAGACTCCCAAAACTCAATCGACTTGAGCTGTTCACTCTACGTAGAGCTCTATCACCGTAGCTCACGCCGCTGCCCGCTTTCTCAGGATCCAGGGCACCCGATTCTATCGCTAAGAGAATCGAGCGGGCGGCCAGGAGGAAAGGTGCTTCAACGTTTTCGCCGGTGAGAGAAGAGGCTTCCAGAAAGTGGACGTCTTGCGGGTAAAAGAGGGGCATCAGCACTCTATGCAGAAAATGCTAAGAACACACAAACCATTCTCAGCTGCCCACCGGCTTGCTTCAGCCCATTCCACTTCTCTTTCGTCTTCGCGGTCGGATTTGTTCCCGACCAAGACTACGACCAGATTAGGGCTCGCTAAAGCTCGTGCGTCAGCCAGCCATCTCGAAAGATTCGAGAAAGAAGCGCGACTGCGGAGAGACGATGAATACGACTCAGAGAATTATGAATTCATAAACATACTTGGTGATATCATAAACCAGGATAGCTCCTGCCGCACCACGATAATAACTCCGGGTCACAGAGCTATTAGCCAACAATTATCCTTCAATTCAGGACTGAAACAAACGAGGACGAACCGGAATCTTTCTTGCCCTGCAGTATCCCACAACTGCGTAACAAATGACGGCATTTAGCACACAAGCAGTTATTTCAGAGGGACACTCTCTGACCTGCAGCTTTATCCGTTTCTCCCCTAGCTTGACAGTCCGACTTGAGAACTCGACCCCGATAGTGTGTTGCGAGTGATCTTTGACTAGAGAGCAGTTAGACGAGATCGTCGTTAGCTCGGTTTGCTGACGGACATGAATTATGCGTAAAGTGGTGCAATAGACACGATTTCCCCGTTCCGGCTTCTCCTGTCATGATATAGCGCGTGAGCATAGGTGGAAATACATCACCAACAAGCGTAAGTACACACCAATTATAATGTATTTCATCAGGAAGTCTACGCAGGTCGAAACTCAGGTTTAGTACCAGGCTGAGGGGTGGCTTGCGTTGCAGTTACGAACCATAAGTTTCTAACAGTTCTGTTGCATCCGCATCATATTCTCCAAGGGTCATGATAGATAAAGAAAGGACGAAAGATGACGATGTTTAGAACGAGCACCGATCCAGGATCCAAGACCGCTGAACGGCCTCATGGCACTGTTGCTCAGATTTCCTGTTTACGCTCGAGGGACAGCAGGTCACGTGCTGGTCGGACTCGAAAATCGACTCGGAAAAGAGTCAGCAACGTTAAGGCGCAGGTGAAAGCTTGTCAACAACTTAAGTCAATATTAGGCAGCCAAAAGTGTGTCTAATGTTTATATACATGAGCAGGTTTACCATCCCTTCCATGGCACCCAAATATCTACGACCGTCTTTCCATCGTCGACGTCAGGATCAACAACATAATACCAAGGGTAAGCCTAGAAGAAAAATAAAATCAGAACCAGTTATACAAACAACACGATTCCCTACCGCTGCGATCATACATGCGTGCTGGCCAATAATATCAACTATTGTTCCCAACTTGAGGGATTCTTCGTTGGCGGAAGTCGGAGTGCTCCGAGTCAAGATTCCATGCTCTTGCGATATTCTTGAAAGGATCCAGGGGCGACCAATGACTTCACCAAAGACCCCCGATGGCCCGGTGTCCTTGCTGAAAGCGATACCACCAGCATCAATCATAGCTTCATCGGTGCCGCCGACTCCTCGACCTGAATAATACGATATAACCGTTGCTCGGACTCGCTGAGAGATGCAAGCATGATCTATGAGCGTGGTGTGCTGCTGCTGTAGATCCAACATCGGATAATTGCCTTGCGTTGTTCCTCAGTTCCGGAAAGGACAGCTGATAATAAGAGAATTCCTACCAGCATGCAATTCAAGTACCCCATTCAGAACTTGAGAAAGTGTATTCCGTGTTTCCGCACTCGCTGCGTGGGCCGTAGGTGTGGATCCAACCGATAAAACAAAAGGATTTGTGACCGACGGTTCGACATCAAGCTGAGAGATAATCTCTAAGGCATTCTTCGCAGCCGCGTTTACAGACTCCACTTCTCCTGATAGATACCGAGACGCTTCCGGCAAAGAGGTCGATCCGTAAGCATTCCCGGCGTGGCCATAAAATCCATGAAGGCTGGTTGCAGGCGATTTGAGTATCGCTTTGATGAGGAAGATGAATTCTTTAGAAGCAGGAGAGACACCAGCACGACTATGACCATATATGTGTCAATGAGTTTATACTGAAAGAGAAGCTTGGGTATACTTTTGACCACCGTTGATCTTCACGAACACTGACCACCATGTCGGTGCTCCTTGCTTGGCCTCAAATTCCTCCAAGAACTTGACCTGGTCGGGGTGATCGACCAACAACCTGACAATTCCTCCATATTTATCAACCTCCCTCCTCAGTGCTGATAGATCCTCGATTTTGTTGGGGGCCACAGGCAGACCATAAAGGATCTATAAATCGCGGGCTTGAAATTAGGAAGACATTGGGATATCAAATATATCTACTGACATCTTTGACTGTCGAATTTGCGACCAAGCCAGCCCGGACGACCTCCCAGGCTTCCATGAGAGTGGAAACAATCACCGCATGAGTGCGATCCTCATCGGAAACGAGTTGAAGTGTCGCCCCTTCTGCCGTCTACGATGCGCGTGAGTAGGTTCGAGGTGTTGAAAAAAATGTGATATACTTTATGGGTCTTTAGATGTGCCCGAAATTGCGCCCCCCATTCCTTCGCCTTTCGGTGCATGTTCGCACAGTTCTGGGCGAACAACTTGCGATCTACAACTAAAGCAGGCGTCCGCAAAGCATCCAACGGCTTGCCGGAGAAAGCAGAAAGTAACGCATCTTTGCTAGGTCGTTCTAGCAAGTGAACAGAAGTCTTCGATTGAAGCATAATGGCTCAGGCAGTGAGTGTCGTAGCGAAGTTTTGGCTTTAGATGCTCATCTTGAGATCTGCTTGTCACTGTTTACTCTGGAAATATAAGGATATTTCAACGCTAAGTACTTTGAGTGAAGGACCGGAAGGTAGAAAATGGGTTGCAGAAGCAAAGCAGTATACCTATAGTCACCTCTTCCTCGCCAACGGTATAGATGGTTGTGATCTCAGTCCGCGGAACCGCGCAGCCGGCGGGAAAAGAACTAGGTAAATTACGAAGCGAGGCAGCCATTCACCAACCGACGTGCTCCAGTCTGCTCCAGGAGGTCTACAGAGTCAAAGGTGTGCTTCGTAGGAGGAGTTAGAGGGGATTTGTCTAAAGGGAGGCGGTCGGTTGGTTGGTCGATTGATAGCGGAAGGCATCTGATAATTGGCACAAAAGCCATGCATGAATCATCAGCAAACCCGACAAAAGTATACATTGCATTGGGGACAATTCAGATTCACACGAACTTATTTCCCCTTTTCGTTGTAATTCAATGTAAAAGAATGTTTGCAGAGACAATAGATTAGACCGAGAAATATAGTGATCCCATTGGAAAGGCAGCGAAGTTTCCAGCTGAAATGTTTTTTAAGCCCCAAGTTTGTGTTTACAATACATTTTGCACAAATCTTTCGGTGTGTATCCATAAATGGTGCAAAGTTCGGACATGCCATGGATTCTGCGCCGTAAGTTGGGTCGTCAATCTATTGTGCATCTGAACTTTGGCCAACTTTATATTGCAATGGAAACTTCACCAGGAATTTAGTACACGTCCTCGGGTCAGTCTTATGGTGGATAATCCTTCTTTCCCCTTTCCCAGCCCCGGAAAACCTCAGTTAGTCGTGTTGAGCGCTGCTATTGAAATGCCTACAGGAGTGGCTGGGGTGATATCTCTCAAATTAGTGCTCAGCTAACATCGGTGAGATGGCGTAAGGGTCTTGAGCGCTGTCCCTCGTGCTTGTGAGTCTGTGAGCAGTCCTTCGGGCCTGTGTTCGATCCCCATGTGTGGCGAATTAAATGCGCTATTTTTCGCCCAGTGAAGCTCGGTTCGGGCGGGCTCTTGCCCTTCGCCTTTGCGTAGCAATTTATTGAAATAAAAGGTACGCCAAGTTTGTCCCTTCACGCAAACTTAGTATAACTTTACAGATCTGGAGTGTTCTTAAAATGCAATGTATTCTGGGTTGTTAACTTTGTGATCATCGGGCAATTTTTGAACTATATTTTACTATGTATTGCGATCTATACTTCTGTCGGTTTTGCTGATGATGGAGTCGAAGAGCATAGGCGGAAGGGAATGGCACAACATAACGTTGAGGCGTGCACTGCTGTTTGACCAGTGGGATTGAACGCTGATTTTTCAAACGCACATTCTGCGGCAGCTTCGCCATCCCAAGGGGTTTCCTTTTGCGGAGCAGGACCAAACGACGACCGAAATGACCGAATGGGTGTCACGTGATGTACAGAGCCGAATTGAGGATGCTTTGCATGCCAAGAACTACGTGTACTACGGAAATGATGACGAAGTGAGACGGGTGCCGAGGAATTTTGGTGATGTTTCGGACGAAAACCCTGGCCAAAACAGTGCACAGAATCGGAACACCCTTGAAATCACCAAATTTTCCATTCTGCAGGTGGCAATGTATCACGTGATTGCTTCAGGTTCTTGGCAGTACGTCAACAGAGTGTCTTGGCAGTCAACTTACCTTCACCTTTTGCCTCTTCCCAATTTCAATCGCATTCAGTAGCACACATGCGGCAGCTACGAGGCCCGCAAAGAGACGGGAACCCGTTTCCCCCCCTACAACGTCGTTGTATCGACGGAGACGAGCCTGAGGAACCTCGACCAATGACCACAGCATGATGACAACGACGCACGGAATCAAAATGTTTCTCCCCTCGATCTTCGTTCTCCACCAGATATATAGATAACAGAGCACGACACCCTCTGGATATCTACGACAGCAGCACCCACCATGCAGCAACGGCCAGAATCGAACCTTCAGCTCTCTTCGCTCCCTCCTATCAGTACTCTATCCCTACTGCCCTCGAAGGACAACTACTTTGGCGAAGCAGTGTGTGATTCTCCAGACGGCTCCGAGGGACATGCATCTGATGAAGAGACCGACGACGCTTCTGTCCACTCTGATTCCACTCTTGAAGATGAACCCGGCGTTCCTCAGTTTGGTCATCCGTTAGAGCGCATGCCTAGGCTGAAGAGTGCCGACCATGGCTTGCATTATTCGGTCGACCAGCAAATCTCGGCCCTTCTCAAGTTAGCCAGGTCCAGACGTCCGTCAGCGTATCCCTCTCCCTACCCCTCTCCCTCCCTTTCCGTCACTTCTGCCTCGTCAACTTCGACACATGACACGATGTACTGTTTTCGAATGCAATATCGACAGGTCGACTCTACTAACGTCTATTTTCCAGTGATTATGAAGAAATTGTCAGTCATCTTCTAAGTCAGAAACTCAATCCATTCTTGTCTTGCGATTCTTGGGGCTTCGTAAGCCGACTGTCCTTCAACCTCATATTTTGCTAACAGCGTAACAGGTGGTCCTCAATCCTTCCTCCGACCATGATCTCCACAACTCTTCCCCAGTCATGGTCAAGAAATTCAAAAGGACGTTACCTGAGTTACTCGTACTGCTGGAGATGAATCATCCCAACCTGAGGGACGATCCCTGGAATGCTGTACCTCATATCCGATGTGGAGTTGAAAGAGACGACGATGTGTACCTCTGCATGCAGCCCCTGTGGGAATATGATGATCCCCCTTTACTGACAGTAGCCCATTACATTGACCTCTTCCGACAAATTCTCGAGGTATGAGCTCTTATTTCGCTTCTTAATTTAGCTAAATCCGCGGTGCAGGGTCTTTCATTTCTTCACGAGCAACGAATAGCCGGGTTGAATTGCGCGGAGTCCTCATCATACATGGTGGATCTGAGTAGTTCCCCACGAGCGCCACTTCATGGCAGTGCAACTTCAATAGACGCAGAAATTCCTCAATTCGACCGGACCATCTATCCCGTGCGGTACTACTTTGTTGATTTCTCCAGAGCGACACGAATAAACAAGGAGACACCGCCGTGCCATTCCTCTACGCCATCAACGCCAGCAGGTGATGCGAAGGCCCGATCTGCTTGTCCTCTGAAACGAGACGTCCAAGATTGTGGGATCATGTTTGACAGACTTCTGGCAGATGTACGCTCCTTTTTTTTAATGGAAATTCATCTCCCTCTCAAGACTCTCGTCAGGTTCCTCAGATTTCCGCCAAATTCAAATCGCTGATCAAAGCAATGACACTTGGAGGTTTCACAGCAGACGATGCACGTCGTCTCTTCGAGGCTCTTTGCCGCTCGCTGGACGCGCAAGTTTTCGAGTCTAAGGCTGAATCTCGTGGCACTCAGCGGCCGCTCGAACGGGCCCATACTCTGGCATTTCCGCCCTCGACAATGAACGCATCAGTCATACCTTTGGAGAAGAGACCATCTCATTGATATGTATCCCCTTGAAGCCTTTTCAATACACGAAATTTGCCCATTTTTATTTCTGGAGGGCCATGTGGATTATTTTGTTACTGCGTCCTTCATATTCATCTTGTCATATTTTCTCAGACATAGAAATACACGCGTTGGAAAATGACTTCTCTCCGGGAAGCGTGCCTTTTGGGTAGCGACCAATCTTTAGTATGTCGCAATTGCCTCCATCTCGATGTCAACATCGTTGGGAAGTTTGGCAGCCTGAATGCAGGTTCGTGCAGGTTTAGGAGATGGAAGGAGCTAGGCGAAGACATGTGAGTGTTGAAGTAGTGAGTGTCTTCATTGATGACGGCGCTTGGCAATTGGCGAACCTTCTCATACACCTCGTTCATCGCAGAAAATTTGTCCATATCCTTCAGATATACATTCACCTTGACCACTTTCTCCCATGATGATCCAGCAGCAGCCAAAACGTTTCCAAGATTCTTGATGCACTGTGCCTAAAGCATGGGCATCATGATAGCACCGGTCATTTTTTGACTGGCAAGGCAATCGGATTGCTCACTGTATGTTCCTGGATCCCACCTTCGACAATCTCGCTATCCTTCCCTGTTGGAACTTGCCCACTCAAGAAAATCAGCCCAGGAACTTTCGTTGCATGGGCTATCCCGTCGGAGGTCAGAGCTGCCTGTTGATTGGAGGTGCTATGAAAGAGACGAACACAAAATATGGGGGAAAGTTGCGTTTTCGGGTGAGTTGATCTTCTCGACCGACATAATAATAGGTGGTTGACAAAGGGGATTATCAGTTCATCGGTTGGCCTCTTGGTTGGCCTATTTTTATGTTGAAGGAAGGACAGGTGACTTCGGGCATGCGGCCCGCCGATGGGAAGCCAGGCTTGAACTTATCGGCATCGCCAGAGACAGCGCGAGTGGATAGTACAAAAGGATTTACCGCTGCCTTCTTAAAGACACACTGGGTCACTTACCTCGAGTCTGTGCCCACGGCTCTTGACCCCCACCATGGAGCATGTGTCGAGCAAGAACGATGCTAGCCCAATGACTACGAAGATGAGCGATGAGTCGGAACTCGATATGCTCCAGGTCTACCCTCACGAAGAACAGGCTCTGCGCTGGAAATTCGATCTGTACCTCTTGCCTCCATTAGCTTTCATGTGTGTGCCCACCTTCAATGCATGGTGCGACCTTAACTGTGCCTAGGTATTTGTGCAACGCCTTGGATAAAGGCAATGTCGGAAATGCTAAAACCGATGGATGGGATAAAGTGAGGCGGATTTCCACCAACACTTGCCCTCTGAATATAGGTTTACTTCCAGGATATCGGGCTTACGGGAAATCAGGTACTCACTCATCGTGAATTGCCAGTGCACATGCTCGAAGGGGTGGCTAACAATCACGGCGGAAACAGTACTATCTTCTCGTCATGATTTTTTATGTGAGCACATGCTGTTCCGTTTCTCAGGTGCCTACAAGGTTAATTGTGGCTCTTAGGTCCCTTTTTGCCTGTAAGTTAACGTTCTTCCAGACCTAGATGACCGTCTTCTTCACCTGCTGTGCGTTGCCCCTCAGCTTCGGGACCCCAATATCATTGCTGGTCAAGAAATTTTCTGCAGCCCGTGTTCTGCCTATCATGATGGTTGGATTCGTGAGCCCATTTCACTCCTCCATGATAGCATCTAAACTAGCAACATTTAGGGTTCCATGTATTCCTCCGTTTTACGCCTTTGCGTTAAGCATCGCTAATCGTCGAATGCGATAGGTCTATTTTTGCAGGCATCGCGAGGAACTTCTCAGGTTTGGCATCCCTACCTATCGGAAATCTTATAATTATCTTGACTTGCTGATCTAGAGATCTTCGCTATTCGATTCTTTCTTGGGATCTTTGAAGCCCCGATGCTACCGGGAGTGGTCTTCTATCTGTCTACATTTTATAAGCGAGGCGAACTTGCATCGAGAGTTGGTGTATTTTACGGTAACGATTTTGACCGGTGATCACTGGCGGATTTCTCATCCCATTTTGTAGCCGCTGCGTCAATTGCTGGTGCCTTTTCTGGTAAGCGCCATACTAAATTAGGCGCCGATGGCATCGTGAACAGGACCCGACAGGTCTTATTGCCTACGGTGTCTTCCATGTCGACAGTCCTATATACCACTCGTGGCAATTTTTATTTTGGATCGAAGGCTAGTAAAATATTCGAGTATTTTGAAAATGTACTCATCTATATTATCCATTCATTATTCAGGTGGAGGGACTGTTATTTTTGCCATTTTTGCCTGGTTCTGGCTTCCGATATCTCCGTCGTCGTGGAGGCTACTGGACGACCGCCAGAAAGCCGTTGCACGAGCACGAATACGATCCGATTCTTCCGTCACAGTAGACGAGGAACTCAATATTCGTGACGCCTTCCGACCTTTCTTAGATCCTATTTACTGGTACATAGACAAGACACTTGGCTCAAATACGCTACTAACACAGACAACGCATTCGGATACAGGTTATGGGCACTCATAAGCCTATCTTTTGGTGTTCCCCTCGCCAGCGTCAACAATTTCCTGCCACAGATCGTCGCCAGCCTCGGATATTCTACAATCCGTACGAACTTGCTGACAGTCGCTCCTAATATTGTGGGGACTGTCGCATTATTACTACTTACCTTCTCCTCGGATTATTTCCGAGAACGCTCCATTCATATGTGAGTGCCTCCAAGTATGACACTTACTCCGGTTGACGTGGCCCCACACAGTTGCATAGCACTTGCGACTGGTATAACTGGTTTCGTCATTCTCGGGTCGATCGATGTCTTCGAGCATCGGCGAGTAGCATATTTTGCTTGTTTCTTAATGACCAGTGGGGTAAGTTGTAACCACAAACCTCGACAGAGCTGAGAATCACTCTCGGAATTCGCATAGGCCTTCGCTCCTTCAGTTTTGGTTAGCGCGTGGTATTCCAACAACACGCCAAACGAGTCGAGGCGGGCCGTTGTTGCAGCAGTGATGGGTAGCATTCTTTGATCCTTCTGACAAAAACATCCCTTACGCGCTTTCTGCAGTCGCAATCGCGAATTCCGCCGGGCTGATTTCAACAAACGTGTTCAGAGCGAAGGATGAACCCAAATACATACCAGGCAAGTAGGTATGCACGATGATACTTGCGAACGCTGACGCCGCCCCCCTTGCAGCTCTTGCTACCTCTGGTAGGTGGCCAAGTATTCATTAATGGAAGATGGAAGGTCTGACGAGCTCCTATAGCCGGTTTCGGCGGTCTATGTCTGCTACTAGTCGCGAGGTATGTTGAAACCAGAGCACAGCGACACGTACTTACAATAGCATCCGGCCATCAGCGTTGGCGGATATATGAGAATTGAGAATCGTAGAAGAAACACAGTTCAAGGCGTCGAGATCACTGCTGCGGACGTTGATACAGAGGATCTTGCTGGGGGTCCACGGTCACCGGCGTTTCGCTATATGTACTAGCAAGCCTCATTTCGTTTTATCTAGTCATCCTATAATGAAAGAACAGAGTAAAGGACCTGCACCCGATCCATCAGTTTTGCGGAGGAGATGGCAATTGAAGCTGAGGGCCAAACCGTGTAGATAGACACATATTATTTTTGAATGATAATCTAACGCAGGTAAATTGGTTAAGGAAAACCACCGCAGGTTATGAATAGGGGAAACTGTATAGGACCTGCCTGTGACCAGCTCATGAGGGATGGAATTGGCCTCAGGAGGACGCAAGGATGATCTGCATGTTACAAAGATTGAGATGTATCAACGGCAAAAGAAAATGACAATCGAACGCAGGTCTCTTCCCATCTTAGTCTGAAAAACCTTCAGCAGAATACGTGGGATTTGTTAGTCGCCAAACGTTCTCTTGAGCGCTACTGGTGGGCTTGCATGATAGCATCGGAAATGAAGACGGCAGAAATCTGTCTTCCTCCAAACCACCGTCCGTTCAGACCTTGGATAGCTTCTTTGGCGGAATCAACTGCGTCGAATTTGACATAAATTTCGCCCTACGAAATATTTCAACGCATTGCACCAGGATAGAGACATCAAAGGACCAACCTGCGTCTCCTTTTCCACTTTGATTGCCAAAACAGGACCATACTTCGTTTCGCATTCTCCCTTGACATCGTCTGCAAGGTCCTTGTCCCAATCGCGCTCCGTTTCCCTAGGGGCGAAGTCTGAAAAAAGACGGACGACTTTGATATGCGTAAAAAACCTACTCTTCAGGATCGAACATATTCTTCAGTAACACGGATCGCGATTGCATAGATTGAGGGATACTGGGTCGCGAACTACAGAGCGAAGTCAGTCGCTGAACTTTAGACTAGTAATGAATGGAAGACATACGCAGGCTCTGGAAGAGATCTCGCGGGTTCAGTTCTAGCAAGTTTCTGCATCAGTGCTTGGCGAGATGCAGCATTCAAGTTACCGCCTATCGTCGTGAAATCGCTTGAGCAATTGGCTACAACGTAAAGAATAAAAACATACCGCCAGCTTCATCAAGGGAATCTTGCTGAGTATATTTGGCTGTGCCCTTCTCGTGGACAGTGTTTACACGAAGCTGGAAGCCGTCTCAGCAAAGCAGTCGAATAGGTATCAGCCGAGATAGGTCTCACCGTGCGGCCAGCTAACTCGAATCCTTCCATTTGCTCCAAAGCCATACGAGCGTCTTCAGCTCGCTTGTATCTAATCAAAATATGAGCCAATGGTCGAACGACGGCAAGGGGAAAAAACCTACTGTACAAACGCATAGCCTTTGCTACGACCAGTCATCGGGTCTCGGTGGAGATCCACAAATTCGAGTTCTCCAAAAGGCTCGAACACCTGTTTAATATCGGATTCGGTAAGGTTGAAGTGTAAAGATCCAACGTATAATCTACAACGGAATGGTGAATTGCGTTGCAATGCGATAGGCGCCCAGATACTTACTGCATTGATCCATGGGATGAAGTAACACCTGGCGGCAAATTGAGGCTCCTGGTAACAATTAGAACTACAACAACAACAACACAAGGCAGAAACAAGGTAGCGCTTACCCATCACCAGGGTGGAGCTTGTTTCTTTCCGACTCAGTTAGCTGAACCATGATAGGCAGTCCCATCACCACTGTTCCAGATAGTCCAATGGCCTTCTCTACGAGGTCAACGGATCTGAACTCAACATAACCGATTCTATGGCAAGAAGACATCTTAGAAAGGGGAGCACGAATGAGGGTAGCACTGACCCTTTCGAACGGCGGGACAGTCTATCAGTGACAATTCGCGAGTCCATGACCGTCCCTTCTCCAAGTTTGTCTTCGAAGAAGTAACCTAGGTCTCGGGCGGTCAAACGAGCAGCAAGCTGGGAAACGAAGACGGATCTGGCTTCCGAGTCATCTTCTTTAGGTTCGTCTGGATTATATGGTTCATCTGCCACGTTATCGAACGACGGGTATGAAGGAGATCCGCGTCTGCGTTTTACTGTTTGAACTGAACACCAATGAGTGAGCAAAGGAAGACGTACCCGACTGCTGGGGGAGGAGGACTTCTGATCTTGAAATCGTCATCGTCGATTCGACGGCGCGTATCACGACGAATTCTGCGACTCTCAGAATCATCAAATTCGTCTCTTGGGTCGAGAGGGGGCCTATTTGCAAATTATCAGTCAGTTGGGGAGTCGAATGAGACACGGGGAAATTGGACTGCGGAAGGGAGAGTACCGACCTCTTGCGTTTGGCTCTTTCCTCTGCCTCACGCGGGCCATCGTCGTCACCTCTCCTATGTCGACGTTCACGGTCCTTGTCATCCCTGTCTCTATCACGGTCGCGATCCCTGTGGCCATCATGCCTGCTACGATGGCCTCTTTCGCTGTCTCTGTCCCGTTCTCGTCGACGGTCGCGGTCTCTCTCGCGGTCCCTATGCCTGTCTCTCGAACGATCACGATAACCTCTTTCACTTCCTCTGTCACGACTGCGGCTTCGCTTCCTTCTGTCGTCTGGCTCGCCTCTGTCTCTTCGGCGATCCCTCTTTTCCCGATCTCTGGAGACCGACCGGTGTGAGCGCTTCGTACGAAGTGTGTCTGTTGACAGATTACGCGAACTATGGAAGGGTCTGAATAAGCCACGTTCTCAGAGGAGGAAGTGGGACACCTACGAATGCCTGTTGGGGGATTTATCGACTTCCATCTTGCCGTTCGGAGAAGTCATAGTGGATCCGACTGTGTTGGTCGTGGCAGAAATTGCAGAGCAAATTTGGTTGCATGTGTTTGGACAAGTTGTGCCAACAAATGCACTGGGCGAAATCTATCATTGGAGTAAGCTCAAAAGCAACGTACGCATACGGTGTCTACTGTCTACGGGTTGAAAGAGGGCTATCTGTGGCTCTATACAAGCAAAAATACGAGTGCCTTCATCACAGAAGATCAGCCAGCCTATGACGCACGCGCTTTTCGGCCTGTGCCAGCTCCATCTCCTCTGCCCGACGGTACAGCTCATTGATAGGGTTAGTAGGACCATCTTGTTCCAGGTCGGCCTCGAGTTTTGAGAACTCCTTGCAAAAATTTCCATTGAGAACCTAAGCAATCGATTTTGAGTTGACATTTTCTGGCTCAGGTCAAGGAAGCTACCTGATTGTAGAGGATATCTTTAAAGTGGGCACGAGCGCCAGCACCATCGAGCGCCAATGCACCGCTAAGCTGGCCATATTGCGAAACGGTCGAATGATGTTTCAACTGGTTCCCAAGATCAATGAATGGTGTAAAGTTCGGAGAGTCTGTGATTTACCTGATGGATGAACCCATCCTCCGCTGCCCGTTCGAAGATCTCCGCAGGCTCCTTCGACATCCACCTAGCAGGTATGAGGCAAATGGATGCTTTGAGCGAGACGAGAAGCTGACATTTCGTAACAAAGCGCCTCATCGGAGCAACCCGCCTCTTTGAGGACGCTGAATGCCTCTCTGGAGTATACAACGCGGTAAGAAACACAAGGTTCTCAGGATGTTACCTCAAGGCCCACCTGAATAACATGATGATGTTGGGCCAGAGGCCTTGCTCTGTTATTAGGAAGGCTAAGATACATATGATCCTTCGAAAACGGACACCTACCCGCGAACAGGTCCATTGCGGTCTCCTCCCGAGCAGACGATGCGATTGCCCCAGCCTTGGTCGCTCCGATGGCTTTCGAGAGAGCCAGTGCAATGGAAAGCCCTAAACCCGTTCCATCTTGTTCCACAGAAACAAAGCAAGGATAGCCCTTCCCTTTCTGATAAAGAGAACGGACAGAGCTTCCTATCATCCTGATAAAAAATTAGGCATGATTCTAAAAAGCACATCTAGTAATCCAAACCTTGGCGCAACCATCACGACATCCTGCTGAGGCGAAAAATTGAGCAACTTGAAGAATACATTGTATCCGCTGGCAATGACAATAGTTGCAGTCGGCTTAAGGTGAGGAGCGAACTGTTCGTTGAAAATGCGCGGTTGGACCTGGTCGGGAATCAACAAGAAAAGAACTTGACGGGAAGGTATCAGAGAGTGGGATCGCACAATGGATTCGACGACCCACCATCCGCAACGTTTGCCGCCTTGACAAAATCATGTTCCACAATAAAGCCCTTCGCTTTTGCATCTTCGACATACGAATCTTCGCGGTTTGCAATCAAGATTTTCTCGTTTGGAATACCCGAATCACGCAGGTTTTGTGCTTGAGCGGCACCTTGATTCCCATATCTATTGAGACAGACATCAGCCCTTGTGACCCCATGTGCCAATTCGCAGTCATTTCAACGCACCCCAGAAAGACGATCTGCTTGTCCTTCAACAACGACAGGTCGGCGTCCGAGTCGTAATATCTATGAACCATACGCTTGTCAGTAAATCTCGTGTAGAAACTACAAATTCTTACATCTTTGCGGCGGGCATCCTGGAAAAACCTGGTGCGAGGAGATGGTACGATGGGGAGTCCAACTTTCAGGAGCCACCTTAGATAAAGGGAACGGCTCCCGCCTCCGGGCCATGTTCCTCCAAGTTCCGAGGTCGATGATGTCCTGGTGACCCGGTGGAATATCATCCCGCGGACCGCATCGGGAGAAGGGCGTCCGGTTGGGCGGGCCGACGCCTTGATGATGCTGATCATATGTTAAGCTCGCGAGACACAGACAGCCGGAGGATATCAAGAAGGTAGGTTGGCGTCGCGATGTTTCCTGTCATTGCTATGTCGCTAACACCCAACAAGATTGTCTGCATCACAGGTGCCTCCAGAGGCATAGGGCGAGCTTGGTACGTTTCTTCCTATGAAACATTTGAATAATCGCCCAAGTTTATCTACGGGTCTGTAGTGCGATCGAATTCGCAAAGCAAGGAGCATCTGGCTTAATTTTGCACTACCTTGGGGATGCGGAAACGGAAGGAGAGATACAGCCGTTGAAGGCAGATCTTGAAAGACAAGGTGTCCGCACTGTGGCTATTCCGGGCGATATTGCTCTTCTTGAAACATCAGCAAAGGTCAAACAAGAAACACAAGCAAATCATCCTTCTTACTCACTGGCAAAATAATACAGATCATTCAGGCAGGAGTCGAGGCTTTTGGACGTATCGATATATTGGTTTCCAACGTCGGAATTTGTCCCTTCTCGGACTTCTTGACCATGCCACTGGAGACTTGGGAACGGACGCGTCAGGTCAACCTCGACGGGACCTTCTACATTGTGCAAGGTGCGTTGATTGAGGGATATTTCGGACAGAGGCCCATTGACTCTTGCCCATCTTCAGCGGCCGCTGTCCAAATGGCAAAACAAACACCTCAAGGAGGATCCCTCATTGCGATCTCTTCGATTTCTGGGCTTCTTGGTGGCGCTCAACAGTGGTGCGTTGGCTCCAAGAGATGTCTGCTGCATAGACTGAGCCTTCTCCTTGGGTATTCGTGCCAATTCACAGCCACTACGGACCAACGAAAGCCGCCATAACCTCCCTGATGCAGAACTGTGCCGTCGCGTTGGGCAAATACGGGATTCGGGCAAATGCAATCCTTCCTGGGACGGTTGCCACCGATATCAACAAAGAAGATCTAAAGGATCTCAAGAAGAAGGAATACATGATTAATCGCACCCTTCTTGGGAGACTCGGCAGTGAGTTGAACATACCTCCACGCGTTTATGTCGCAGATCTTGACAGTTTTCGAAAGCCCCAGAAGACATTGCTGGACCAGTCCTGTTTCTTGCAAGCGACTTAGCGAAGTACGTCACGGGAGCATCTTTAGTCGTCGATGGCGGTTTGTTCGTGAATTTCCAGTAATCTTTACAATCGTACATCGATAAAGAGGCGGGCAACACTATTATCTTGTCTTGGCTTCGGGCCGCTGTATGCTCCACCTAGGCACTGTGACCTATTTCGGGCAGCAGCTTCTTCTCGTCAATGATTACGGGGTCAGCCGCGATCAGAACTGTAATCCATCTCGCCCACTGCTGTGAGGGGTTCCTCCACGCATGCATGGCGCCTTTCTGAATGACAGTATCACCTGGATTCTTGATGTGCTTTTCCGTGCCGTCTTCGGTGATAAGGACCAGTTCTCCTGATACTACTCGCATGTCTTGTGATCAACATGATTGCGAAGCAGAAATCCAAGAACATACTCAATATGTTGTAATCCAAGGAAGACGTACGGTGCTTGACGGCGGGGTTTAGAGGGAGTGTCATGAGACGAATTGAGAGGAAAACATACCATTGGCGTAATAGCACCGGGGGCTAGTTCCGTAGAGCGCAGATTGGTACCAGTTGGGTGTACAAGCTTAAAGTTAGAGGTGTCCTCAATGACGCGCTTCCCGCCGTCCTCACTGAAAGATATCAGGGACTGCAAACGATGATCGCTAGAGATGGTTACTCTTTGTTATTGTCATTAGTGGGAACTGAATCTGTAGTGATCCAGATGGATGCAGCACGTCCTCGATCATGAGCGATTTGCATAGCCTAACGAGAGGGCTCAGCGGAGAGGCACCAGTCCACCAAACCACGCACCTCTGAAACTATTTCAACATCGCTCTGGACAATTGAACTTCCTTTAGCGTCGTGGGATGTGACGATACGACGCAAATGAGGAAGCAGGTATTTCGTGTCAGACATGGTTTATGTGGCGGAACAAGGACAAAGGGCTGTTGCAGACCTTTAAAGGTGGCCTCAAACCAAATCGAGAAAGTGGGCCTGTATTCAGAACTGTGAAATGTGCCACATGTGTGTGTCGATCTGGCGTAATCCCGGAAAGGAGCGGATGCATCTGGCGACCCCCATGGGGTGCCGTCGGATTGCTGGCATTCACAGCGAAACCTATATTATACAACGGAGAAAGAAGAGTACAAAAAACATATGCGGATTTAGGGAGCGGTATCTGGAAGAAGGAATTAGAGGTGTCTATATAGATTGTACTATTGAACTTACAATAATAGTAGTCGTCAATCAATGGGATCCAATCCTTCACGAAAGCACCAAACAGTCCAATGAACGGAGCGTGAGCAGTTTTCGTAACAAATGACTCCAACTTTGGCCTGGAAAAAAAAGGTCAATCGAGCGGAAATACAAGCGAGGCTGCAGAATGAACCTGGTGTACCCTTCCCATATCGACCCACGAAGCAGATACCAAAGCATGTCCTTGTCTCTTTTAGCGTATTCAGAACGTTCAAGCGCAGAAGAAGCTGTTGGCGTCCGACGTAGATTGCGCGAAAGGAATTCCATCAGCAGAGCTACCACCAAGGCACGGCTTGAGCGTTCCTTGGACTGGCGATCAGCAAGGACGAGAGTTGCTATATAACAAGTCAGACTGATTAAGCGCTCAATGAGTCGTAGGACATACCGTAGACCAGTGGTCGCAAGATGTATATAGTTTCTGCCAACCAATCTCGAGGACCGGACAATCTTCGAATCAAAGATAGTGAGGGTCTGACCGAAGAAGGCGTTAAGGCCTTCGGCAAGAGATAGTCTTCTGCTGAGGTGTCTGACCGCGCAGCAGAAAGTAATGGATGCTGAGATAGAGGTATGTGGTTGTTACGGAGATGGTCCGGGGTCATGGGAGGTGAATTAGAAGGCGAGGATGGTGCTAGTGTGGGGGACGAAGTATGGCTCGTGTGTGGTAATGTCGTCGGGTCGAAGTCTCGTTCTGGGATCGGGGGCGACATGAGAGGCCGGCGTGTTATCCTCAATATTAGCATGCGCAGCGAAGCTCTGTCCTTGAACGTTAGCGGACGACAATTCGCGAAGGGGAGCCGTGTCTTACTTTATGACTTCAAGGAGAATAATGGATCTCCATCTGGCTTTATCAGAGACGTTTCTCTTCAGAGCCATCTCTAGCACCAATTCCGTAAAACGGATTATCTCCAAAGCACGCGCGGCCCACTTATAGACGGAGTCTTTGTCGGTCCATGCTCTTGTGAAGCGACTGTGCAAGGAGGAGGGGATAAGAGGGCGGTACGACGGATTGTTTTTCACAACACGAGTCAGGAGTGTATCATGATACATGCTCATCAGATTGAGCAACGACGTGACTATAAACAGAAAATCAATACGAGTGACACGGCTGAGTTGGAGGACACTGCTCACGAGCCTCCGACGCCAACTCTGCATCCTTGAAACGACCCGGTAAAAACCACGTAATTGATCGAAGCGAGGACTCGAGGGTCGAGATAGTCGAGACGTTATTGATAAGGAAGGACTCATACTTGGCCTTCGAGGTAGCCATGACATGGGAGACGGGGGAGACAGTGACGGTCAGAACGAGAGATGAAATGTGCAACTCAAGCGCGGAGCCGCATGATTCTCCAAGTCGCCGGCCAACCGACAAGTTCCCACAGAGCCGTTACGTCACACATCAAACATGTCACGTCCTCCAATGTTCAGTTTGGACCCGTCTAGGATGGCAGCCTTGTCCGAACCCTTCTCTAAAGGCACGCCCGGGAGAGGTGCCGCCTTTGTCCCTGCATTTCTTCCTTCCCCCCATGTCACCTCCGCCTATACTAGACGTCCACCGGGCTAGCCCTGTTAGGGGACAGCTCGAGCCGTACGATCCGCGCACGCCCCCAGGTTGCCGATATGTTCAAACCACCGACACCCCCGACGAACTCAAGGTTCTTTCCATAACTACAATTGTTGGCAAACGTAGACTAATGTAAGACTACAGGTTCTTCTCCCTCCAGGCACTGCGTCTATGTATGAGCAGCTATTAAAACTTGAGAATTATGAGCTCTCGAAGAAACCTGCCGTCTCTTGGGAACGCATCATGGAAATTCGCCATCTCAAAGACCGTATGATTCGCAAGTGCCAGAAGCTGGCGAAAACTACCATGCCCATGTCAAAGAAGTCTTCTCGAGGCGACACCTTCGTCTTCCAGACTTTCGTCGCACCCCAGGACTTCAGAGTGAAGGAAATGGAAAAATGGTTCAGAGAGCAGCAAAAGCGAGCGAATTCTCTCCCCAGGCGAACGATCTCTGCCGGACAATCTGCTAGCTACGAACTCGCCCTCGCTGGCCCATCCAGCCGCCGTCTTCCATCAACATCTTCAAAACAACCTGTGCAACGCTCGACAACAAATCCAGAGCCCCCTCCAAATCACAGGCAGGATGCATACTCGAAGCTGCTACCCACTATCCAACCTCAGCGTATCGTTCAATCGGAACGAACGCTCACTCCTCAATCAGCCGCTTTGCCGGTTGCGCTAAACTTCCCGCAAATCATGTCTCCGCCCCCACTACCCGTCCTCATTCTCTCCCAACGCGAGGCGTTGGGACTTGATGAGCCTGAGGGCCAACCACCCAACATCGCCTCACTTTCTCTCGGGCCTGACCAACCTACGGAGACCAGTCCGTCAGACCCTGCAGGAGAAGCCAGTCCACGACCAATCCTCTCACGCAGACCAAGTTGCATAAAACGCGATAGTGCCGGCGATCTCAAGAGGGTCTCTTGGGCGGATAACCAACACGAGCTCGATAATCAGTTATCAAAGTACGCGACTGCCGCGCGTGAGGCACAAGCGTCAGGTGAGCGTTCACCCTGTCACCCCCTTCTAAATCTCCCTTCGCGCCGTTCTCCTGGCTTCTATCACTTATGCTGATCACCCACTTTGTTGCCTACAGGCAAATGGGAGGAAGTTCAGGTTCTATATTTAGAGCAAATTGCTGGACTCGAGAATTTACAACAACAAGTGCAGGATGGCCTGGAGCACCTGCGCTCTGAAACTGATCATCTTCAACGGATCGACGAGACCATCCGCAAACAACGCGAGGCTCTCGATTCCACCTTCCACGACTTTGAGCTAAAGCATAATCTGCTGAAGGAAAAGGGTTTGTCACACTTCTTTTGCTCGATAACAGTCTGGTATTCATTCAACTTGACACAGTGCAAGAAGCTCTTACAGAGGCTAATTATGCCCTCAATCGGCATGGCGTCGCTCGTGAACTTGAGCCTATCCACGAAGCTGAACATTAACAACCACCTTATGGCATCATGACTGCTTTTTGTGCGTATTCTGACAGAGCTATTTATATCTTCTATAGCAATAGGACTAGGGTTTGTAGTGGATTGTCACATATTTCTCTGGACAAAGGCATGCACAGTATCTAGGAGATAAGTAAGGCATAACGAGCGTCAAGTGTATTATATGTCATAGCGGAGCGTCCTCAGAGTGGACGCCCTCGTCGTCGTTTCATCTTCTTCCACCAGCGTCGCACAACATGAAGATATATGCTCATAATGATCGTTGCCAACGCCAGCACCACACCGAACACGACGTAGAGACCATCTGGTTCGCGGACGTTATGGGGAACATTGATATTGAGAGAGAATAATCCTATTGCGGGTCATTACACCGTGCTTGCGCAGCAAGGAATTCACCAACCAGTTAATGTCTGCAGGCACAGAACCGAAATACTGATGATGGTTAAATAGAGCAGGTTTACATCGGTACCCCCCTTGGTCATTTCAAACGCTGACCGCAGCTGAGCGAGGTAGGTAGGGTGCGACTGGCTGAGCATGCGTTCATAATGAGCCAGAGAGTGTTGTAGGGTTAAAATATGGTCTAAAACGTCTGAATGAGACTACTGTGGACCCTCAACGAATAAGACTTACCTTGCACATCTCCCATGTAGATAGCAATTTCCAGATCATCGGCAGTCTGGGGGCTTGCTGCTTCACCAGAGGCTGCTGTCTTCATAAGTCTTTTCCTGATCTGCGTAACAACGTCCGATTTGGTGGCCAGCAGACGGCCCAAGACGGTAACAAGCTTTCGCGTCCTCGCCATGCGCCGCAGGGTAAGCTGGGTAGCACTTGGGGCCTGTTCAGTCTTTTCCCAGTAGCCTTTCCAGGTCGTACTGATGCGTCTCTTGGCATGACGGAACAGCAGTGGGACCGTCAGTTGGGGAGAGGCGAACCGGGGCCTGAAAGACTCCCTTATCTGCTCTGCAGGTGTGTAGTATTTCTCATTCAATTTTTCGTTCGGCTGAGCGACAACGGTAGGGCCAGACGACCCTTCGTCCTTCGACGATGGAGTAAATTCTCTTGACGGTGTCTTGTCAGCGTCAGATGAGGAAAGATTAACCACCTCAACAGAAGGAGGGAGTTGAGAAATATCTGCAGATCCGTTATAGACGATATGGTCGATTGCTATAACTTCTTTCTCGATTTCATCGAGGTGGGGGAAGAAAGAGTCAACGACGGAGTCCAGAATTCCATGTGCAATCCAATCTATAAACAGATGTGAGCAAAGGGGTAGGTTGACTGCCTCCAGACGAACCCGATGATATGTTGGCAGCCTCGTCCAACAACGCAATCCTATTCCGCACCCGGTCGATGTGCTCTAGAAGGTACATTGTGTATGCTCAGAGAAGGCGGATGACATGTGCACATACCAGAAACATCTGTGAAGTGGAACTTGCTTGGGGTGAGTTTTGAGATCTGGGATAACAATAGATATACATACGCAACATATTCCTTCATTAAATACCGTTAAATATACATTAGCCTCTCCAAGGGAACCCTCTTCCAGATTTGATCCAGAAAGGTCTGTGAGACCTGCCTCCCGAAGAATCTTCTCTCGAGTGACTTGGTTCTCTATTGCCCGAAAAGCAATAAAGTAATATCCCAGCTTGCTGAAGAGTTCGAGCTTCTCGCGAGGATCTTGCTGGAGTATATCTTCCAGCGTCAATGGATGAATATGCAGCAACTAATAGATGAGTCTAAACTGAAGAAAAGGGCAGACATTTAGACCTACCTTTCCAATGGCGCGCAAATCCGCCCAAGTGGGATTGGCGACATCAAGAAACCATGCCTGAGGCTTCGCTTGCGGTTCTTCTTGGATAGTTGTTGGCTTCGGATGACCATTCTCTCGATGCTTCCCTTTCCGACCCCTCCTTGCCGCAGAACCGGGCTTGGATTGGACATCAGGCAAACGGTTGTCTGAGAAGCCTTGGCTAGAGAAGAAAGGCGATGCGCCGCGTGGTGACTGTGTCCCTGGTGCACCTCGTTGCTTCTGACGGGTTCGACGTTGCTTGCCAGACTTGCGGATGGCGAACTCCAGCTGGTTGAGGAGCAGCTGCAACGAGGTGGTGGAGGTGACGCGGAGATCCCGTGCCTCCATGTTAGTAGCGCCCATGTGAAGCGAGGGGTGTTTCTGGGAAACCGGGGCGATGAAAGGGGGCAGGTAGAGAGTAAACTCCCGTGTGGTCTGCCTGGATTCTTGCAGGGCCTTCATGCGTGTTATCCTGGCAGCAATGTCGCGCTCAGACTGCAATGTGCGCAGGGAGGAGACACTGGGACGTCGCCTCCGACGCCGCGCGAGTTGCGATCGAGTGAGTGTGAGGTCCGAATCGCGCGAAGAAGACGACGAAGAGGATGAGCTCGAGGAGCTCGACGCCGCAGAGGAGTTGCCTCTGACATTTCTTGCCCATCTCGTTATTGCAAGCTCAAGTTTGGCGGCAATTGCTCCTATTCGACCGCCGGGGAGAAAAGAGGACGAAGACGAAGAGGTGGATGAGGAATGTGACGAAAGGGATAGAGCGGGCTCGGGGTGGATATGCGGGGGAGGGGGCGGATCGCCACGGTAGATGTCCTCGCTGTCGCTTGAGGCATTGTGGATAGACATTGTGGGCAGCTCAAGACTGCCGAGCAGACAGTCGCTGCGTGGATTACACTGACATGGGAAGGTTGGAAAGAGCAAGCTGGGACCAATCTACATAAATTTGCCCTCTGTGCTATTTTGGGATGTTCACACGGTGCTACACCCGTTGCCGCTTTCGGGGCCAAGGGGCGTCCGCCTCTGGTCCTCGTTTCCTACTGCCTCCCTGCTCTCCTTTAGCATATGGCCGCGAACGCTTCTCCTTCTGGCTCTCCTTTTTCTGCTTCTTCTCAATGGCCTTCTGGACCGCACGTTGCCCACCTTCCTGCGCCAGAGCCTCGTACCTCGCTTTCACCAGCAGCTTCTGCTTGTCCACTGCAGGTGCATGGTCAGCTTCAATGCCGGTAGCAATAAGCTGGAAGCACCTTTCTTGAGAAACCAGTGTCCCTTCCCCTCTTTGCGTTTTTCTTGCTCCTCCTTCTTCGCTTTACTTAGCGCATTTCTTCCCACTTTGTCTAGACGATCCTTGTTCACTGCGCTTTCCGCACGCTTCATCGCCTGTTCCAGTCTGTGCACCTCGTGTTCATGTTCACTTCGCAGATCTCGTGGCGACGATACCAGTCTTTTACGGGCTTGTTTCAGTGTCTCTTTCAGCGTTTGAAGCTCAGTCTTGTGGCTCTCCGACAAGAAACCATATGACTTCTGGAACTTTGTTGCGTCGAATTCACCGGCTGTTGCAAGGAATCTAGGATCTCTTGGAACCTGCATCCAGATGTGAGTATCGCCTTTGGGGTGTATTGCCACTTTCTTACGATTTTAGGTGCCTCTACCACAGTCCGTCTTCTTGAAACAGGTCGCTTGGAGGTAACTTCCATTGGGCTGGTAAATAGATCAACGATACACTCTAAGAATAATCGAACTCGGCCTACGCGTGCTTGCTTGATCTCTTGGAAATGTCGTTTCGAGGTTTGATGCTCCATTCAACCCTCTCTTTCTCTTTCCCTTTGCCCTTGACGTCGTGTACCTCTGGGGTATCTTCCTCTGTTGCAGATCCTTCGTCGGAGTCTGACGCCGAATCCGAGTCGCCCTCAGGTTCTGCGTGACTTAACAGCAGTTGCGCTCGCCGCAAGGCCCCTAGCGGCAGATCTTGCAAATCTGCCCATACTTAGTTGAGCAAACGTCGGAGAAATTGAAACGACGAACTGTTTTGCAAGGTTTTCTGCAACCACATAAGCTAAAGAATGAAGAAAGGGAGAAAACAGAGTATAATGTACCTCATTTGTAAGGTCCTCTTCCTCCTCTGCTTCTTCGTCTTCCACGAAGTCTTCCATATCCTCCTCCCATTGCACAACTCGGGGTGCATCAGCGTCCTCATCCTCGTCATCGTTATCCTGTCCATTTAAGCGTCCACTTCCCTGACTGGATCCTTCTTCGAACTCGTCAGAAGACACTTCTTGTTCAAATACATGATCATCTTCGCTCAAGTCGGGTTCACTGCGGATCGGTTGTTTTTGGGCCGCAGTGTGCTTGATGATTGTTTTTCCCTGGGTAACCAAGGAATCGGAGGTTTTAGGAGGTTTCCTGTGCGCTGGGCGAGAGCGGCGAGGCATACTATGATGAGGACTCAGAGGAGGAGTTCGACGATTTGACCAGTGGGTGCCATCACGCGTGTCCAGAAGTCGTTGCCAAACATGTAACGCATATGTACAGCAGCCCGGGAGTTTGCGGCCCGAACCCCGCCTCGTCATCTCCAGCGTTTTGCCGAAATGACATGTGGCGCTTTATCCTCTTTTCTCCCGCTCGAGTGTTGGAACCTCCCAAAAACTACAAGCGCATCTGATCGAGGCTGGGATCGCCTATCGATGCTCATTTACCTGTCTCTTGGTTTAAAGGTCTTAGGTCACTACATGTGGTTCAGCAACCGGCGCAGAGACCTTCCAGCTCTTCACCACCATGACCAAGACGAAGCAGCATTCGCTGGTTGCGACCTACCGGTTACGACACGGCACACGGGGCTCGCCGGCCCAATTACCTACAACCCAATTATTCATACAGCATGCCGATTTTCAAGCCTCAGGACACTAGCCACGTAAGGCTTCACAAGGGCGGTAAAGTCTCCTTCCGTTCAGGTGAAAGATTTTGTCAGAAATTGCTGCCAACTTACCAGTACATGAGCCCTCTAGGCTCTTTAGCGCTGACAATGGGCTTCACGCTCGCGGTCATCCTGGCACCAGTTGTGGATGTCTGTGTAAGAAAATATCCGTAAGGCCTAATTCCGGGCTCCAGTGACGAGCATTAACGAAACATCAAGGTCAAGGACAGAATTATATATGCGGTCATCTGCGCCGTGCCTGAGAAGCTGGTGCTTGCGGACCATGAACCATGAAATATAGGCGTCTTTGGCCTTGGACCCATAATTCAATAGCGTCGAATCATTGGACAACTATCAACCGCAAAGTCCGAAAGAAAATGTAAAAGGGCACAGTGACTCACGCCGGGCGCTCTTTCAGGCAATTAGAGCGTCTCCAAGGTCATTGGCTGACCCTTCTCTCCGAGGATAGGACTGAATTATTTAATCTTCGAAGTCATGCCACGGCGTCTATTCCAGGTGCCATATATTTCTTGCGCGCCAAGGCTTGCCGTGGATATTCCATATCAATTGATATACTTCCGAGAGCGGTCGAAGAACGCTGATCGGACCTGATTCCTTTGCTGACACAAACGATTGTCGGACGCCTGCGCCTCCCTCCATGTGCGCATAAATATGATGCGGCATTCTCCACAAAACTTCGTTCCTCCTCGACTGCTGACCCCGACTCCTGCGCTAGCTAGTCGACATGCGCCCAAACCCGCTCACCGTGTGGCAATTAATCTCTCTTTTCCCGGCTCTCCTCCTGCTCAAAGCTGTTGGGTCAAGGGCGTCTGAAGCTGAGGCAAAATGTGGCAAGGACGTTATCAGCCGCGACAACCAGAAATACAGCTGCAAGTGCTATCCAGGAGACGCCTGCTATCCTTCGGCAAAAAAGTGGCAGAAATTCAACTCCACAGTCGACGGAAATCTTTCTGTTGCATTCCCCCCTGCAGCACCCTGCTATCCTTCCGTGGCCGGCACCCCCACTTTCGACGCCGCAAAATGCGCGGAGGTTCAGGCGAACTTCTTCGGTCAACAATGGACGTAGGTGCCGAATTTCATTCGTCCAGGTATCGTAACTGACTGTCTATCTTATGCTAGCACCGACCAGCCTATTGCCAATATGTGGACCTACTGGACGAACGAGACGTGCTTGCCCTTCCCCACCGAGAACGTCCAAACCTGCAGTAGAGGCTTTTACGGCGACTATGTTATTACGGCCAAAACGAAGAAACACATCAAAGCAGGCATCGACTTTGCTCGGGAGAACAACCTTCGTCTCGTCATCCGCAACACTGGTCATGACTTCCTGGGACGCTCTACTGGCTTCGGATCCTTGATCCTCAACACCCACAGCTTCAAGGATGTCACATTCACAAAGAGGTTTACCGGACCAGGCAATTACCGCGGTGGCGCAGTCACTGTTGGGGCTGGGATGCAGCTTCGCGACCTTTACTGGCTGGCAAATGCGCAAAGCCCTCCGGTCGTGGTTGTGGGAGGAGAATGCCCCGTAAGGTCGTTTTTTTCAGTCCAGTCGATATCTCCTCATCTGTTCGCTCATAGACCGTTGGAATTGCTGGCGGTTATATTCAAGGAGGTGGACACGGCCCTATGTCGTCATTCTACGGAATGGGTATCTGCTGATTCTTATCCTTTATTGGTATCTTCTTAAACTTCTATGTAGCTGCCGATCAAGCCCTGTCATTCGAAGTTGTTACCGCAAGTGGGAAATACGTCACAGCAAATGCAGTAGAGAACCGAGATCTCTTCTGGGCTCTCAAGGGCGGCGGACCGAGTACCTTTGCTGCCATCATTTCCGTCACCGTGAAGACATTCCCCGAAGTGCCAGCTGCTGGTATCATCTTGAACATCAACTCCACCCACACAAATGACACTGAGCTCTTCTGGAAGGGTGTGGCCGCAGTCCATGACCTTTCAAACCACTGGGTTGACCATGGCATCTTCATCTACCACGAAATAGCGACTCTCCGCCTCCATGTGCAGCCCATTGTCGGCCCGAACATGACCGCAGCGCAAATCAATGCGATTGCAAAGCCCATGTTTGACGCTTTGGATAGCCAGGGAGTGCCGTATTCCAGTGTGACGAAGGAATTCCCAACCTTCTTCGATCTGTACATCGACATGTTCGAGGACGAGGGTGCCGGTTCGAGCGCCTTGGTTGGAGGGCGCATCTTCGTTCGGCAAGACATCGAAGAGAACGCCAGCGGCATCATTGAGGCGTACAAGACAGCGACGGCTAACAATGCCTTTATCATTGGACACGTCGTTGGTCCTGGTCATGGCGCACCTATTGTTGACAATGCTATCCATCCTGTCTGGCGCAACGCGTCGAGCTTCAGCATCACGTCGATCAGCATCCCAGGCAACGCACCATTGACCGAGAAGGCGAGGGTGCAGAACCTCATCACCAATGTTGTTGGAGAGGCCTTCAGAGAAGCTGGCCCCCACGGCGGTGCATACGTTAACGAGGTAGGCCTGGTGGCCCAATTTCTGAATTTCGTCTTTTTTTGACCCCAAATTCTTATAATAGGGAGACCTTGAGGAGCCCAATTGGCAGCAGGAGTACTGGGGCTCAAACTACCCGAGGCTCTATAGGCTTAAACAAGTCTGGGATCCTCAAGGTGTCTTCTACGCTCGAACTACACCAGGCACAGAAGATTGGGAGGTGATCGACTTCGGTACAAAGTTGTGCAAGAAATGCCAAAGAAACTGATCATTACATAGTGTATTAATCCTATTAATGTTCGAAATAGCATCCTCTTTCGCTTTCAGCTTGTCGAGACGGTTATATTGGTATTACTAGTTTGCACGTCGAGGGAAGTGTAGACTAAAAGTGAATCAACACTGGACACTGCCATGCATGCTCGCGGTCGCAGTCGCAGCGCCAGGGATTCGAATTGTTGGTGATGTTGCCGAACTTGAAGCACCGTCGTCTAATAGCACATAACGCCCATTCTGCAGTTTGACATCTAGGGACAGTCCATTTGAGGTCGAACCTGCTCTCCATAAAGGAGTAATACCAAACCACGCCTTGAGTTTCGCCAGCCACCTCCGACGGCCCTCATGGCCGCCGTTACGTGGAGGATCATCCAAAAGGCCCTCCCATCGATACGTAGGCCGCGCACGGATGCCTGACACGTCGTGGTCTGTCCCGCCACCAGTGCCCAGTGTAGAGGACTGCGCCTCGGTGAGAACGTCCACATCTTCCATGTCCAGTTCACGTCTATCATTGCCTAGATGGAACATAACCGCCTGAAAGGTGTCAGAGCATGTAACCGCGGTGCTCAAGACAAAAGGATGCTTACGCGGCGGGAATCTCGGAAAACAGCATCATTTAGTCGTAAATAGAGCTTGTTCAAAACCCCAGTGTGGAAGAAATCGAACAGGTGTGGTTTCTTGTGAAGCAAGCCTCTCTGAGTGAGAAAACTCTCCAGGGCAGGCCGAGAGAGAGGTGTATACGCGATGGAGGTCTTGTAGTGGGGGTTGAAGTCACAAGCGTGCTTCTGCAAGCCGGAGATTGTGTCGTGGTTTCTTCTCCACAAATCATCCTGTAGAACAGTCGGTCATCCTTGACTTGGACCGAAGGACGGAACATATAAACAACATACCCAGAATATGTACCACCACGTTGCTGCCTCGGAGGTTGAGACTGCAGCCAATCTATCATAGGCCGACCGAAAGACAGGTTTACTCTGACTCATCAGCTGACAGACTCTAGCGTCTCGCTCCAAGTCGAGGCAGCTTCGAGCAATTGTGTCGGGATCGCGAGGTTTGTCATACACAGATGTTAAGAAACGGTAGGTCAAAACGCGCGATTTCCATTGACACTCCTTTCGATGATGCCGCTTGTACTCTGAAAGCTTTCCTTCGATCGGATGTAGACCCTGGTCGACGAGTTCTCTGTTGATTTCCAGAAATCGTGCGAGCGAGGATGTCAGGTCGTAATCCTCATTCAGCCCTATTACCTCGCCAGAAACTTTGACCTTCTTGGAGTATCGCAGCTCAACAGTGAAGCCACTACCCAAAGGTAGCCCTTTCCATATCAGATGGCCACGACGTTTGATGCGTAGAACAGCGTGTTGGTACTGGCGCGATGTCACGGCGCTGTAGCGGCGGCCACAACACCATGGTAGATTGGTGCCAACATCCTGTGTATAGAACATGTCAGATTGCGTCAAATCCGGTCATTGAATACTTACCTGAATATGTTCGTACGGCCACCGAACAATCTGACCTTCCAGTGCTCGCAGGGACATGCGGATATACCGCCTCCTCTGAATATCTACTGAGGAATTCTGGGAGATATAAGCTTCGAGCTCAGAGGTAGCAGTCAGGACTGCACAAGGTCCCTCGTCATAGCGAATGACCTGACAAATTTTTAGGCACGGAGAAGAAGGACCTCATAGCTCAAACACATACAAGAGCTGGAGGAAAAGGAATCCACCACGCATTTCCAAAGAAACTAGAGCAATTGGGTATGGCACTCTCCCCGGGTCCTTTCCAATAGCTGTCCGGGCCAACGAAATTCTTGAGGATGATGCCTTCTAAATCTCTGTACCAGGCAAAGTCGGGGCCAGTTGTCAATGCCACAGCCTTGCTGTAGGCTTCTAGACCAACATCTCGTAAGATCTGCGACGGTTGGGTATTCAGGGAGTCCATTCGATATGGTGAATTACATACACACCTTTAGATTCTCTACGTGCCTCTCAGCGGGCGTACCCATGAAGTCAAGAAGATAAGGCGGATACTCCGAGTCTCGCGCTTGGGCAAAAGCCATTGCTTGCTTGGCGGGTATATGACATTCCGGATCTGTCAAGAAGAGGGTACTAATAGATTCCTGCCAGATGCGTCGTTTGGTGTGGACGGAAGTGGGCGAAATATCCAAACTTGTACACGTATAAGTAAGATCGACGTTTCCTAAAGCCTGGCCGCCCACCGTGGAGAAAAAATGTCAATGCCTGCAGGAATTGTAATCAGCGGCATGAAAACAGTCAAGAACGATACAACTTACTGAAGTCGATTCTTCTAGTCAACCCTGTAAAGGCGAAAGTGGTCCATGCTATTAGGACAAGAAATATCAGTAGCGAAACACTTACGTTTTATAATCCGTTGCATCCAGCCAAAATTAACAAGAGTGAAATCTAAGTTCCGATGTTTGTGAAATTAAGAAGGAGCAGGCGGAGGTGGAAGACATACAAAAGCCAAGGCCATAGGTTAAAATATAGATACTGGTAAGCCAAACGAGTGGTCAGGAGACAGTCAACAGAGCAAAGAAAAAAAGGCTACCTATACAATACATAAGTATCGAATATGTCCTTCCCAGGTACATTCAAAGTGATGACAAGAGCAGTCAAAGATGTCGATAGATAATTAAGCCGGGATGTCCATTCGCTGGCATTGTTCACAGGATCCAAGAACGGTGCGAAAACAGATTGCGCAAGAAAGAAAGATAACGTTGATACCAGTAGGAGACATTGTCGGACGATCGGAATGGTTGTTCGAGAGAAAGCGCGAAAGAAGCAATTATCTGGATCAATCACGGCGACAGTAAGAAGAGTGCTGAGTTTGGCGAAGAGGTAGGTTGAAATGTATGTGCCCCAGCCACGACGGAAACCTGCAAGTTGGCCGTTAATATAGCTTCTATCGGATCAAAGGAGACGAACCGTTGTACAGAAACGCAAAAGGATTGCGATCTCTCCCAAGAAGCCGGTGATACTCCGCATCCAGGTCTGCTTTGCTGCGACGTCGACCAAGTTCCGTAAACTTGTCCACCTTAGGGACAGATCTCTTAATGACTCGACGAAGGGCAATCGGGAACCAGAGTGTGAACTTGCCACGCTATCAGCTTTCACCGTTTTACGAGACGAATTTGAAATACAAAACATACGAAAACGAAGACTATAGCAGCGAGGGCGACCACGAGGGGTGCCAGGTTGACTTCATTCCGTTTCATGGTTGTAGTCCAACAAAAGTCGAGCGGATCACGAAACTCATTTGGAGGGCCTAGAGGAATTGGATTGGGCGTGCCTGTTGCATTCTTATATGGATTTGGTACTGCCCATAGTTCTTCTGACCACACCAGCACGTGGACTGACATGGTGCTGAGAGGAAGATAAATGGTGGTCAGCAGGAAGGTGACGATCAGGAGGCCCCATTGATTGCCTTTGGTTTCTGTTTGTTGAAGTCCCTCGATGGAGTTGTAACGATCGCAACGTGTCGTTGAACGATGAAAGTAATACAAGAGGATGCCGGCCAGAAAGATGAAGACGGCAAGGAGTATGAGGGATTGCACCAGCACAGAAGCAAAGTTTAGTGCAAGGACATTTGGTCTATATATATTCCGAACATTAAAACGAGAGGCTAAAGAATCTGAAATAATCCTCACATTGTACCCAAGAATAGACCCCTCCACTTCTCGCCGAGGTCGTTTGTCCCTCCGACTGGAACTGATGCGAAAGTATGGATTCAGGTTACGTCTCGAGAATAGAGCGCTCACGCACCTATCGTGCTCAAGATCAACGCAAAAATCTGTACTGTGTTTATTAAACCCTGTAAGCTGTAGAAAGACGCAAGGGCACTCGACCCCTTGCAAATAACGTGAGGAGAGATCCAAATAAATGGCGAGACAGCCTACCAAGAAACCGATGAGTGCATTTGAAGATGCCCCAAGAATAGACGTTCGATTTCTCCATGCAGGAGGCACAGTCGTATTGGTCTCCAGGTCATCGAGTGAAAGTCCAATCTTTGCCAGCTGATCAAGAGGAGGAAACATCATCCCGTCATGCCGCTCAGAATCCTTACCCAATGGAGGGGTAGATAATTGCGAAATATAGTTGTCAAGCTTCGGCAAGCTTAAGGGGAAAGCGCCTCTTGAAAACACAATAGGCGCTGGAATGGGTTTGTGAAACGGAAGATGCCTTGGGTATTGAGAGGCGGAGTGAGGACTCTTGAGGCTAATACCATTTACATCTGACCAGGGGCTTTCAGGAGGGTATAAATGCCCTACGAGGTATTCTTGTTCATCGGCGTCATAAGTGATGGGTAGTGCTCTTGAGAAATGAGGATGCGGAGAGCGTGAATGAGAGGCTTGTGGAGTGAGTGTAGAAAGAGACGGTGGGAAAGGTCGCTGAGAAGTTTTGTCTGAATCTTCGTCGTTCAAGATCGTCAAGGATGTCGTGGAAGTAGTCGAGGGGGGTAGTGCGCCAGAGAGGTGGAGAATGCGGGTATGTGGGTTAGGGACTTCTCCACTTTCGCGTCGTTTGAGAAATCTGGCGAGTCGTGGAGGAGGGAGTCGATCCGACGAGCCCTTTACTTCATCAATAGAACGGGCAAGGGGGTCGTTAAGTTGTGGCCGTTGTCCATGGCTCTGCGTGGATGCGTGACCATTTGTGGTCAGGCTCGCAGAAGACTCATACTTCTGAACGAGATCTTTCACGGCCATGTAGCGTCAGAGTAGTCGCATGGGCTTCGTACGCTGAAGAATAATGACAAGGTGACGTCGTACTACGTTCACCGTTGGATGCCTGGGCCAAGCCAGCCGGCCCCTTACACAGACGGCTCCATTTGGAAGTCCGGATCACAGTCACTTTGGCTTGGCGCAATTCTGAAGCTCTTGCCGCCGCAGAGATGCTTCCAAGTAATTTCGAATCTGATTCTCCTGGAAGACTCCCATATTATAAATTTTATTGGAAACGATGTTCAAATATACTAGAAATTAATATGCAAAGCAGTGTAGCACGTGCAAGGTAACTCAGCGAATATTATATAATATATTCATATACAGCAATTGTGATCGAAATGCGTAGTTCACCGCGGATGCGGCCATTTCATCCTATCACACGCTTCTGTGAACGGCTTCGAGGAATGGATAGACGCGCGTCCTTGCGCCTCTCAGCAACAACGACGGTGTCGACATCAGGCGCCATATCAACGGGCGAGCTGCTTTGCGATATACTGATGGAGCGCCGGATGAATGTTCTCATCCAAGAAGTTGTTTTAGCAACGGCTGTTGGTCGAGCCTTCAGTCGGACTGTATACTCTCGGGCACCTGATGATGTCTCATCGTATGGCCAATTCTTCTGCATCTCTTCTTCGAGAGGACCGAGAGTACAAATGAGATCCGGCTGTTCTTTCAGAAGAGTGGACAGTTTCTCGTTGAGTTTGGCTTGTCGTAGGACGGAAGGGTGGATGAATTCCTGCGTCTCCGGGTTGTTGGGCCTCACAGGCAGGTCCCGCTGGACGGTGCTAGCGAAGAAGAATATTCCAGTGGCAGAGCTGGCAAAAGAAGGCTCGAACCATGTATCTCTCAAAAAAGTAGTCGAAAGGCACTCACTCGTGAGGTTGCTGAGTGCCCCACGGAGCGACCGGTGTCGCGAGACGCGCCAAATATTCAACGTCCAGTCCCAGGTGATGTCCAACTTCTGACTAACGTTAGGAAGTTAGTCGGTCCCGATGATAGAGGATTAAAGGCAGAAGAAACGGACTGCCATCCAGATCAAGGAGAGGTCTGATAAGTCGTGATTTTTATAACCTCCTCCAATCTAACCATCACGTTAGCTAACAAGAATACTACATCAAATTCCGTCGATGTTGACTTACGTCGGTGTGACTGCCTGATTTGACCAACAAGCTACTCTTTAGAATGTGGCTGAGTATTGATTAAACTTACGCACCGGCGAACCAGACCTGAAGCTAAACATTTAGGAGAAATCAAGGATGGCTCAGATAGTGGCTTGCCTGCTTTAAAATCTGTCCCTTCTGCCGACCAGCTTCTGACTGTATAAATTTATTACAGGTCTTAGGGTTTTGGTTAGTTTGGTAAGAATGTGGCGCTTCATGTCGACTTACAAAATCCAGTCTCATTTCGTCGAGGGCCAAAGCCTGGCGGGCATATTGAACGTGCTCTCCTAGTTGACGATCAGGAAATCCGAAGAGGTTATACACCCTCCTGCCGAAGGGGATCTCCTCCGGAAGTCCTAGTGCGCCAACAGTATCCCAGACGCCTAAGAACCTAGAGAGCTTTCGATGAGACCAGGAGTTGGCCAGAAAATTACACCTTACTTGACAGTGAACTTGTCGCCGTCGATGTCAGCGCGCCGCTTGCCGTCGGATTCAGGATCCCGCCATGGAGCAAGTCTCTCTTCAAGATCACGTTTCTCTAACAGCACTCTTCAGTTTGTGGCAGTCATATACGTGACGAAGAACACACCAATTGGGTCCTTACACTTTCCGAGATTCTGGAAGTTTATGAAAATTTTGGCGAAGTTGTCCATGTCCTTACGGTCAAGGAGACCGATCTCTCCCTGGAAAGCGTGTCAGAACAAAAGACGGGACTTCAGTTTGGAGATTCATAAGCCCACAACAAACATGGCCACCATTCTGGCGGTATAGGCTCCCTAAACACGGAATTTAGGACCTTGCTTTGAATTTCAGGAAGAGAGCCTACTCTCGAAAAGCCAAATAAGAATATCTGAAAAGTCCCTAAACACGGACGTCATATTCGTGAGGTACGTATAGACGCACCTCATCCCCGGGATCGTAATTACTGCAAAGGAGTCAGAAAGGATTGCTGTGATTCCGAAGGAGGTGTGGCCTACTGCGCAATGAAGGCATACGCTTCTTCGACTTTGTCGGCTATAAATGAAGGCTTCAGCATTGACACTGTGCACCTCTACACAGCTACACACCCAAAGAACCTCCTGTAGTGCCTAACATGTCGGAAACAACAAAAAATTGTTAGTATACTGTGGTTTCCTCCGCAAAACACGGTACGCTATACCTTCTATGTATTCTGAGTAAAAGTTGTTCTCGGTACCGACACCAGACTGGTAGAACACAATTTGGGGGATCGCAGGGTGGAACCGCTTGTCCTCATGGTGAATAGACCTAGCCAGCCGCTGGTCCCTCTGCCTTGAGTTTGGAGAATGCTCAATGGATCGGAAGACATACGAGGACGTTGGTGTAGCGAGAGCGATGTTGTGAGATGCCGTCCTGCCAGGTGCTGCCATCACCGGCAACTCAAATTAAAACCCCGAGCTATCATGACGACAGACTTTGCTTCTTCTCACCCATCACAGCAAACGACGATTCTCTTGAACACCTTCAACCTCAAGTCCTGGCTGCTATGTTCGCCCTCTGGATCCGTATGGAGTCGACGAGGTGACTTCGATGGAGTGGTATTTGCCGCATTTGATGGCGGTGGACTTGGTGGCTGGAAAAGCACTGAGGCGATCGGCGGCGTTGCTTCCAAGGGTGCTGACTGCATGTTCAGGAGGGACAGGAGGGTGATGGACGTATGGTGGCGGACTGGGGACCAAGGGCTTTTAACATCCCAGAGTCCTTATATATAGTGCAGTCTCTTGGAGCAATGCCTGTCACACCTTCGGAATTTCGCACAGCACCAAGGTCTTGGGCGCCTGAGGACCTCCAAATGGTCCTGAGTTGATCTGGGCAGCTCACGAAATTTGACTAGTCTGATAGTTGATCCTTCCCGCCCCAGGCGGCTTGCAACGCTGATGAGTATCAAAGGAAGGTAGGCCGGTGCATGAGGCGCCGTGGGCATCGCCTATCACGATCTCTCCTGAAGCAATCTCGTTTCAAAGTCGCAGACCGCCAGCCGCCAGCGCCTTCTCGCCGAGCTCAATGATGATGCATATGCCTTCGGTATCTTCGTACATTAATTATATTGCCCAGGGTAAGTGATTATAAAGCTTGCGTAAATACGTACTATTTTCCAAACCGCATCTCCGCGCTCGCAAATTCATCTAGTGCCTTTCTAAAGACATTCTCATCTAGAACCAAAGGGTCATAGGACGAGCGCCAATTCCACCCCGCTCTTGGCCTGTCAAGGTGGGGTAGATTGTGACTAGAAGCTGTTCAAGAGGCTGTTTGTGGAGAAAACGTGTCTGAACACGTACTAGATTTCGGTCAGCCGAATATGCCACGGAGGAAACCCATGGAGTTCTGGTGGTGTTGGAAGTAGGTTCGAAGATGCTATGTGATGAATGATCATGAAATCCGGCGATGAGAGGGTATCTTCGTCTAGTTCCAGGTTGTGAGGATCATTAGACGAAGCTCAGGAATAAGAAAGGCAGTTCACCTTCCAATAAATCGTCAAGTTGGTCCACAGAAAGTATGAATGGTTGGCCTTTATGTGAGCGACCAGCTTTACGAAGAGGCCGATTTCGGGTCTGAGCCAATACCCGAGCTGCAGCTGCAATTGCTGGTTTTGAGGCTTCGCGTGATGCTAGGCAAAGGATGAGATCATTTTTTGGACCGTCAATTTCTTTGGGCGAAAAGATGTGAGCTAGAGCAAGGGAAGAGACAGAATGCCACGAACCCGCTGCATTCCTTCCAACCGACTTGCGACGTTTATGCCCTTCTTTTGCCGGAGGAGGGGGACTACCGACATGTAGCATTGTTACAGGTACTACGCTGGCTTGATTGTGGTCTGGAGATAAAGGGCGGGATTCCGAGTAATCCGAAGGGGGCGGCGTCAAAGGAAACTCAGTTTCCGATTCGCTCGAGTCATTTCCTGAACTCTTCACGGGAAGACAGTCACGGATGTTCCGCGTGCATTGGGAAAGTATATCTAATATGAACATTTTGAGTACTAAAACCCACCTCGAGTAAACGAACATACCTGTTTCTTCGTACACTGTAAGTTTCTTGATGCCAATAGTGCGACACCACTTCACAGTGTTCAAAACACTTTCGGTCAAGATACCCTGGGCCGTTGGCGCAGATACAGTTTCATCGGTCACAAATACAATGGCTAGATGTTTCGGGATACGGTGGCGATGAGCGGTCAACAGCTGCGGTTGGGTTGGAGAACATTGGTTCCAGAAAGAGCGGATTTTGAGGACCAGGGAGTAGGCAAAATGAAAGACATGTAGAATGAACGCGAAAAGAAATTGCATGGCAAGGGGAGAGGGAGCAACAACAGGCTGTGGGAGGAAAATATGGACTGTCGACGTGTTCCTCTGTCGTCACTGCTCGATCAACAGTCGCGCTGCCTGTTATGGATTGTTGTTCTATTTCTGGACTCACCCCTAGCACTAGATCTTCATGTCGGTTGGACTGGACGCTGAAGCAATTATTGGTTGGCTTGAACAATGGGGGCAGACTCTACCAACCTATCGTGTGCGGATCCTTTATAATGAGAATCGATGGAATTCGAACTGTACAGCCTCGAGTGCTTCGAACATCATGACAGTCTTTGATCAAGGTGAGTTGCTAAATATACAGCGTTCTAACCCATAAGATACAGGCGAATCCATCAACAGATCAAGTCAGGCTAGGTTCCTCTTGAATTCCCCGCTTTATCTTGAGGAGAATGTTGGTCTTCCAGTTGTCGAGTTTCGTGACCTGGTCGAACTCAACAATAGCACCCGTGAAGGATTCCACGTCGCCAGCCTCTACCGTCTCAGTCAAGGCACTAATGAACTTGGCTTCACGCGTGGTGGCAAAAGTAGAGTCCTGATTGCAGTACTTTTGCATGTTTCGCTTTGCTGTGACCGTATCCTACGCAACGTTAACAGGACCTTGAGGGCTATATATTGAAAGGACATACATTCATCGCGAGCGCGCATAGTCCAGCTCGAAGCCAATATTCCTTAACGCTGTACTTCGTTAGAGCGGACCCAAGTGAATGATCAGCGACTTGTTCGTATCGAGCGATGGCTTGCGGGTATTCGTCGAGATCGGCATGAAGGTCGGCCGCATCTTTATAGCATGCATTGGCCGTTCTGCAAAAAGGTCAGTTAGGTTGCGATTCCCTATTCATATGCGATGCTCACGCAGTGGCATCTTCTTGGGCATACCAATCTCCTGCCCGAACGTAACTTTCACAAGCTCTTCGGAGATCGTTAGACTCCTGAAGATAGATCTGCCCAATTTCTTTTTCTCTATCCGCAGCCTGCCTGAAGCGACCCCCTTGAGTAAGATGGACGATAGTTTGTGTTAGGGCCTGGATAGCAACTGTGGGATGTCGATTACTTCGGGCAGCTGTTGCTGTCGGAGGCCTGACTCACGATCAGGGAATCCTCTCTTGTAGGCCTTGGAGGCGTTCCACCAAGCATTGGCCGCTTCATTCCCCTCTTTGCATTGCTCTCTGCATTCAGCTTCTCGGGCGAATGCATCCCCCGCTTCCTTGAACAGCTTCTCGAGCTTGAACGCATTGGCGGCTTGCTGATAGAGATCGCCGGCCTCCTCAAACTTCGAGGTAGCAGAAGTAAACCAGCCAGTGGAGGAGTTGGCCTTCTTGTCGGCCTTCTCAAGCAGGACTTGCGCAGGTGATTTAGACGGCATAATGGGGGAGAGGAGAAAATGGTGGAGCGTGACAAACTGCGTCGCAGCACTGCCGTACTCCGAGTTGTGTCAAATAGGCCTGTAAGCCCAAAATGCTCCACGTTGGCGCCCTTGACCTCTGAAGGTTCCGTATTATTATTTTTCGCGGCCACTACAGCACAAACTTTGCTGGTGAATTTCGACATGATAGCCACTTGATATTTCGATGTGATACGTGACTCGACTCCCAAGTCTAACAGCTTGATCCACCGACTTGTGCTACAGCATCGCCGACATCTTGTCACCGAGTTCCAGCCTTTCATTCTCCTTCGAAGAGTCAATATTTCTGGAAGACTGTCTGTAACTCCTATGGTATGCCCCTTTTGTGTTCATCGTCATTCCGGACGCGATTGATTTCGCAATTGAGCAGCCCAGTCCTTTTTTTTTTGTCTTATTGGTCCGAAGCTCAACTTGAAGCGGCTTCCCTCAGTGTTTTTTTGTTGATGATAGGACACACCAAATAATTCTATCCTGAAGCTTTGAAAGTATGATTAAAGATTGAAAAAGCTATCGACAATCCCAGAGGACAATCGTTGAACGACAGCGCGTATGCGTGCCTGGCGTCGCGGGCTCGAGAAGTTCGAGGTTGACATGCTGCCCTTTAAAATAACAGGTAGGACCTTCAACGGAACAGCTGAATGGTTCCTGCCTCCATCTCGAGTTGGGCCGTCCGTTCAACCTCCGAAATGAAGAAAATCGTGTGCAAGGAAGCTTTGTCAGATTGACAACCGATGCCTTATGTACCGTGGGTAGATTCTCTCTTGTATCTCTTGTGCTCTCTGCCGCCTATCGGCGCGTGCTGCTTGACACTTCCTTGGAACTTCTTCCATCTCAGTAACTCCGCTCCGTGATTGCTGGAAGCACTCCTGGCCTATGCTAGACTGTCTATTTCTGTCATTCCATCCTTCCAAAGGCACGGCATCAAGCTGGTAGGGCGGACGTTCGCGTTATTTGACCCTTTTTTCTGGTGGCATCTTCACCCTTCTCTGACTTCGCGTAAGCCTATACTCATATTTCGACCGGTCCCGTCCTCTGGCCTGGAGGGTATATATGCCTTCAACCTTCTGTAGAATGCTTACTGTCGCTAATGCTAGCTGCGACTGTCCGTCCTGTCAATTCTGCTGATCCTCATGCGGACGGAAGCTCCTGCGAATACTTACATCTTCTCCGCCTTGTACTCGGTCGAAGGAAGCATACCTGTCTACGTTGACTTTGTCTATCATTACCGGCTGGACAGTTCGCCCTGACCATGCCATGCCATGCCAGGGAACTTCTTCCGCTTCTTAAGCTTCGAGTCCCGATGATGGACGACGCATTACTCGATAATATTTAAGAGTCCTTCGGATGAATTTGAGGCGTTTGGGTCCCTTTCCATCCCCTCCTTCCTTTCCTTCTCGAGATGCTCGTCCGTGCGTCCCTTTGCTGTTCCGCCGCACTTTTGTCCTCTCTAGTTGCCGCCCGCCCCAGGAATCCAAATCCCAAGCGAGGCATAGGTTACTCCGGAACAATACCAGGGGACATTATCAATGCGAACCAGTCGGATAGCCTGATTTCCTGGCAGTACAACTGGGGGGATTTGCCTCCCGCCTATCTTGCAACGTCCAATATCAAGTACATCCCGATGCAGTGGGGTTCCGTGGGCATTGACAATTTTGCTGAAGATGTCAAGATGCAAGACGCGGATACGATCCTTGTCAGTAATTTCTCTGTGCAGCCCGTTGAACAGGCCAGCTGATAGTTCGCCCACTTCCTCGTAAGGCGTTCAACGAGCCAGACTATGTGAACGAGGCCAACATGGATCCTGTGGAGGCAGCGCATCTTTGGATACAATACATCGAGCCTCTCAAATCCCTCGGAATCCGCCTGGGTGGACCTGCTGTTACAGCTTCACCAACCGGCCGCCCGTGGTTAATCTCCTTCCTCGAGGCCTGTCGGAACTGCACCATCGATTTCCTTCCCTTACACTGGTGCGTTGATTTGATTTGTGCATTTTCTTTTTCGCTAAGCATTCGGCTAGGTACGGCACTGGGGTCGAAGGGTTTTACGGATACATCTGGGACGTTCACAACACTTTTTCTCGATACCCAATCTGGATCACGGAATATGCTGATACGTCAACAAATGACACTGAAGTTCTCAATTTTCTCAATCAAACGGTTACTTATCTTGACACCTTGGATTGGATTGAACGCTATGCATGGTTCGGCTATTTCGTAAGTCAGTATTGCCAGGATCAGTTTTTGAGCTCTGACACCCCTCCAGCGCCCTCGCCCAGATGCTCACTACAGTAAGGGCCTATCATTCAGCTATCAGGAATTTCCACTAACGTATACCAGATCTGCTTAGGGAGGATGGAGGATTGAATGCCTTGGGGGAACTTTATATCGGCGCCAAAACTGTTCATACGCAAAACGTCACGGAACCACCGAGCACTTTAAGGACAGTGAACGGTGCTGACAATCCGACACAAGCTCCTGCCTCGACCTGGGCGCCATACCCAAGCTCTGCACCTTCCCTCGGTGGCTGGAAGTTGCAACTAATCATTGCTGCTATGACGCTACTCAGTTGTTACCTCGGAGTCCTTTCGGTAACCTTGTAGCAATATTCAAGGCAACACCAGTCCAAACTTGTATCACCGTGACCTCCATATGAATGCACCACACTCACTTAGGATATAATGAATCACATCTCTTGTTACCTTATACGTCTAGGATCTGGTATAGACATTACAATATTTTCTCATTTTAAAGTTGGAGGCTCAAGCTTTCGTGTAAAGAGGCTCGACTCTGAGTTCGTCCGTATTTTTAGTAATGCCAAGGGCGTGAAGGGTCACTTGTGTGGGAGTAGATGACTAAGCACCCATGTCCCTTATTTCGGTACTCGGAGTAGCTGCTAATTTGAAGTTGGAATCGGCCATGTTCAGCAAACTCGTCTGTCTAACACTCCTAGGGCTCCTTCAAGGTAGCCTTGGACACGGAGACCACGAACATGCAGGACCTGCTCAAGGAGAGACAATCCAACAGTATGCCCAACGACACGTAAGCCTTGTCACCCTTCTCTTCTTTATTTCGTCCTAAATGTCATCCCAGATGACCTCCGAGCACCATATGTAAGCCTCAGCGCAAGCACAACCCCATGTTGTTCACATACATGATATCGCTTCCTTAGTGATTCCTTCGACACCCGGAGTTTCTTCCAATTGCATGACCTGAATCGGTGAGTCCCCTACATCGTACAAATGAAACGTGTCGTCTTCCAACGCGTGGTGATTCACAGGAACGGTATCTGGGACAAAGACGAAATTGAGGCCATTTACGGTGTTCATCATGTCTACTCGCAGAAGAAGTCCAAGGTGTGTGGCAAGCACGGGAGTCTTAGTCTGCGTCTGTTGACTAAGGACTCCTAGGACGAACTTGAGCATCAGAAGAAAGCGGATCATATCGTCAAGTCAGTGCTTGAGCGTCTTGATCTCAATGGCGATGGTGTTGTTTCCCCGGAGGAACTCGAGAAAGTAGGCTTGGGCGGTCTACCGAATTTCGACGGACTCGGTGCTGAAGGCCACCATTACGACGTCGAGAGTGGTACGCAGAGAATGACCTTCGGACTTATAGACTTTCAATGCTGATGCACATACATAGAATTCTTCCTCCATCATGAAGGTCAGAAAGCTTCACTCGACGTTTGCCCAAAAGGTGTTAAACCGGCCGTTTAGAACAATTCCACTCGACACCTGAAACCCAGACTGATGAGTCGTATACACATCCTGAAGATTTGGAGCACTTCGCCCAGCATGAAAGCATTGAGCGCCAGGAAACTGAACGCGAAGCCAAATTCCAAGGTATCACCGTTGAAGATGTCTTGAAGGCGCAGGACGAGGCAGCAGCAGCCTCTTCCTCCTCTGCAACCGTAGACGCCACACCGACTTCCAGGCCTGTAACAAGAATTACTCCTCCAGAAAAACAAGAGCCAGAAGTGAAGTATAGGAACGCCAAGACTGAAGGCGCTCGAAAGGGTGAATGGGGTAGCGGAGAAGCTGGGTACAAGCCACCTACAGACGCAAGTGACAAGCTCAGGTGAGTCATGCTTTCTATATTTCAGGCGAGCCTTCATAGCATTAATTGAACCCAACAGGAAGAATCTCCCCTACAAGGTATTGTCTTTTCCTTCAACTGGCGTTGTTACTACTGAGCGCTGAAAAGTCTTCCCGAATGCAGTACAAATTCCGACGTAATTGGGGCGACTTCTGAGCTTCTTGTATATTGATCTTGTTCTAGGATCTCGCGATCTCGTCGTTGTATTTATCTCATCATTTGAATTTGCAAGGGATATGGCCTGTTTGAACTTGACCGGAGAGAATCAACACAGTAAGGGTATAAATTCTTGAAGACGGTATGAAAGCCAAGAAGAAGCTATCTACCATCAAACATGTCCGCCACGATAGATTTTTCAACTGCCTCCCAGTCAATGCTGCCACCACTTGCATAGACGCTCTCGTACGACGATATGCTGATGTTGGAGAAAAAAGGAATAAGATCCCTCATACTCTCTATTTGCCGCAAAGATCCTAAAAACGGTCTTCGCATAGGTCGCCGGTCTGTATGGCTGGTGGTAATATCGACATGATTTGAACCTGTTGACTCCTGGTAATAATGACGTGTCAGTACCACAAAGAGAAGGGACAGGAAAGAACCAAACTACAACTGGTAGGCTGTTTGCTAACTCTGCGAGTTGATCTAGCATGGCTTCTGGTGACCAGCCATCAGGGCGGTAGACGGCATCTACGGTGTCTGTGATGAATATCCATTGGTGACTGCATCGGATATGAGCTAGCAAACGATGCACATGCGACAAGGCCCTTACATCTGGAACTCCTCAGTCTGAAGCACCAGGAGAGTGTCCAAACATTTGCAAGCAGCTAGTATCAGTTGCAAGTCTTCCGAACCATCGGCAGGTATATTCGTCAGGGCCTGCTCAAATATACGTTGCTGGAAGTTGTTCAGATAGATGCAAATAGAAGCGAGGTAACCAATGGCTCACCATCTCAGTCAGTACAACCGGCCAAAAGCTTGTAAGGTTGTGCGGCGATAGTCGACAAAGCAGGACTCGGATGCACAGGAAGACTTCACTCTGTACAACAGGGGAAGGAATACTCCGAAAGATATCCACTAGTTTCTCTTGGATCGTCGGAAGTTGTGTGAGAAAGTGATTTTTCTCGCCGGTGAATAGGACGTATGAAAGCCGTCGCAGGTTCAGAGATCTCAATAACATTTCATATTCCCGGTTTGTGAAAATATTGGTAGAGGGCGCATTAGCCACCTTTCCTGCAGAAGATTTGGTCAACAGGGATTACGGGAGAACCCTCTCTCAGAGACCAACCTAAAAGCTCTGGAAAAGTAGTCTTGTCCGAGTCATACAGAGATTTGACTATGGGTTTCCATTTCATGGCATCCTCGGGGTTGCAGTTAAACAGCCGATTGTCGTTGAGAAGATCAGATACAGGAGTCCTCCATGATTTAAGGGCAGTGGGTATGCGTGTCATTTCCTGCAATATCTGTATCACCGTTGAGTCGACGTCCATGGGTCTTAACATTCAAGGTGGAAAAAAAATCAGAGATTTCTCTGTACCAATGAGCGACAATGTCATACCTGGTTTTCCCTCGAAGTGCTGGGTTGACGATGTAATAAATAATGTTGTTGCATGCACTGATGATCTTGTCGTTTTCCATCAAAAGTTTGCGCAGATTCGGCAGGGCGGAGGCTGCGACGAAACCATTGATCTGAGGATGCTCATGAACAGAGCTCGCTGGCGAACACGTCAAATCAATTACGCACCTGTCCGATGACTTCCAATGACCCTAAACGAGGCGTTTCTGGAGGAATTGATGTTACAATCACTTCAGACTTGTCATCGGGCTTAGGTATTGAGTCTATGTTTACCAGATAAATACAGGTGATTTAGGCGGCCCGTGAACGAAACAGACCTTGTCGTGGAGCTGGAGACTCTCGCCCGCTGTTGCTGATAGCTTCCTTTGCGCTTCTTCGAATCCAAGACCCCTGGTCCGTCGACCTACCGACATAGACAATGCAAGAATCAAGCAATTTGCCGTAATTATCTTGGAGCTCTTTCCGCATTTTTCTATCTTCCATTGCTGTTGTCTGGGAGATTTTATCTGCCAATACCCCGAGACATCTGTCTCAAGTCAGCTTTTCATGTGCAATGGAGATGGAAATAGTCATACTTGAGAGCAGGGAAGTTATATAGCTTGAAATCTCGCGAGGCGCTGATGATTTCTTTGATAAGTTGGATAAATCGCCCCCAAACCTGGACAGCAAGAGGGCCTTCTAGTCGGCGGAGGTATTGCTCTAGAAATTTGAACAGTACGTTGTCAGTCCTACGGCTGAGATTCAGCGTGCTAACAAGAGAGGGAGAAAAAGAAGCCTACAAATTCGGGTTAATGGCTTGTTTCCTGTTCTTCTCCGGTGACCCTAAGATCCTGATTGATATGCTTTCACAAATCATATGAACTGCATTCTGGGCATTTGCGACAAGAACATCGACAAGTTCGAAGGCAGCATCTGGGGATGAGACTGACAACTGCTGGATGTCAAGTCGTGTTCATAAGAAAACATGCCATCCTTACCGTTTGGTCTCTGCTCCACCAATCAATAATCGACTCGAAGACTTCAGCACTTTGAACGCGGAATAGATGCTCAAGGACACGCCGACATCGCAGTCGACTTCGATTATATATTAACGAGAATGAATCATCTTTAGGTGACCATTCATGCGGAGCCTTCCACACGAGGGAGGCCCACACAGAATACAAGACCCGAATTCCTTCATCCAAAGAACGGTACCCGGCAGAGCGAGACTGTTCGAGAGGATGAGCAAGGCAAAGGCGAGGAAGTGGAAACAGAACGTACTGTTAATTGTTCGGTCTGATTGGCTGAACTTGATTCAGAACTAAAAACATTCGAAACATATCCTAGCAAGCCACCACCATCAGCAGTTGACTTTTCCATGGTGTTGGCTTCATCGTCGGGGGAGTTTATCTCTGAGGTGTACGCCAGACTCAGGAGAATCAAGCGCTCTAAACCATTGAGCAGCATGATAAGTTCAGCGTCAGAAACTGATACGGCCATGTCATCTGCGTAATCCAGCATCTGGGTAGTTGATCTAAGCACATCTGCCAGGGAGGAAAGGACCTGGCGGCATAAACAGTCGTTAAGAGGGGTAACGACTGCCTGCAAAGTCGGCTGAAACTGTGGGACGGCCATAAGGATGAAGTCGAGCCAGTGTTGGAGAACTGGACGATTGCTTCGTGTTGAAATACCATCCACAAGTGTTTGTACCATAAGGGGGTTCATGGGGTGTCGCAGGGTTGGGTCAGCAGTCTTTTCAGGCACGCTTGCGCTGTCTGGAACAGTATCTTCTTGACTATTATTTGCAGGGCGCTGAGCTGACTCCAGAAGGGCAGTTGAAACAGAGATCACAGAATGCAACAAATGAAGCCATTTGTTTTGGAGGTCTAGTCGACCGGTATGTATTGAAAAATAAAGTTTCCCGATGGTCGTGGCTTCAATGGTTTCAATTAGGCCGTGCACAATGTCGCCTCGAGATACAATGGCCTGTAGGAGTTCGATGGCGTTGCTCTGAATGATATTGTTCAATGGTTGCATGGATTCAGCCAGTGTTATATTTGGCTCAGATTGGACGAAGCTATTTAGGACTGTCAGCAGGAGTCAATTCCAGTGATTGAATTGCGACAAACCGGAGCAACGTTTCAATCAAGACGTCCAGGTAAGTTGCCTCTGCGTCTCCGAAGCCACCTTCACGCCCATCAGCTCAGTAAAGTGCAAAGAGGTCGGATTACTTACTGCTCGTTACCCGTTGCAACAGTCCAATGTGATGTGAACGCTTAATAGAGGACGTCCTTGCGGCCTTTGTAAAGCCTTGCCCACCAAAGGACACAATTGAGAGTAAGGTCTCCAGAAGATGATTCATAATTCTTTGGTCGAATGCACGTTCGTAGGAGAAGCCAGGCAACTCTCTCCCTCTAACTTTGAATGTTGTGGGGTTTCGCACTATCCCAGGGTCTAGAAGGTCATGAAGGATAGGGTCAAGAATCCTGCTTATTGTTAGTTCCAGTTGCTGTAAGACCCGATGCCATCGTACCTGATGTACGATTTCAGGCTACAACGCATCCACGTTTCTCCAATCCGTCGAAGTCCGGGCTTGTCGCTCTTCAAAGCGTCTAAAACAATCATCATAGGGACCTTGAAATAAAAGCCGGGAAGTAGGGTGTCGTCTTCGACAAAATTGTCAGCAAGTGCACGAGAAGGGCCACAGCAACAAAATCTCATACCAGACAGCCTCCATAGAACTCCAAATGCTTCATAAGCTTCGTATGCCTTGCGGGATTCAGGCGAAGTGAGCGATTGAGACAGAATGGATTCGAGGTGAGAGCGCGTTGTTGAAGATTGTATGGACCAGATCAAGTTCACTGCCCGAACATGATATGGCGTACACTCCGGGCCAAGATACTTCAGAAGTGCAGTCACTAATCGATACACCGTCACCCTCTCATGAATGTCCAGTTTAGTATCCAGGTACTGGTTTCGGTGAAGCGCAATTGCTAGGCTGATCACTCGATCGACCGTGGTGAAGGTGATAGTCTTAGAGGCCTTATGTTAGTAAGAGTGGATGAAGTTGCAGGAGAAAACACTCGCCGTGTGGTTCAAGGTGGAAAGCATTGAATCAAGCCACTCCTTCGGGTGCCACGCCAGAGAAATCGGGGCTACTAATCGTCCAACAAGGCGATCTACGAGGTTTAAGATGCGGCAGAACGCTTCGCGTAAAGTGCGGCCCCTTTGTGGTTCTCCTGAAAGACCCCGAGCATAAATTATGCTCATCGATGCTAATTGTTCGAAGCACGATGCCAGGGGTATAGCTGGCTGAGGACTAAAAGTCGTGAGCGTCGACTTGGCCGGGATCTTGAAAAACAAGCATGCGAAGTCATAGGGTCGTTGATAATCGTCGGAGGAGGTGCTGGCTCCAGGACGCTGCAGAAGACCTGAATGTGGAATATACTGCACCATATCGTCCAAGAGCACCATTGCCTCTCTGAAACGGTCAGAAGAGGCCTTGGAGGGGTCAGTTTGAATCTCTACCTGAGGCTGTTGTGAGTATCAAATTGATTGGGGATAATATAACACTAACGGCCATGAGGTCAATAATTGCGGAGAACACGACGGGAAGATGGATTGTCTGAACCTCCTCATCCTGAGAAAAGGATTTGAGGATGAATCGGATCAAACGCGTAGCCTGAGAGGTTCAGATGAGAGGTAAACATCATCGAATATGTCTGGCTCGAACCAACCTCGGCCTCTGTGGCATCGCCTGTCATATCCTTGAATATAGCGGACAGTAGGTGTTTCCAGAGTAGCTGTGGCTCAACGGCTTCATACAAAGTACTTGCCGTCATTGTGAGCTGGACATGAGCGGAGTGGTTAGAAAAGCTTCCAGTAGTGAAGACAAGGACGAACATCTTCACCACTCTCGACTGGGTGCTGCACAAGATCCATGACGGCTTTGAAGGAATCGTACACCAAAACTTCAGTTAAGGGAGCACCGATTTCCCATTTGTCCAGTAGAGATATGAGAATCTTGAACGGCCGAGACTCCGCGTATTCTCCCGATGGGGAGAACATTTCACTCTAGAAGAGACGTACAGTGAGGAATTGACATCGTCGATCCTTGCGGGAAATACCTTTAACGTCGAACTGAGCAATTCAAGCGAATTTTCCTTCAAATAGGCTACCTGATTCTCACTCTTCTCGTCGGCACCGAGCAACCAGGTATACAGGCGACGATTGAGTGAAAGATCACGACGCAGAACTACCCCAGTAGCGGCTCGCATCAATATGGCGCGATCGTTTTGGTGGGCCTTCCGAAGAGTGTGACTGTTTGCTCGAACGCTTTGCAACAGGATATCGAGAGCCGCACGTCGAACAAGTAGATTCTCGTCTTCCAATGCTGCAGCAAAGGCACGGATCATTAATCCGATATCCTTTCCAACAACATCACTGATATCTGAGGACTTCATGAACTTTCGCAAGGTCAACTTCGCGATACTGACATACCTTCATCAGCATTTAAACGCGGAAGCCGACGGCCAAGGAAATTGAGAGACGTTCCTCGAGCGGATGGCGTAGTCAACATGACGAGCCATATGTTTTGGAAGAAAAAAGATATTGATACTGCCCCCGACAGGCGATCTAAAAGACTGAGAACCTGACCACGATTGAGAACATAGCGAGAACGAGGCTGGGGCAAATAACCTTGTCAAAAAATTCCCCTGTCTCTTCCTCCAGACCAGGTAGCAGGGCTAGGATAAACGATTTCATTATCGGTCGGAGGTCCGCTTGCAGGGGTATGTAGTGTGTGTCGTAAATGTTGAGCAATGTGGGCTAGTTCGTAGGATTTACGAGATGACCAATTTGGAGAAGATGATGCCGCACCTTGACAGATGTAGCAGCATACTCAAAGAATGGGAAGAGACCAGAAGACCACAGAGCAAGGTCGTGCTTCAAACCCTCCACCTGAGCCGTGCAAAGCCATCAGTCAAAGTGTTAAGCTTGGCCCTTGGGAACGTACACCAAGAACGGCCAGTATATGGACATAGACTTCCAGAGCACGTTGGTGGACACCAGTTGGAAGGGCTGGATTCAGGCATTGGGACAGACGTTTCGCTACTATCAACTTGCGCGGAATCTCCTTGAATTGCATGTAGGATTGGAAAGTCTTTCCAGGGAACATCGGTCATAAGTGCAGCCCTAGATGGGGAGATAGGTTCGTACCTTCAACAGCTGCTTCAGAAACGCGATGCAATCCGCCCATTCGTGAACATTATCGAAAGAATTCAGGCACTTCTCGACTTGTTGGACGTATTTCTTATATTTAGGATCGGAGGAGCATGCTGGCGTCGCAAGAGCTGACGAGTAAACTTGGTTACTCCTCTTGCAGTAAATGGCCGATGTCACTCACACCGTCCACTCGTCCTTGTTGACACCGTAGCGGAACCCTTCTGGACGGTGTTCCCAGATACATTGTTGCCTGATGTCGCACTACTGGAGGACATGCTACCGGGTAAGAGTCCAATCAATAAGTGTAGTCGTCAACGTCCTTCTTTCTGAGATGGTAGATAGGACACCGTCAGGTAAGGTCGTGAAGTCGTTAGTTCGTAAGCAGGAGGATATTGATAAAAGGCACGAATTCATGATCGACGTCGCGTGTCGCGTTCAACACAGTCACGAGTGTGACTAGAAACAAAGTTGAATATTTGAATGTTCATCAGGATCGTCAGCTCTTTATTTAAGTTAATGTCCATCAACTACTGAACGAGTCGAAGATTCTATGTAACGTATTCCATAACTATGGATATTATAATCTTACAATAATGGGGAGAACAGTACACTTAATAAACACAATCAGAGTTGTAAGTCGATAGCAAGTATGCAGGGTAAATTGTAATCTTCGTTCAAAGTTCAGGCCTCTTGGGTGATCCCCACCTCAGAGTCGGCTCCTTCGGACATCGACGCCTGCTGGGATATACGCATCTTCGTAGGTGCGCGAACCGCACTGGTTGTCAAGAACCCCTGCACTTCAGGAACAGCAGATGGGGCACGAGAAGGCGTGGCTGAAGTAGCAGCGGAGCCAGGCTTAGACGAGGCTTTCAGCTTTCCCAGTGCTTTCGTCGAAGCGGGTGCAGATATAGAAGCCGTAAAGAGCTTTGGGATGGCGAGACCTGAGGCGGAGGCCTTGTCATCTGCGACCTTGCTCGGCGCATGGTTGCCACCGACAAAGGACGCATATTCAGACTCCTTGTCACCCACCCAAGATCGAGTAAACCATCGCCCGCCAGCAATACCGCGTATTTCGCGATTGGCTTCACGCCAGTGTCTCACCTTCTTGCTACTTTTATCTAGAGGCAGTAAAGGAGCAAAGCCGGTTGGAATTTTTGGAGGAGGTTGGACGGGAAATGGCTTTGTTGGGAGAGGGTAGACTGGAATCGGAACATTCTCTAAGTTCACGAGTGGTTCTTCCATCAAAGCAGGAGGGGAGCTGGGGGGCATGTTTTCCGGCTCTGGGGAGTTCTGTTCGAATTGAACCGTGACGGGCGAAGAGGCTGCCGTTCCGGCATAACCTAGGCAGCAGGTTAGGCAAATAAGACGCTTGATCGAACCGACGGGACTGACTTTCACTCAGCAAGCCAGGATCTTCAAGAAGTAGAGACGGAATAGCTGACTTTTGCCTGTCAAGCAATTTGAAAATGAGTTATCTATGACTGTATATGAGATCACTCACTTGGTAGCGAGCTTGGTTTTGGCTCGCGGGATGGCAGGAGGCTTGCGGGGAGAAACTTTCTTCTTCAACCTCACACTAGAAGACTCCTCGATTAAACGCATCGGAGAGTTGTCGATGGAGTCTGTATCTTCGTGAGATTCCGCCGGAGCTGCCTTGAAACAGGACATGGTGGGGGCAAGAATATGCGCACCCGTTGGTTGTGTGACTCTTTGCTTTGTCTTTCTCTCCCCTTCCAGCTTCTTCTCGACTTTGCGGGGTTTGCGGTTCGACGTAGACACCTTACGCTTGCTGGAAGGATCAATTGAGCGGGAGGAAGGTGATGCCTTCGGTAAGTCAGCATTGTCATCATCATCCATGAGTTCGTCGATGAGCTGGTCTTCTTCGTCTTCTTGATCATCGGCTTCTTTTGCGGCTGGTGCTGGTGCTGGTGCGGGACGTTTCTTCGGTTTCGGTGTTGTGTTTTTTAGTGGTCGGGGCGGTGGGGTCGCCTCGTCTCGAAGGGTGGATATACGAGGTGCGTCCATATCGACATCTCCGTCCTCCGAGTGAACGTGGGCATTGCGAGTACTGTGGGAGGGGTCGTAGGTGACCCAGGGAGAGGCACGGAAAGACTGCATGGCTTGTGACCCACGACGCGTTGCTTGCTGGCACAGGAATGAGGAACACTTGGGCTTGAACGTTTTGCGCGTCCAGAATGATGTTGTAGCCAGGCCTGAAAAGTGATGTATACATACTTAGATAGAAGCTACTCCTTTACTACCGCTCTGTTTTCTTGGCATCCCTTTATCACCCACTGAGCCTTTCTGACTGTCCCTCATATCCAGTCCACTTTCCCAGCTCATCTTGAACGTCGATCATGCGTGTCTCGTAGAATATGTGTGCTGTGGGCTTGATCGTGTCCCAGCCGATGATCTTTCCTTCAGCATCACGGTCTAGTTGCCCGCCCCAAACGCTCCATTTATTGGACCTGGAATTGTAGGAAGCAACTGTCACCCCACATTGCTTGCAACGCCAACGCCGTTTCCACGGTTTCGTGGGCACATCGAAGAAGTCGAGGGCTTCATCATGGGGCTCAGCATGGGTCCATGCAAAAGCCGATGCTGGGAAGTGGATAGTGCAGATGAAAGCAGCCGCTGTGGGCACGTCAGACTCAGCGGAGAAAACTTGTGGACCGAGAGAGTTAGATGCATACCGTTGAACGTTTGGCACAGTGTGCAGTGACAATATGCGCTAAGAATCGGTAGGCCCGTCACCCGATACCTAATCGCTTTGCAGAAGCATCTTCCGCTATGGACCACACTCAGCATGTTAGGCATTGCGCAATGAGATGGCTAGCCGTGGGATGGGAGATGTAGGGCTCGGTCACTCTACGATGCTTATGTGCGTTTGCATAAAAAATATTCCGCCGCTGTTTGCAGAAATCATCCTCACCCTTCCATAAAGGGCCCTTTCAGAAAGTAAGAGGAATATCGGGATTAGAATGAGGTCATAAAGTCTACAGCTGGCAGTGAACCGGCAGTCATTGACGAGATTACCTAATCAGCTGCCGAAATTCTCCGCATCCACTCATCTGCTCAGAGCTCTTTCCACCATCCAAAAAACTAGGTCGATTGGCCGTTCTCTCAGTGCGACTGTGCTTATTCAACAATATTCGTCCAGCGCACCCAGTTGCCTGCAACCCATAGACTTATTTCACGGGTTGAAATTCGCCAGGCATTACTATGGTCTCGCCAACTGTCAACGTGTGTTGTTTTGCCTGTTGGTCTGGGGCCTTGCAAGGCTAAACCATTATACAGGTCATTCGATATACTGCACTCTTCTCAGGCGTGGCTTATGGCTGGTACCACCGTCGCTCATTACAAGCCTCTCACGACAAGCACAAGTTGGACGAGGCTGCACACCACCGGGAGAAATTGGTCGCTGAGGCAAAGGAAGCGTGGAAGAGAAAACAAGAAGCTGCAAAGGACACAACTCGTGAGTACTTGGTGCTGCCTTTTGCTCGTGCATGTCGTGGATTGCGGGGTGTTATGTTGGTATGCTCACGATACTCACGATACTCACGCATCCTTTTGCAGTTGTCACTGATCCTGAGGATCCCCGTTTCGACCTAGAGAAGCTGCTGGTCAAGTGGGAAAAAAGCTCATAGATTTTTTCTGTCCTTATCTCCTGCCAGCTAGCAATAGATTGCTTCGCTATACTACCGAACTTCGAAGCGGACTGTGTGATACTGCGAAGCACTACAATCTCGCCGCCTTTCCACCTAAGTTATACCTATGCGAATTGTTTCTGTCTTCCAACTCCTTTGTTCAAAATAATGGAATATTAATGTTTTCATCTTCAGCGTTCATTGTGACTTTTACATACAAACCGTGAGAATAGTAGCGCGTCGCGTCGGTGAACTGAACTTGATCTTTGTTGCGCCTTCGCTTTCACCTACATAGCCTTCTCACCCCGTCCTTGCACATCTCTTCACATTCGAATCGAATTCGAATCGCTCTTGCGCCCCTGGTCTTGAAGAAAAAAGCTTGTTATGAAAGCACATATGGAAGAAATTGAGGATGAACTTGCGACGGAGGAGGAAAACAAACTGATAAACGAGGTTCGTCTACGCGTTTCCAGACTAGGCGAAGCGGGTGAAATGTAATTTGCACTTCAGGAATATAAGACATGGTCCGTCCGTCTTTCGCTTGCTGGCGTAACCATTTGACGCCTCGTCTACAGGAAGAAGAACGCGCCGTACCTATACGATCTTGTTATCACCCATGCCCTCGATTGGCCCAGTCTTACGTGCCAATGGTTCCCAGATAAAGCTCAGTACGTAGATGCACGTCCTTTGTTTACCCTCCTCTCATAACGTCCTCCGGAACAGGAATTCCCAGAAGCCGTATACAACGCACCGTCTGCTGCTCGGAACCCACACCTCTGGACAGGCTCAAGACTATTTGCAAATCGCCACTGTTCAGATCCCCAAACGTGGAAACCCCTCCACTGGTGCAGACAAGCTCGATCGTGCTGACTATGACGACGAACGCGGGGAGATTGGTGGCCACAGCCTTCCCCCAACACCCCGTATTCAAATTATACAGAAGATCAATCACGATGGCGAGGTCAACAGGGCGAGATATATGCCTCAAAATCCGGACATAATCGCCACTAAAACTGTTACCGGTGAAGTACTCGTCTTTGACCGCACAAAGCATTCCAGCGAACCTGAGAGAGGCGGAGTCTGTAAACCAGACATCAGGCTTGTTGGCCAACATCGGGAAGGGTGAGTCTCATCAAATGCACATACGAATGCAGTTGACACCGAAGTAGATACGGTCTCGCTTGGAATCCTGTCAAGGCTGGACGCGTCTTGGGCGCTTCTGAGGATATGACAGTCTGTTGTTGGTACGTCTGCGTAAACCCTCTGCGATTATCATAGCCTAGACTTGAACTTCAAGGGACGTAAATTCGTATACCAAAGCCAAGACCACCATAGAACCCGAGACTGTATTCAAGGGCCATACGTCCGTTGTTGGCGTAAGTCTGCCCCACCAATCGACGAAAGTATCCTGAGACATCGACTATAGGACGTGGATTGGCATGCTACCCAGGAAAATGTGTTTGCCAGCGTGGGTGATGATAAAATGCTTATGCTGTACGTCGGTGCATCTTGTATTGTTCTATCCGGTGCTAATCCTGATTATCACAACAGCTGGGATACTCGGTCGCATTCGGATCCAACACTCAAGGTACAAGCGCACGACGCTGAGATTCTGGCCGTTGCGTTCAGTCCTGCAACGGAACACCTTCTAGTAACTGGGAGTGCCGACAAGGTAAACCACCAATGCACATTACCACTGGAAGCGATGCCAACTGACTCACATTTCCGTGTTAAGACAGTGGTCCTTCATGACATTCGTGTACCCACCAAGAAACTCCATGTATTCGAATCACATACAGATGAAGTACTTCACCTCACTTGGTCTCCACACAATCCCACCGTCTTCGCGTCAGCATCAAGCGACAGGCGAATTAATCTTTGGGATTTATCCCTCATTGGACAAGAACAGACACCAGATGACCAGGAGGATGGTCCCCCGGAGCTGCTTTTCGTTCACGGTGGTAGGTATCATGGCTTTCTTTTCACTTCTAATCTAACTGTCCCTAGGACACACATCGCGGCCTACCGATTTCTGCTGGGCACCAGGTGAATCAGAAATTTGGACCGCAGCAAGCGTATCAGAAGACAACGTTGTCATGGTGTGGCAACCTACAATGCGTGTCTGGGCTGGCGACGAAGTCAAAGTCGACGAGAAAGAGCTGGAGAGTGACGCGATGGAAGGAGTAGAAAACACAGCCGCTGACAAGGGCAAGGCAAGCGCGAGCGGTGGAAGTCTAAGAAGCCAGAGCATGAGTGTCAGTGTCACGTCTGGAGATGAGTGAACGCTTGTGAAACGCAACACGTATATACCGCACTCTTCTGCCCCGCAAATCGTTCTGCCCCTGCATTCTTTGTGCTCTAGTCGTTGACAGGATATGAAGTGAAATATAACCATGTGATACAAGGTTCAGGGGTATTGACATCCTATACATATGCTGCACTGAAAGGCATCTTTTGGGCGTTCATAGGAATATAATTCGAGCTAGTTCGAACAGCACTGACTGAGAGTGAGTAGTCCCTTCTTGAAATTTACGTTGGTAACATACCTCCTCCTACGACCACAAATACGATCAGACCCAGAGCCCAGATGCTAATCGGACTCCGTTGTGCCAGTTTCTCTTGCCGTGATAGATGTGTCGCCTTCTTGCCTGCTCGAACATCATTTGCGAACTTCGCATTTCGCTGTCGCATCTCGAATTCGGTAGGCTGGCACATTAAGAGTCAGCGCCGTTGAATTATACCAGGTAAGCACGAGCGAGTACGCACCATGTTATGTGGTGTGATTGATTATATTCACTGGGACACTGGGAAATGGGTGCTGAATCCCTGGAGATAGAGTGTGGGATGGATTCAAGTCAAGGCGAACGTGGCGGCTTGGAATTTCGCCAACGGACCTCGCGTACCAAATCTGGAAGCATATCATGTCATAAGATTCCGTCACTGGGCGACGGCGTCGGATGCAAGCAACCTTGGTTTTGCTGCCTGATCAACCGAAGATTACTTAAACACCCAGCCTAAAAATTCCTTGTCTGCTTCATTCTCCTTCCTTCTCATGGGCAAATCGGGAAAAGGCCTGAAAGCTGCTCTTCAATCCCAACAGTCTCGCTTAAAGAACAAGGAAAAGGTTGCGCATGCTGCTCAAATGGCTGAGCAAAAGTACCGCAGGAAAGGGCGTCCTCTCAACTCTCCTGACGGCACCACAAATCGATTCCCTCTTCCCTTGAACAAAGATGTCAAAGGGAAGGAGAAGACACCTTCCAATCCTTCGCGGCGCTTCACGATACCTTTCAAGGCTACGGATAATGTTCTGCTTATAGGAGAGGGCAATTTCTCATTCGCTCGCGCGTTAATTCTGGATCCGCCCCCCGAGTTGTCCTTCTTCCCGCCGGAAAATCTCACCGCCACAGCATATGACGCGATGAAGTCCGGAATCGCGGGACATTGTCACGCTCCTCCGATCGAAAGGGGCGGAAATAGTATTTGGTGTAGATGGAACACGTCTGGAAAAGCATCCAACTCTCAGGGGACGAAGGTGGGATCGCATATGCTGGAACTTCCCTCATGCAGGTGAGTCCTAGCATGTCGACGCCAGGAATCTTATCGCAGACGCTCTCCAGGGAAGGGCATTACGGACCAAGATCGCAACATTCTTTCCAATCAATTGCTCGTCCTAGGCTTCTTGCGATCAGCTTCAAAGATGTTACGACTCGGCCCGATTCCTAACGTTGCGCCTTCGAAGAAAAGAAAGAGTGGTGATGACGATGACGACGGCGGTGGCGAACCTTCTCCAGAATTGAACAAATTTTCAGATCCAAGAGAAGGAAGTCAGGCGACCGCACAACCTCAGGCGACCGGGTCCGTACGTGGGACCATCCTCATTACCTTACGAAATGTTTTCCCCTATACTCAATGGTGAGCATTTCCTTGTTCAGCTTCCTCCTTCTCTGAAAATCTCCAGGGATATTCCAAGATTAGCAAAAAAGCCGCCAGCTATTGGAACAGGTAGCACACCACCTAATCCTATCTACACTCTCTTGCGGTCCTTCAGATTCTATCGCGATATTTGGAAAGACTACGAGCATCGCATGACGAAAGGTGAGCGAGCGCATGGAAAGGTCACAACGGGTGAAGGAGGAGAGGACAGGACCTGGGAATTTTGTCTAAGAGACCTGCTATAAACTACAGTCTACAGGAAACAGGATGTATTTACTGTTGGAATACCGGAATTCAAACGCTGCGTTTCCGCCTTCCCATTCCCGTAGTTTTTATGAGCTCCATTTTGTGTCACCTTCAAGTTACAATTCCTTGCTTTCCCCATTGTAATTTAGGCTGTGCCACTGTAGGTACATAATTACCGTAGCTAGAACGATGCACCCCCCGCGTTTACCTCCCGAATATACGCCTCGAGTCGTTGCTTACCACCGTCCCATCAACATTTACCACCTATGTAAGTATGCCTTCCATGCCTGGCGCGAAATGTGGGTGTATTTGGCAAGAGCCTCCGGTGCTCTCATCATAGCCATGTGATCCAACTTTTCTCTCAAGCCGACATGCAGACCGTACACTCACATCGTTTGGCCTTCCGACGGGCCCAAGTGCTTTCGACAACGCGCAGTTATGCCATATCCGTCCAGCCCCCGAAACCGCTACCTGGCAAGAAAATGCCTCGTGTATTCAAGGACAAGAAGGCTTTCCAGTACAACTGGTACTCAAGGATTCTCCAGTCTAATACCACTTCCCCAATTCTCCTTCTACACCACGTCGACTTCACTGCGCAACGGCTAAAGAAGCTACGCGCTGATATCGCCTCTGCTGCACAGAAGGTGCAGCCTTCACTGGCATCACCCCTTCCCGTAACATCTTTGACCACGACAGTTCAACCGACGCTCACTGTTGTTCGAACAAGCATCTTCGGAGCAGCACTACGAGAACTTCCTCATGTTAACCTCGCCGAAGTTGAGAAGATGATCAACAACCAACCCGGCGCGTTTGCGGTCTTGTCATTACCATCCCTTGACCCACCACTACTAAACGCGGTATTGCGGGCCATGGACCGCAGCGTTCCCTTGAAGCCCCCCAAGACGGAGGAAGAAATAAATCAAGAACTGGAGCAGAAGAGTGCAGATCCAGCACAGCCTGGGAAGAGGATGAAGCGTCAAAGGCAGATTCGGACACCGGGATTGAAGGTCATGGGTGCGGTTATCGAGAATCGAGTTTTCCTCCCGCAAGATCTTCAAGACGTGTCTAAACTCCCAACTTTGGACACTCTTCGTGCACAGATTGTGGGCCTGTTAAGCGCACCTGCTTCCCAAATAGGCGCAATATTGGGCGAGGCGAGCGGAGGGAGATTGGCACGCATGTTGGAGGGTCTTAAAAAGGGTTTGGAAGAATCTTCTGATGGCTCTGCCTCCAGCGCAGGAGGCTCGCCATAGTTTATTATTCGTACGTCTCGCACGATTTCAATATTTGCACGTCAGCATCGCGGTAGTCTCGTGTAGAGTAAGGGTTGACGCGCTAGGCGTCGTCACAGTAGCGCGTGACACTTATCCTTAGCCTCTTGCCACGAACTCGACTATCCAAAAAATGTCTGCTGCTCACATTTCACCCCGAGTATACGACGTGCTCACTGTTTCTATGAAGGGAGGATGACGATGACTTTTTGTACGGCGAGCCATCAGGACCGCAACGCTTGAAAGCTGGTAAGATTTCTCCCTCGACCTTCAGGAATGCAGGGACAGCCGTTAAACAAAGCTTTTCAACCAACCACCTTTTCTTTTGCTACTATGTCTTCTCAATCCTTGAAATGACATGATGCTGACTGCTTCTACTGGGTGAACTACCTCAGAACCTGACCAGTACGTTGAGCTATGAAACGCATTTGCTCAAACTCTGAATGTGATTCCGTCCTATAGAACATCTCGGTCGAACGCCCAAGCTTCCGATGGTCACACCCCTCAGCCTGAACTCAAATCCGCTACGTCGCCGCTTTCTGAAACGAAGGGTCATCCTGGTGAAGAGGACGAGGACGATGAAGAGGAAGAGGAAGAGGAAGAGGAAGTCGATCTCGGAGAAGACAGTGACGAAGACGTGCGTCCTCGAAGCTATGCTCTACTCATTTCATTGAACCCCATTTTCTACAAAGGAGATTGAGATTATTATGGAGCCTGTGGCACGCTCACTCGACTTCCGGCAAGTATTTCAAAAGCAGGTTAGAAGTCAACCTGAACTGAACATTATTCCAGAAATCAAAACCGACCCTCTACGTCTCGCGCCGCTGCCACAGGAGCTCCACCAACGCAACCAAGAGGTACAGTAAACTTGGCAGATACGGGTCACATTTTGACGCCAGGATGCACAGCGTCAGCGCCTCAACCATCGCTAACAACAGAATATAATCCCATCCAGAGAGGAGGGCCTCTACAGCCTACCTCTTCCTCCTCTTCCGTCACCACCCAAGCCCAACCACAGCAAGAATCGACACCCGCACCTTCTGCACCTTCTGTACCTTCTGCTTCTGCTCCTACCCCACAACCCCCAAGCCAACCAGCAAGAGAACAAACCAGCACGGTTTCGGATGATGGTGTCGACACTTCTGCGCTTCCACCTGCCGAAGCTCCCCCTTCTGCTCCTGCCATTGACCCAAACGCAACCGGAGTCTTTGATGGCCGTTCTATCCTTGAAGTGGACCTCAACACACTGGCGGATAAGCCATGGCGAAGACCTGGCTCAGATATTAGTGACTGGTTCAACTATGGGTTCGACGAGATCTCCTGGGAGGCGTACTGCTACCGCAGGCGCGATGTTGGAGATCTGGCTGCAGTTTTGAAGACAAATGTCATTGTATGTCGATGTGGTTGTGCACTGAGAAATTTATGGTTCTGATTGCATCCACAGAACTTTGCAGCTATGCCAGAAGAGCAGCTCACCGCGTTACCTCCCGAAGTGCGGACGATGGTCATGACTGGCGCGTCGGCCATGATGGGCAATGCTGGCGCCAATCCCGGGATGATGGGTCCAGGGATGATGATGGACATGTCTGGCATGATGGGTCCAATGGGCATAGGTATGAACGGGGACATGGGTATGGCAGGACCCATGATGCAGGGCATGATGGCGGATGGTACGCAAGGCCAGCAAGGTGTCGGTATCGTCCCAGGGAATGGGACACCCGAGCAAGTGGGCACCGGTGTAGGCATGATGCAGGACGGGTTCAACCCAAACGGGATGAACATGGGCATGGGCAACGAGTATGGGATGCAGGTTCGTCTTTCGTTACCCTGGTGGATGATTTGAAGGTTGATGCTTTTCTTGCTTGGGATAGGAACAAGGACCAATGGTACAGCAAATGTATCCAGTCATGGAGACTCAGAACGTTCCTTCCGTGCCAAGTGCGCGGGGCACACAAATACCTTTCCGTGGAAGTCGAGGAGCATCTGGTCTGGGTGGTCGTGGGAGAGGTTTCGCAGGAAGAGGACGTGGAAGAGGTTTCGACGGTACGTCCCATCATTGAATTCCTCGAGCACGCTGCTGATAATCATCGTGCTTTAGCGCCACCTCCTGTGCCAGTACGCCCTGCATCGCCGCTACCCCCAGGAGTACCTACTGGCCCAAGAAACCAGAATAAGTACAAGGACCGTGATGGGAACGCTCCGGCTGTGGATGGACTGGACTATGGTGGCGGCAAGGATGCCATGGGTAGGAGGACCCCCAGTGAACAACCTGAAGAACGGGATCGGTTGTCAAGCCGGTGCGCGCAAGTTTGCTTTTCACCTGTTTCAAGGACTAACCTTAACTTCATACGAACAGGAAGCGCAGAAGTTCACCTGGGCTGGACGACATTCGTGGTTCCAAACGACGCTGAGAGTGATTTTGGATTGTATTTGAGGCACTGTGTATCTTGATATATATGCAAAAAATACACACCCCATCTAATATACATCGCAATCCTCGTGTGCAACGCATGAAGATATGAGCAAGTGGATTAGAAATAGCCTGGAATCGCGTCCAGTAATAGAACAAGCTACAAAAACCAAAATTATGAGGGCAAGATAAATTAAACAATCGGAAGGTAAGGAGTATTTGACTTTGAGTTTTAACTCTTTGCACCTGCTCTGTTCCCTCCTGCTCTTCGCTTTCCACCTCGTGCCGTTCTCTTCGTTGTCCTCTTGCCTTTGCACGCGTCGCAGTACCAAGTACCGTCAGGAGGTGCCTCCAGCCCAATGCAGCCAAGATGGAACTGTTCACAACCCAAGTCAACAACTGTGATAAGAGGCGAGATCGACGACATACCCATTCCCTTTCACAGTGATCATCATCGCAAGCAATCATTTCTCCATAACTTACGCCATCGCAGAAGCAGTACGTCCTGTCGTCGCCATCGCCATCGCCGTCCCCAGCATCAGTCGCGTCGACTGTGTTATTGGCGACGGCGGCGATGTTGGCTGCGTTTGCGTGAATAGGGGTGCCCCGCGCAGGAGGCATGCCGGGACCTTCGAGCTGTTGTGCGGGCGGGATGGCCCAGTTTTGGGCTCCAGGTATATGTTGTAGACCATGGGCATCATACCCATTAGTATGGGCCCCATTAGCGTGGCCGTTCTGATACGGAAGTGGCAGTGAGGGATGAGAGGTGGAGGGAGGGAAATTGTCAGCGACAGTCCCGCGACGTGAATCGTGGTTTCCGGAGTAGGCTTCGTTGGCGAGCGGGGTGGGATTGCGGTTGGTATTGTTCGCTCCAGCGCGGGCACGTTTGTTGTTCCCTACCCCGTTGCCGGCTCGGCCGTGGGTCCCTCCACGAGCAGATATGGAGGGTCCAATTTGTGGTGGGAGGTGGGAGGTAACGGAGACAAGGGACTCGGATGGGGACACGGCTCGCTCGTTCCTGCATATACACAGACTGGTCAGGCTGGGTGTGTGGGTGCAACGATGAGTAGACACACTTTTTTGCTCTGCCGTTGTTGCGTGCTCTGGGATTGCCCTCTCCACCAGCGGGCTTCTTTGGCGACCTTCCAGTGCCAACGTCAATATCGTCATCTTTGACCACTCGCTTCCTCTTCGCTGGGCTGGGATCGGGATTGTTCGCAACAAGCAGCGATCCGTAGCCACCCCTCCTCCGCCTCCCAGTCTCCATCGTCATCGCGGGCATGTACGCGCGTTCGGATACATGTGGGTATATGGTCGTCCTGTTGAGGACGGATGCGTCAAAGCCAGGAATGTGCTCTGAGAGGGCTCGGAGGTGGCTCGAATGTCCCTTGAGGTTGTCGGCGGCCTGGCAGGCCACGCGAATCTTGTCCTCGCCGCCGAGCTTCAAACGTTGGGCATCCTCTGCTATCTCTGTGAGAAGCCAGAGACGGTCCTCCTTTGAAGCAGTGTCCTCCTCGATCATGGTGGTGAGGTTGTGGATCTTTGTCGTGATGGAGAGGATGGAGGAGGAGAGGACGGCGTCGAGCTCGCGTAGGTCGGCGAAGTTTCTGGAGAGGTCGAGGGGGAGCGAGTCGAGGGTGTGTGTGTACTCGGAGAGAAGGGTGAGCGCGTAGGGGGTGTTGACGAGTGCCATCTTTGTCGCAGACACAGCAAGACCCTCCACGACAAAAGTCAGTCGCCTCTTCCCCTCAGATCACATGTCCAAGTCCGGTCCGATCCCAAAATAGTTTCACCCGTTATCGGGTATTCATGTTGTTCAGGCTATCGATACAGTGAATACAATGTGGTCTATGCAGTAATGGTAATGGTATCAAGTGTGATGTGGTGAAAAGATGTGAGATGAGATGATAGAGAGGAAAATAAAAGTGCAAATGAGCGTGCATGTCGATGAGTGTTCTTGGCCTATCGGCGATTACATCGAGGTTCCATCCTCCCTTCGTCTATAGCATCCAGAAGAACCGCTTCAAAACCTTCTTAGGACCTTGTGTCGACTGGCCGGATGACCCATGGGAGGGACCAGAAGCCGCAAACATCGCGTACATATTATGGGCGTCGCGTGGGTTTTGGTGGAATCCCGAAAACACGTTGGGTGATGTCGCCCCGGTCGGGAAGAACCCGAAAGTAGGAGAGGCTGGTGCGACGAGGTACGAAGGCATTTTGACCCGACCTTAGTGGTGTTGCACAAGTATATATAGAGTTGCGGGTGAATATATAAAGGATGGGTGGTGGTGTGGGTGTACGATCGCGACGCGAATGAAGTCGTAAAGCGTTCAACGATGCGCAAGGCGCGTGTCGATGAGCGCGTCGTTAATTGATGTGGACGTGTCTGCGCGATAGGTTTAGTGTATCCCGATCAGCCGAACGATCAAGATTGGCGAGCGCGTTTCGACGTGTTCTAGTGTCCGCTGGATCAGTGAGAACAGTGGGGGTGAGGGAATCGGACATCCCATTGTCCTCGAGTTATATACGACGAGCTGTGAAGAACATTGCTCTGTCGAGGACAAGGTAGTGTCTTATTTTGGGACTTCCCTTGTCTGTTTCCGGAAAATGCGCCATTCGATTGCTACCGGCTATCACGCAATTTCCTCTTCGAGCACAAGGCAGGCAACATATTTGACTACTTAGTTCACCCACCAATATTCCGAATGGAAGGCCGCGTCGTTTCGATGTTTGGCAGGTGTATAGATATACAAGTGTTGCTGTGGGTATCGGATGTTACACGTTCAAGACGAGTCAAAAACCAAGTGAAATTCACAAAGCAGAGGGTCTGTATTTCGAGTCACCAGAGCAATAAATTTTCTCTTGATTATCCTCGGGTGCTCAGCAGGAGGCAAAAACATCGTTCTGGAGATTTATCTTGCCGAAGATCCCGAAGCTTCGTTCGTTGTCGTTGCCCTTCCAGAGCTGGTCGTCTGCCTCGAAGGCGTACAGTGAAACGCTTCTGTCAGCAGCGGCCGCACAATTTAGTCGTTGAAGAGCAGTGCGCTCATCCGCAACAGAGGGGACTGCAACGCCGAGCCTGCCACCGCGCGATGGCCATCCAGACCTAGCGATAGAGGTGGTAAATAAAGCAGTTTCAGGGTTTAATGAACAGGCGCACTCGGTAATGATGACGTTCTTCCCGGGACATCTGCTCTTCAAGGCAGGTACAACGGTCTGGAAGACGAAGGTACCAGCCTGCGCTGATGTTCGGCCGCCATCGTAAAAGGTACTGAAAAACCAATAGTTTATTTCTTGCGTCTACAAAAAATTATGAAGAAGAGCACTGACTGCGCGTTAGCGGCTACAAAGTCGGCGCCACACAAAGCAGGCTCATCACGGATGCGAACCCAGGTGTGCACGGTAGACACAGGTGTGTTGACACCGACAGACCTGAGATAACCTCGAATATCGTAGACACGGGCCATTATGTTGCCAGTCGAGTCGTTAACCTAATGGCAGACGAGGTGAGTTTGTCGAGAAGATGTTCCTGTGAATATTACACAATGCTCACTTCGTTTCCGATGGTCAATCCGACGTATCGACCGGCGCCAAACTCAGCATAAGCCTGGCGGAATATCTGTACTTCATTGCTGTCCACAAAAGTCAAGGGTGAGGAAGTCTTCAAGTCAGAAGCAGAACGAAACTCACTTTACTTGGACAGTCGTAGAAGCAACAGTGCCCTAGTTGATGAAGAAAATCCGTCAGTAGTCTCTCATAATGATGAAAGTAGTATCTGTCATAAAGACATGGACATACAGCGATGTAAATGCCAGCTAGAACTTGAATGCCAGCAGCAGCAGCAGCTCGAGAAGCTCGGTGCAATGCATCGCAATCAAATCCAGTTATACGAATAGCCCTGAACCCGTTATTCCTCGCGTTGTTGGCAAGGTTATTCCACTAAACGAAAGTAGCATAGTACCGTCAGAAAATGAAAGCACACTCCGAAGAGAGGTCAACCCACGTCAGTTTGAGAGCGGCAGGTATAGGCAGAGTTTCCGCCTTTGCTGTTGGAGCCGCCGATCCCAGCAAAATTGTTAGCGCAGAACACTTGAGAGACGAGCGAGGTAATGATAAGAGATGAGAGGAAGAACTTCATCTCGCCGAAAGTCAGTCAGGGAATAGGTAAAGCGTATGAAGGATTAGACAATCCCAATGTCCCGATGCCAGTTTTCGCAGCATTTATACCAGCATTTCACCAAGAATATCGGGTGCGGTCAGCAGGCCAGACGGGGCAGAGCCAACTCTAAGACTCTGATATGCCGTGAGGCGAGTACTCGGGCACGCGGCTCGCATCGTAGAGTCGTGATGGACGGAAGATCCAGAGATGATCCAGAGACGGCTGACTCTCGGTAGAGCTCCCGTGGCACCCGACGTGCTAGTCGGTTAATCCTCGAGGACGAGCGAGAACGAGCGAACATCTATCATTGGTCGGTCGGGTCAATAGGTTGAGAAAGCAAGGAACCTAGGTATGACTTGGGCTCGGTCGAGTTGTATCCTGCTGATCCAGAAGAAAGACGCTGCTCAGAAGGCGCCTAAGGAAGCATGCAACATTGACTCACCTTATGGTCTGCCACGGCAGAATGTCGTTTTCCCTATCTGATCGTAGCTCCTTAGGCTCTAATAAATCCTGAAATAACGGAACCGAGCAGTGCGCTATGAATCCGCTAGTCGTAAACATGCGACGAGAATCGCCTTCTGAGAATGCCTCTCAACTCGACGTCGGGCTACCTTTCTCTTGATCTCCATTTTCGCCGGAGACACAAGGTAACGTTGGTTCAATGTAGGCCTTTCATGTGGATGGAGACTCGAGAGGGTACATCAGAAAGCAAATGCATCATGATATCCAAAAGCATACGGGTAGATCTACATGTAGGCCCCAATAAGAGATCTAAAATATTCTTTTACAGGATGTCAGTGCATCTAGAATTTGAAGACCTGTAGAGAAGGTCAGTCCATGTCATCGTTGTTTGACTCTGCCAGAAAAGACATACCTGATCTTCCGTGTAACCTAACTCCTTGAGAATGCCGCCGAGATCGCCTTGCTTCATACCGTTTTTCTTGCCAGCAATGGCAGCGACCTGTGGAGGTGGGCCTTTTCAACCAGCGACCGTCAGACAGGTGTAAATAAGACAAAAGGCCAACGTACCGCAAACGAAGACCTTCACTTTCTCTTTCAGACTTGCCGGGCTGACGTGCTGCTTGATGATGTCAGCTGAGATATATCCAACACGGCCCTTCCAGCCCTCAGAAGGTTGGTCAAGGAGGTAGAGGATGTCGAGGTTATTGGGGTATTTCTTCTTCAAGCCATCGAGCTCTTCGCGAAGGAGGATGTCCTTCTCTGTCACGTTAGAGTACAGGAGCTTGAATTTGGTCTTGTTCTTCTTGTCGGACAACGCATGGGTCAGGACTTGGTACAGAGGAGTGCTGTGTTAAATGAAACATTAAAACGTTAATCTGAATGTTCGGAGACGAGGAAGGGTTAACGAACATTCCACTGCCACCTCCGATCAAGGCAATTTCATCAAACTCGTTAGCTGTAAGATGGTTGAGCTGTCGTCATTGTGGCGCGTAAGCACGGCTAACCTTGGTAAGGTAGCTTGGTAATAGGGCCCTTAAGCGCAAGAGTGTCCCCTTCCTGGCGAAAGGTCAGGAAAATGAGACAGTATCGAGGACTATGTTGCATACCTTGAGTCCGAAGATATACTTGGACATGTTTCCTGTCTCATAGCGCTTGACGAGAAGAGTAAGCTCTCCAGGCGCGTCGGGAGGTGAAATGGGCGTATATGGGCGAATAATGGGCTTTCCCTTCGCGTCAACGAGACCCTCCAGGTCAGACGACTTTACTACGAGGCAAGAAGCGACTGGGATTAGGGAGGCTTCATTATTGGGGAGCTCAAAGACGAAGCTGCGGATGGTTATTAACACAAGCGGGGTGAACCGGAAAGAGGCCAGGGGTACCTCGACGAGTTGTGGTTGTATGGGACAATTTTCTTGAGTTTGAAGTCGATGAACTTCTCGGGGTCGAGAGGGCTCTTCTCCTGTTTGGGTTTCGGGGGAGCCTGTGAGTCGATGTACCAATATGCAGCAGCCGACGCGACGCCTACGCCGAGGAAGACGAAGGGAAGGCTGCTCGACTTCTTCTGGGCGGGGGCAGTCGAGTAGCGACGCGCACCGCTGGACTAGAAGACACAGGAATGAGATAAAACACAGAGGGAGGGTTCGAATGACGTACGAATGAGCGTGCAAGGACAGAGGCGCGATAGAATGACATGGTTCAACCAAAGGCAGTGGCCGATCCATCAGTGGCTTCGCCAGATCGGCTTGTCCCACAACATTGCGTCATACCAAGCATCTCCTCTCCTTGCTCTTCAAAAAAATCATCTCCAAAATCGAGGGCAATTGGGGGGCAGGGCTTCGATGAGGACAGTGGGTCGCGTGTCTAGAGGTCGAATATAATTGAAACCGCGAAAAAAGAAACAAATGCGGCTGTAGCATTCTCAAATGCGAGACACTTGGTGCGGTGCCTGCGATCCAGAAGTTTAGATTGTGACGGCTGCCTTCAAAAGGCGGCTCTCTTTATACCATCTCCATCACCAGTCCCCCACCCCTCCATCGCTCCCTTTCACTCTCTGTCTGCTCCACACCCATGTCCTTCGTAAAACTAAGCATCTTCGGTACTTCCTTCGAGGTGATATCTACCAACTGCACTCCCAGTCGCTCCCCGTCTCATTGCCGCCGTTATCCATCTAGGTCACCACACGATATGTTGATCTCCAGCCAGTGGGAATGGGTGCGTGCCATTGTCAACCGGGTCCTCCACCAGCCACTGACCCACTCTGTTCTCCCAGGTGCCTTTGGGCTCGTCTGGTGCGCATTCTCCGCATCCTCTCCCGTCGTAAATCCGACCCGCCTCTTCCAGTTCCGCGAAAGATCAGCTCACTGGCGCGTCCGTCGCGATTAAGAAGATCATGAAGCCCTTCAGCACACCAGTTCTCAGTAAGAGGACCTATCGTGAACTCAAACTCCTCAAGCACATTCAGCACGAGAATGTACGCCTTCCGTCTACTCCACAAGCACGTATACCTCAACGCCTCGCACAGATCATCAGTCTCAGCGACGTGTTTATCTCGCCTTTAGAAGATCTGTGAGCACTCCAGCGTCATATGGCGCTGTCCCCGAGCTCACTCCGTCTGCAGTTACTTTGTCACGGAACTATTGGGCACCGATCTTCACCGTCTGCTCACATCGCGACCGCTCGAGAAGCAGTTCATTCAGTACTTCCTGTACCAAATCCTTGTGCGTCGCTCTTCTAGATCCACAGTAGCCGCTCTCTCAAATTGCTTCTGGTCAGCGAGGGCTTAAATATGTACACTCTGCTGGTGTTGTGCATCGTGACCTTGTGCGTTCCTTTCTGGTGGAGTTCGGCAATGACTGACATGTGAGCGTTATCGCCCCAGAAACCGAGCAACATCCTAGTCAACGAAAATTGTGATCTCAAGGTAGGCCTTCTAGCCTGTCAATGCCAGACATACACTTTACATTCTCGAAGATCTGCGACTTTGGATTAGCCCGCATTCAGGACCCCCAGATGACGGGTTATGTTTCGACACGGTACTATCGTGCCCCCGAGATCATGCTCACCTGGCAGAAGTATGACGTCGCCGTTGATATCTGGAGTACGGGTTGCATCTTCGCTGAGATGCTTGAAGGGAAGCCCCTGTTCCCAGGCAAAGATCGTACGTCATTGCCTCACTGCAGTACTTTCACACTTTTTACCTGATGACACCCTTCTGCCGATAGATGTCAACCAGTTCTCGATCATCACGGAATTGTTGGGCACGCCGCCCGATGATGTCATCGAGACCATCTGCAGCGAGAATGTATGTCTACCCGATAACGTCCACACTCAGGTGTTCACCATCTTCGTTGCTTTTAGACCCTCCGTTTTGTTCAGAGCCTGCCCAAGCGTGAACGCATCCCATTCAGCCAGAAGCTTCGTACTTCGGATCCTGATGGTACGTACGCATTTCATTTGTTATGGAGTTTCTTCACGATCTCATCAATTCAGCCATTGACCTTCTCGAGAAAATGCTCGTATTCGATCCTAGAAAACGGATAGATGCAACCCAATCGCTGGCCCATGAATATGTTGCCCCTTATCATGATCCTACAGACGAACCTGTCGCGGCTGAAAAGTTCGACTGGAGTTTCAATGATGCCGATCTTCCTGTAGACACTTGGAAGGTCATGATGTACTCGGAAATCTTGGGTATGTTGCTCATTCCGTGATCCGCATGCGAGGCCTGTGCTGATCATCGTTTTTGAATACACAGACTTCCACCAAGTAGATGCATCAGGGAACAACCAAATCTCCGAAGGCGCATTGGCTGGACCCGAGGGAGCCCATTCACATGGCATTCCTGTGTCAAACTAAATGAAAAGAAGCTAACCTCCGAGATACGACATTTCCCCCCGCTATCTTCATTTCGAACCTTCTGTGTAACTTGTTAGGCAACATTGGACAATATCCCGCCTTCAATCATAGAAACTGTACCGTTTAACTTCTTCCCACGTACCTCATCGCCCGCTATCTATTCCATCTATCCCTCGGGCCGACAAAGTCCTAACAAACCCTCTTTGTTCAGGTCGTTCTTGTAGTCACTCTGTAATGTGCTACCCCCACTTTCAAGCCCTAGGACCCTCTTCCACCATCGAGTCCCTTCCTGACCTCTCTTGCCTTTACTTCCAGTGTTATCTATTATATACCTGTGATGCGCAATTCCCTACAATTTTCCAATATACATCTAAGTGGATGGGATATCGTTGACTTCGCAGAATCTGACCGGGAATGCGGTCCGATCCTAAATGAAGTCACATGAGCGCGAAGTGCGCTGCTGCAGTGAGTGTCACCTGAGTCAGGACTACTATCAGCTCGCTTCGTCCGTCGTCCCTTGGTTTTTATCGCCGCAAACTCGAAACTCTTTCTGGAGTTCAGATAACCATCTGTCGAGAAACTTATTCAGAGCTCAAAGTCTGATACATGGCACGACGACGGTCAAGCGCCTTCGATGTGTCATTCCCAGAAGAGGCTGGACAGAGGGCGGCTGAGCACATAGCTGACGGGAATAATTCCGCGCCCCAGTCGCGAAGCTCATCGGTAGCGTCGAATTCTTCCCTCGGAAAGAGGAAAAGCGATGAACCTGGCCGTGCCCGTGTTAGTATGCCTTGCTTTTCTCGCCCGAAATAGGCACTGAAGCTTTTCACGTCACATAGGCACCCAAGCTTCAACAACTGCCCAAAGGTAAATACTCACCAGCAACTCGCCATCATTTACTCAGCGGTGAACATCATCTCAGATGCTTACTACAGGAAGAATCCAAAATACCTCCTCGAGAGCAAGAACCTCATCATCGATGGCGAAGACCCCGATCTAGAAGAGGGTGAAGACGAGAAGCCGATCAGAGAGCTATACGATTTTTATGTCTTCGACCCCATCCATCGCAACGAGTTGGTTTCTCTGGTGGGATTGGAGCAGGACGACGGCGTCGAACGGCAGTTTGAAGCAGCTGGGAAGGTGCGGGCACATTTTGCGAGCGACGAAGATGAGGGCCAGGAAGAGGAGGAGGGGGAGGTCCAGCCAACATCGGTGCATTTGACTGCCATCATGAGATACACTGTCGACTATACGCGAGAAAACGAGTGAGTTATTCTTCTCTGAACATTCTTCCCTTAATTTTACTTGGAAGGCCTTTCTATATTGAGACCGAATACGCCTGGTATATTTTGAAGACACCGGCTGAGGAGTACAAGCCATTCTATCAACATTTCTACAACTCTCGGCGAATTGCTCAACTTGTAATTTCTTGGGCACTCAAACGGCCGCAAGAGAGCCTCTCTACTTTCCTTGGCAGATTTACGTCTAGAGTGGATATGTTTGGTCGTACATATCTTGAGCAAGATATATGGAATTCAGTAGGTCTGATGGTAAAAACGAAAACTTGATTTCCTATTTACACTATATTAGGTCCCAGAAATTCAGGAATGTGTACAAGACGAACCAGAGTCGCGGAGGATTAGGTCTGCGCCGTTCGTCAAACACATCCTTCGAAACGCCCCGCCGATATCTGAGTCGTCTCGACCTCCTCCGAGGAGAGAAGCCCGGAATAAGCATCTACCCAAGAATAAAGCGTCTATCGGGAATCCTGACCTTGCTGTCTTGAAAGCTGAAAACCAGAACACTACACATGTTACGCCTAGGATCGCGAAGCTTGTGCAAGGGCTTGTCCGTGAAAGCATGGAGGTCGTTGGACCTCCGCCTCCGCCTGTGAACAAAGCCGAAGTTGAAGCAGAAAGGAAGAGAGCCTTCGAGCAGCTATGCCGACTGCATACAAAAGCAAAGAAACTCAAAAAGAACATCGAATACAATAAACAAGATCGCATTGAAGGCAATCTAGAATACTGCAAGGTTATAAAGATTGAATACAAGCCATATATGGTATGCTTGTCCCTTTGGACGACTTCGAGCCTTGATGTCGAACTCGAATCAGGTTGGAGACATTGTCCTGGTTCCAAGAGATCCTGTTTTGGCTCTAGGGTGGCCAACACCTAAGGTGGGAGATAAGATTTATGATTTCTTTTGGTAAGTTTCCTTCTCGAATTCACCAGTGATATGTCAATGAGGTTGTCAGGTTTGGAAAAATCCAATCAATTAGTCCAGCAAACCAGAACGCCCATCTCCATTGGTTCTGGCATGGGTCGGAGACGGCTGCAATGCAAGAAGTTGCCCATCCGCAAGAGCTTTTCCTCGGCAAGGAATGCCACTGGGTGAGCTTACACAACATCGTCGACAAGGTCACGGTTCACTTCTGTCCGAAAGATGGCGTAAACGTCAAGCCTAATGAGTTCTTTTACAAGTCAGTAATGCATCGTGACTACGTCGTCTTCGAGGTATTGATCGTCTCCACAGATTTACGTATGACGCTGCATTGGCGGCGTACACGTCCATGGATGCCCAACAACTCGAGCTTATCTTCAGTCAGATGCCGCCCGATAATTGCTTGCCCTGTCTTTTGAAAGCAGAACAAAGGCAGATGAAGTCGCCTCAAGAGTTGAAAGATGAACAAGGTTTCCGCAACGGTGTCTCGTTCGGCGGGAAACATTTCCACCTTGAAGATTTTGTTCTATATCATCGCCAGGACAAGGGCGACGGTCCAGCGGATATAGGTTATATCACAGGTGTTGAATTCAGGAGGGAGAACACAATGGTGACCGTCCGCAAAGTTGGCAGGATAGCATCTCTTGGGGATCTTCTTCCAAAAAGGATGCTGAGAGACGAGGTAGGTCATCCTTTCTTTAAAGCGAGTGCCATTATTGATAGTGTCCAACAGCGCCATCTGTACTTGACGAGAGAAAATACGACCGTCGACGTTCAAGATTTGATCAAAGTGATATACGTTCCTTGTACCCAATCCTTTTTGCCACCCCACGTCACCGTCGAGGACTGGTTGGATCTTTCTCATAATCACTTCTACGTGAAATATACATTCCCGCGACTCCGAGTCAAATCATGGAATGATCGAACAAAGATTACCTGGCCAAAATTGGGTGTCTGTACTCCCTGCTGTCGTGAGAGGTTAAAAGGTCGGAAGGCAATATACGCTTTTCTCCAACAGGCAGAGAAGAAGCGGTTGTCGACTCTTGACCTTTTCGGAGGAGTAGGGGCTTTCAGTCGAGGTTTGTCGGATGGAAGTGGTTGCCTCGAGGTGACTCATGCTGTCGAAATCAGTCCAAGTGCTGCAAAAACATTCAAGTACGTGGCCTTTCTCTTCCTTGTGCTGTTACTGTCCTTATCATCAACGCTCTCTCCAGACGCAATTCACCACAAACAGTGGTGTACAACCAATGTGCAAACATCATGCTACGATATGCTATCAAGTCATATGAAGGCCATGACGTTGAGACCCCTAAGCAGCTTTTCAATGGCGAAGATCTGCCAGAGCCTCCGGAACAGGGTTATATTAAGGTCATTGTTGCTGGTTTTCCCTGGTAAGTCCTGAGGAATGTTGATTAATGTTTTAACCCACTGGAAATTAGTCAATCACATTCAACCCTCAATATGTATAAGAAAGAGGACGACGTGAAGAGCAATTTGATATTAACGACGCTCTCATTCGTGGACTTCTACCGGCCGACCTATGCGTTCTTCGAGAATGTGCCCGGGTTTCTCAACTTCCATCTCAACGCAGAAAGAGCGAACGAACACGGTGCTGCTGGTGAAATTGAACGGGGAGGGTTGAAATTGTTGGTTCGTGCTATGATTGATATGGGGCATGTTTTTCCTTGCTGTGGCCTATTAGCATTGTCCCTCAACTATTTTTGTCAGCTATCAAGTCCGTCATGGCCTTCTGCAAGCAGGACACTATGGAACACCGCAGCGCAGAATGCGCTTCTTTCTCATTGCTGCAAAAGAAGGCCACATGCTTCCCGCTTTTCCTCAGCCCACTCATGACTTCCCTGACACCCACGAAATCAAGAATAGAGATGGGAGAGTCATCCCAGTTCGTGCTACAAGAGGAACTGCAGCCCATCCCTTTGTGACAGTGGAAGACGCTATCGGTGACTTGCCTCGCTTTGACTGGTATATTCTGATTTGTCATCTGTGTCGTGTCCTGTAACCTTATCAGAGCCCATAGGAATCACCCGAGACCAGATAGAGAGCCTCTCGACAAGCGTGACAAAAGACGGAGACGAGCCGCCACAGTCCCTTCTTTCGAATGCAAGGTTTCAGAGCAGCACTGCGGATTCAAGGGACGGATTGGGTATTATTCGGAACCCAAGACAACCTTCCAGCATACGGCTCGCCTGAACCCGACTACAGACATTCAGCACTACACCAAGTGTCTAATTCCCAAGAAGGTTGAACGAGTCGTCAGCATCCCCTTGAAGACAGGCGCAGATTACATATGTGTGGTTTACTGTCTTCATATTGCTAGGCATGCTAACCAGTGGATGCGCAGCACTACCAAATGAACAACTGGAATGGCAAATCGCTGACCCAATGTCTTCTATCGCTCGTAACAATTATAAACGCGGTAGGATATTTCGGTCTCCCTCATGAAGTCAGACTGAACCCGTCTCAAAATAGGGATTTATGGCCGTCTGGACAAGGACGGTGTCTTTCCAACCACCGTGACAAATGTGGACCCTACTGCGAAACAAAGTCGCTGTCTCCACCCTTACGTGTGTTCTTCACCTAGCCAGCTTGACTCAGTTTGACCTTCGACGCAGCTCTATCGGATAGTGACTGTTCGAGAATTAGCAAGGTCGCAGGGATTCCCGGACAGCTTTAACTTCGAAGCTATAGGGGGAAATGTTGTGACGGTAACTGCCATATCCACCATTAAGACGTATGCCATTTGACTCTCTCTAGATGCATAGGCAGATTGGCAATGCTGTCCCTCTTCCTGTGGCCCATGCATTGGGACGCCAACTTCGTAAATCTCTCTTCAGAAAGTGGGAGGCCCAACGAGCTGAAGCCATCCAAATCGATGATGACGAAGACGAAAACGACGATCATCACAATGAGAATCCACACCATATGGCCGTCGTAGCTCCTGGAGGAAATGGCAGCGATGACATGGACATCTATGAATAAAATTTTCGCATTCTTCAATCTAGTATATCAGCACTTAATCGTGGTTCTAGTACCCATTGCACTTGTAAATACCTAGCAATCATGGTTCCGCCACTTCATACCCAGCCCATATGACCTCTGAGCAGCTGTCGCAAGCGATGAGGTGCTCGCCCTCATCCATCAAGGCGACTGTTATGCGGTACCATCCTCCACAACGACATGGATGTCTCCACGGCCCTTCTTCCGATTCCTCGATGTTTCCACGAGCCTCTTCTTCAAACTCCTCGAGTGAGACGACCTGCGTTGGACGGGGTCCCGTCGTCCCTGGAGGATCCCTCAGATTGGCATCATATGCTCGACGAAGGTCTTCGCTCGAGAGGACAGCGTAAGCTTCCTTGATCAGAGAGATATCGACACCATCTGTTGATTGGCAGGCGTCTCCTCGTTTGTCAGGATGGGATTGGAGCAGGATGCGGTGATAGGCGTGTTTGATGTCAGCTATTGGCGCATCCTTTGAAACTGACAAGAGGTCGTAAAAGTTAACGGTGTACTGGGAGGGTGCCAGATTTGGAATGGGAGATTCGTGAGTCAAGTGTTTGCAAATATCGAGTCCGAGGTCGTAGCTCAGCGCTCAGTGCTCGGAGGTCGTAGTCACTAATAACTAGAAAGCGCTAGGAACTGAGATAAGATAAGATAGAGTTATCTCTGCCTGTTTAACAACGCTTACACACACCGCGAACAATTAAATGTCCAGTCGTGATCTGACTTGTTCAGAATTCTGACCAGTTATCTGACCAGTCACAGACCAGTTTTCAGCCAGCAATTTCCTGGTCACTCGCCGGTCACTCGCCGGTCATGTCGACTCCTTGTTCAGAGCCAAATTGAATGGAAAATTGGCTGGATTGTGACCCGCATGTCATCGGCAGATAGCATGCCGAGCACTTGCCGATAACTGGCTGGTGACCGGCGTGTGACAGGCACATCACTGGACGAATGACTGGTCAGAACAACTCGGACCGTGACTAGATCCTTGCCTTGTCGTCTCCTACCTCAGGGGTGGTTGCTTCGTCGATTCTGCGCCAGGCCAGGGAACTAAGAGCTGGAGCCTGGGCGGCGAGGGCGGCGAGGGCGGTGAGGTTGAAGCAATTTAGCGAGGACTTCTAGTCTTCTCCCAATATTAATGCTTACCGGTTACGGCAGATTCCGTTTATCGAAGCTGTGACAGTCGCACCAGCAGACTGGTTGCAACCTCTGGCAACCGTCTTTCAACCGGGGCAAGGCTCACACATAAAAGTGCTTATTTATTGCATCAGCCGTCCGCTCATGACAGCAAGAAAACATCGTAGTATAAGTTGCCACCTAGATAAAGGAGCGTGGACGGAGATTTTGGTCTGTGATCGTGTTGGAGCCTCAAGCCTTCCCAGGTGCGTCCCTCCAACATGGCGCCGCCGAAGTATTCCCGCTCATCCAGGCAGAGAAAGCGCATAGACTGGCGCATGCTCTGACAGTTTGACCTATTGTTTTCAGTGATGTGCTCGCTGCACGAGGGTGTCGCAGGAGGAGGGCGCATGCGCCACACGGCCTTTTGGAACTTACAGTTATGCCAAGAAAGGTCTTTGTGCCGTCCGTATCTGATCGGAAAACGTGAATGGATTTGCTCATCCTCGCAGTTGTGACTCAGTCGCATAACTTGGCAGACGACTGACTCTACATAGTCCTCTCGTGTCCGACGCTATGACTTGTGCACCCCTCGAGCAAAGATGTCATGCAATGAGGAGCCCTCGAAACTCTTACGCGTCCAACGGCAAATTTGTGGCACTCCGGTGACCGGACGTAGAAGGCTGATTCAGCGCATTTGCAAGCATCCCTGAGTGCTTCTAAAAGGAGCTCGCCTAACCCTAAATAATTTGGCGAGTGTGCAAGGCGTATATATATCTGTCATCGTGTTTGGAGAAACTTGTAAGACCGTTGCCCCTCCCATCTCGGGCTCATGGCTGACCTCCAGACGCCAGCGGAATCTGCAACCCCCACCGCCCTGAACTCACGAGCGTCGAGTGGACATCACGTTGATGTCGCACGAGCTGAAGAAGAATTTTACGAGTTATCAAGACAGTTGAGTAGACGCTCCGAAACTGGCAAAGGCGATGGCAAACTCTTCGCCACCGCTGTTCATGACATCGAGAAGGGTGTTGAGCATGAGGTCGAGGATCGCTTTGATCTTCGCGATTATCTGACGTCGTCCAATGACCGGAATCAGCAAGCTGGCATCAAACATAAGGTCTGTAGGAGATTTTTACGCAGGGTTTCGGAGCGTGTTGCTAATGTTCCATCTCATTTCAGAATGTCGGTATCACCTGGGAGAACCTTCAAGTTGAGGTAGCCGGTGGTATGGATAGCAAGGTGCGTCTTCCGAAGTCCGATAGCTGGGAAATCCATACCGAATTCATTCTCAAGGTTTACAATCCCACTCTTGGAGGTAAGGTTGCCTTTTACTTTCACTGTTGTGTATTTTTCTCACCAGAGGATAGACGCCGTCTCCGATTTCGTACTCGGACCGTTCCTATGGGCCTGGGGTTTGATTTCTCCTCACCTTATTAAGCGCGATGCACCAACAAGAACCATTATTCACAAGTGAGCTTCAACCTTGTCCATTTTCTCGGATTCTTACGGCCTCCCCTTCTAGATCATCAGGTGTTCTCAAGCCCGGTGAGATGTGTCTGGTTCTCGGATGTCCCGGCTCTGGTTGTACTACCCTCCTCAAAACCATCGCCAATCAACGCGACGAGTTTGCTAGGATCTCTGGCGAGGTGCTCTACGCTGGAATCACCGCAGAGGAGATGGCCAAATACTACAAGGGCGAAGTCGTCTACAATCAAGAGGGTCTGTGTATAGTGTATACCCTCGAGATTTCGCTCCCGCAAGCTGAGAGGTTCCTTCCAGATGATATCCATATTGCCACCTTAACCGTGGCGCAGACACTCGCTTTTGCTTTGTCGACGTATGCTCTTGCTCCAAGTCTGCATGATACTTTTCATTGACCACTTCTATAGCAAAACGCCGGGTCCGAATGGTCGCCTCCCGGGGATCTCTCGCAAACAATTTGACGCCGAAATTTCAAAAACCCTTCTTCGTATGCTCAACATCTCTCATACAGAGCAAACTCTTGTTGGCGATGAATTTGTCCGTGGAGTCTCGGGCGGCGAACGAAAGCGTGTCAGCATTGCAGAGATGATGGCAACTCGCGCAAGAGTCCAGTGTTGGGACAACTCTACTCGCGGATTGGATGCATCGACGGCTCTGGATTTCGTAAAGAGTCTGCGCATTATGACCGATGTCCTTGGACAAACGACCTTCGTCACGCTGTAAGTACTGTGCTGTCTACCTCGAAATTGCTTTGAACACCATATTTCTAGTTACCAAGCTGGCGAAAGCATCTATCAATTGTTCGATAAAGTTCTGGTGCTCGACGAAGGACGACAGGTTTTCTACGGACCTCCGGACGAAGCAAGAGCCTACTTCGAAGACCTAGGTTTCAAGTCGCTGCCTCGTCAAACCACGGCGGATTATCTTACTGGATGTACGGATCCCAACGAACGTCAGTTTGCCCCTGGACGCTCTTCTCTGGATGTACCATCGACTCCCGAAGCCCTTGAAGCCGCTTTCCTCAAATCATCGTATTCCGCCGCCACCAACGTAGATTTGCAGGAATACAAGACCTTCATGAAGACAGAAAAAGCAGACCAAGAAGCTTTCAGGGCTGCGGTTGCGGCGGACAAGAAGAGAGGCGTCTCGAAGAAGAGTCCTTACACTCTCGGCTTCACTGGCCAAGTTCGTGCGTTGACGGTCAGGCAATTCCAACAAAACCTCCAGGACAAGTTCCAGCTCTATACGAGCTTTTCTCTCGCATGGGTACGTCCCACCTGATTTGCATCAGTCACTTATTTCATGCGTTTCAAGCTTCTTGCAATTGTCATCGGCGCTGCTTTCATCAACTTGCCTACATCTTCTGCTGGCGCTTTCACTCGTGGAGGTCTCATTTTCACCGCTCTGTTAACTCCATGCTTGGAGTCCTTCGGTGAGGTGGGAAACATCTTTTTGTCCAAGAGTGTAAAACACCAATCCCTGTTGTTAGATGCCCCTGCAAATGTTGGGTCGCCCAATCCTCCGGAAGCAGGTAAGTCTACGATCTCCTCGACACCTTGCATTGGCCTCATAGTTTTATTTAGACGAATTACAGCCTCTACAGACCCTCTGCAATTGCCGTCGCAAACACATTGGCTGATCTACCATTCTCCGCCGTCCGCATACTAGTCTTCAACATCATCGTCTACTTCATGTCAGGTCTTCATCGTTCAGCGGGTGCATTCTTCACGTACCACCTATTCATCTACATAGCCTATCTCGTGATGCAAGGCTTCTTCCGTACATTTGGGCTTATGTGCTTCAATTTCGACTCAGCATTCCGACTTGCGGTGTTCTTCCTTCCCAATTTGTAAGCCCTTCATTTTCTGTTCAAAGCAAATACTCAGAATTCTCTGAGCAGCATCGAGTATACTGGCTACATTTTGCCGGTCATTAGCATGAAAAGATGGTTGTTCTGGATCGTATGTTGCCCGTGTGCTCTTCAAATGTTTTGCGGTTGACCCTTTCCGAAGTACTACGTGAATCCCATTGCCTATTGTAAGTAATAGCTCTGATTTCATGTAAGTCGAGGACTCACCGTCTCTAAGCTTGGCAAGCTTGCATGATCAACGAATTCATGCGCATTTTTGTATGTCGTTTCGTCTATTCAAATAAGGTGTTGATGCTAACATAGTTCCAAAGCTGACTTGCGACGGAAATTCTGTTGTCCCAAGAAATGGACCTGGCGTCGACAGGTATCCGTAAGTGATGATTTTTTTTCTGTTAACAAAGTTTTACACCATCTCCAGCACTTCGCTCGGTCCAAATCAAGCTTGCACACTGTTCGGATCGCAAAGTGGCAGCGACCTAATTTCTGGCGCTGACTACCTCTCTGTCGGATACGGCTTGGATATTAAGGACCTATGGCGCCGCAACTTCCCGGTCATGATTGGTTTCCTACTTCTCTTCCAGTTGACCCAGATCGCCGTGCTTGAATTCATTCCGGTAAGTGAATCGTCACCCTCAAGAAGAAAAACACTCAACAATTTATGTTTGTCTAGCAATTCGGTCTGAATATGTCTATTCGAATCTACGCCAAAGAGAGTGAAGAGACGAAGCGATTGAACGCCGCGCTGCGCGAAAAGAAAATTGCTAAGGAACAAAGGAAAGAAAAGGGAGAGGAGCACGATGACCACGAAAAGCCTGAAAAGTGTGCATTCATCCCCTATGGTATAAATTTGGGCTGACCAGAATGTCGTAGGTCTCAATCCTTGGTCCATCGGAAGACATTCACCTGGGAGGGCCTCAATTATCATGTACCCAACCCCAATGGACCACTACGCCTTCTGCACGACGTCCAGGGTTACGTCAAGCCCGGTACTCTGACCGCTCTAATGGGAGCCAGCGGCGCTGGTACGCCATAGCAGAAGCTTTTTTTTTCAATCTCGATATTGACTTATCTTGTAGGTAAAACCACCTGCCTCGATGTCCTCGCTCAACGCAAGAATATCGGTGTCATCAGTGGGGATATTCTGGTCGATGGAAGACCTTTGCCTCCTGACTTTGCCAGAGGCACTGCGTACGGTGTGTAACGATTCCCGTCAGTTGGAACAACGTGCTGATCATTCGTTCGCCTGGAAAAGCCGAGCAAATGGACGTGCATGAAGGTGTTCATCCTTTATTATTTTATCTTACCAATACTCAATCTGAAATAGGAACCGCTACTGTCCGAGAAGCGATGCGTTTCTCAGCCTACCTTCGCCAACCCGCCAGCGTCTCCGAGGAAGAGAAGGATCAATATGTTGAGGAAATGATCGAACTTCTCGAGCTCCAGGACATCTCGGAGGCTCTCGTCTTCTCGCTTGACATGGAGGCTAGGAAGAGGTTGACCATAGGTGTCGAACTTGCCAGCAAGCCGGAGTTATTGCTGTTCTTGGACGAGCCGACCTCTGGTTTGGATGCTCAGAGGTACGTGCTTTCCAAGTTCCTTGAAAGCCGGTCGCTAAAGCTGTCGATATTTCAGCGCATGGAATCTCGTTCGCTTCCTCAGAAAATTGGCAGACCAAGGCCAAGCTATCCTCTGCACCATCCATCAACCTTCGTCGCTCCTCTTCGAAAGCTTCGATCGATTGCTCTTACTCCAACGCGGTGGCGAGACGGTATACTTCGGCGACATCGGCCAGGATTCTTCCGTCATCCGCGACTACTTCGCTCGCCACGGAGCAGTCTGCCCGCCGAACGTCAACCCCGCTGAGTACATGCTTGAAGCAATTGGCGCTGGTATTACACCTCGTATTGGAAACCGGGATTGGAAGGACATTTGGTTGGACTCGGCTGAGTGCAAGCAGGCCAAGGAGGAGATTGCTACAATCAAGAAGGAAGCATTGGCCCGTCCCGAGGAGGACCGAAAGACGCTAAGCACTTGTGAGTACATTGTCTCCCTCAATACTGATCGTATTCCTGACCTCAGTGAAGATGCGACTCCTTTCTGGTACCAACTCAAATGCGTGGTCCAACGCAACAACACCGCACTCTGGCGCTCTCCAGACTACATCTTCAGCCGACTCTTCGTCTCTACCTTCATCTCGTTCTTCGTGTCCTTGTCGTTCATACAGCTGGGCACCAGTGTTCGGGATCTCCAATTCAGAGTCTTCGCGATGTGGGTCCACCTGTTATACTTTGATTGACTTTTGAGTAGGCGCCTAACTTTCGTTGACAGGTTCTGGGTCATCGTCCTTCCCGCGATCGTCATGTCGCAGATTGAGCCTCTGTTCATCTTCAACAGGAGTAAGTCCTTTGTTGTGCTACAGATGTACCATTGACTAATCGTTGTTTTCTAGGAACGTTCATTAGAGGTGCATGGTTTTCCCTTGTTTCGGGACTCAGGTCGACTAAATTTCTATTAGAATCGTCCAGTCGCATCTACTCGCCATATGTCTTTGCCGTCGGCCAGCTCATTGGAGAGATTCCGTACAGTATACTCTGTGGTGTTCTGTATTGGGTCGTCATGGTATGTCCTCTTTCCTCCTTCGTGAAACTTTATTAACAATTTGTCAGGTCTACCCTATGGGCTTCGGTCAAGGCAGCGCAGGCCTGAATGGCACCGGATTCCAACTCCTGATCATCATCTTCATGCTCCTCTTCGGAGTGACCTTGGGCCAGATGGTCGTAGCGCTCTCGCCGAGCATCCAAGTCGCGGTCCTGTTCAACCCTTTCATCGGTCTGGTGCTCGCGACGTTCTGTGGTGTGCCGATTCCGTACCCGACGATGAACAGCTTCTGGCGCGCCTGGTTGTACGAGCTCAACCCGTATACACGCACGGTTGCGGCGATGGTGTCGACTGAGTTGCAGTACGTTCTTCTCTTTGTGTTTGTTCATCATAAAATTGTTGACTTTTTTCTTCCCAGTGGCCTCGTGATCCGCTGTAAACCTGACGAGTTCGCGGTGTTCACTCCTCCCGTCGGAGAGACGTGCTCCGCCTGGGCGCAGTCGTTCGTGGATGTTCTCGGAGGATACCTCGACAACCCGCTGGACAACGCTGCCTGCCGTTACTGCCAATTCGCCGTCGGCGACCAGTTCTTCATCCCATTGAACATCTCCTTCTCCAACCGCTGGAGAGACACTTTCATCCTTTTCGCTTTCTTTGGTGAATTCTGATCTTTGTCGTTCTCTTGCTCGTTCGCTGATGCAAGATTATTTTACAGTTTTCAACGCCATTGTCACGACGAGTAAGTTTTCTTCCTCTTGGCACCGACCCTCGCATACTGACATCGAGGAACAACAGTTGCTTCCAGATTCTTGCGCTACCATAAACGATAAACTTTTTTTTAATGTTGGGCTTTATGCCCGCCTATGCCCCACGCGGGCGGCCACGGTGCACGCCGTGTGCGGCATTCACGTTTTGGGCTCATCTGCACGATTCGCTTGTGCATCCCAGCGCAAGGAGACGAGAGTGGAGGACCTGGAGTTGCAGCCGTGCTACAGTTATGGTAGAGTTCTTCGACCTGCTCTGATATATACCTTCGTTTCGTTGGGAGCGCGAGTTACATCGATATTTTGCATCATATAGACCTTGCTTTAGATTACACACGAATTAATGTTGGACCTGGGGGGTGAGCTGTGCGTTCGGACATGGAGTGGGGTAGAAAAAAAGTGTGCGTCGAGGGGAGAGCCACATATAACTCCTTTTCTTCGATGGTAAGGTGGTGATAAGATGGGCTGCCAGTCCGAGCATGCCAACGGACTGATCAGTGTCTTTCTTCGGGTCGGAGTAGTGGTGCCGCCTGTCATCGTACATAGCCATGCGTATATTGAAACACCAGTGTGCCTGTGTTGGACCTGACTCGGTCAGTAGCGTTGAAGAGATCCGTCGAAGTTAGCCAGCTGCATCATACGGAGGATAGATTGGTACACCCGTGGCGGACATCTTGGTGGCTCGCGATGAGTCCGAGCTGCTAGACAGGTTGCTTTTTTCTAGTGCAAAGGAAGCCTGGAGATTGTGGGTCATTGGCAGTACGGAGACATTTACATACGGGTATAACTTGCACGGGCGCCTAGAGATGGAGAGACGGAACACTGGACGGAAACTGTGGGGATCAAGCGGTATGGTCAGCTGAGGGATGGAGGCAGTTGTTGCGATGAAGCACAAGGCGCGCTCTAGGACACCCCTTATGGCACCTGATGATAATGTCGGACCGAAGGTGTTGGCTGAGAAGCCGCGCGGCGCATGAGAAAGAGGACACAAAAGGCCGCTTGGGAGAGAATGGGCGGTGAGTTTAAAGGAAGGATTGTGGTGGTTGGAGATAAAAAAGTGTTTGGGAGATGTACCGAGTTTTAGTTGTGATTGTTGCGAAGGGGGCCAAGTGTGATTTTTGACTTGGCCGTCTGTCAGCTCCGTGCTCTTTCCTTCCTTACATATGGACGCCCCCACTCTCGTTCTCGTTCCCCCAACTCCTCTCCGTTTCGACATCCCTGCGCCCCCAGAGGTCCAGCACCCGCCCCCGCTGCCCAGCTCCAGCCAGCAGCGACCCCACAAGGGCAGAGACTCCGTAAGAGACTCCTCAGACGCCATTTTCAGCATATACTCCATGTATGGCGACGAGCACACCTCCCGAGCAAGCACCAGTTGGGCATCCCCGCCTGCCCCTGCTGCCAAACACGATCGGACTCGCTCCAACGGCACATTGCCTCCGACAGTCACCCTCAACCTCTCCCCAGAACGCCCCTCTTCCTTCTTTGCCTCCAACGGCTATGCCCGTACCAGTCTCGCATACTACTCAGACGAAGACACACCGCCCCCTGCGCCTCCTCCAGGGGCTGACAAGCCCTCCACCATGGTCGGCGTCGACAACAGTCCGCGCGAATCTCTTGCCACCACATCCTCCGCACGTCCTCCTTCAAGCTATGTAACCCCGTCATCACTCCGCGCGCCCTCAGATCTCTTTGAAGACCACCGCCTCTCAGGCCTTCGCACAAGCGATCTCTCAGCCTCATCGTACACCCATGGCCCCAGCAACTCGAGAGACTTCCGAAGCGGATCCCCTCACTCCAAACGCTCCTCCCGTAGCTCACACAATCCCCATCGTTCCTTGCGCGATTTGCCTCCGCTACCGCCTTCCGCCAACCCAACTCCATCCCCTACACCTCCACGCCAACCATCGCCCTCCCCCGTTCTTCTCACCCCGAAGACATCGCTCAACCAAAGCCAGAGGCATCATCAAAGTAACGTCAGCTCGCCTTCTAGCAAGGCATCTTTAGCACCTTCCGAAGGCGAGGACATGGATGCTTTTCATGTCCGGAACACATATGCGCAGTTGGAAGCATCAGGAGTTCGCGGTGATGGCTATGAAGAAGGTATCGAACGGACACGGGCTAGAGTAGGCAACAGTAGAGCAAGCCAACTGGAGGCAGATTCTGCGATTGCTGATGGAACTGAGAAGAAGCGGGACTTAGATGCCAAGGAGCTGCAGGTTCTGCGCAATGTCGATAGGTGCGCCCCCGTTTTATTTTCGTCCCTTGTAGTCCCCATTCAAACGGTCGGTCTTCTAGATATGGCTTCTTTTCTGTTACCTCCCACGACCGATTGGTTCTACTCAGCGCAGCACCTCTGCTCAAGAAATTATCCCTCGCACCAGCCGGCCCACCTTCCGCCTCTCCCAATGCTACCCCTGTAAAGTTTCTACCACCGGCTTCAATATCTCCCAAGGAGACCTCACGAATATCCAAATGGAATCGTATGCTCGTGCCCCAGAAACCCCAGCAAGGAGGCAATGTGCAGAGCTGGCGGCTACGACCGTCGAAGGAAGGCAAGCTGCGAGAACGGACGTACAAAGGGGTACCCGACCGATGGCGAAGGGCGGCTTGGGACATGCTGATATCTGGGCGCGCAGGTGCTAGCGCGAGCGACTATGAGAGTCTAGCAGCGCAGTACAGGGATTGTCTAGACAAACCTTCGACATACGACATCCAAATTGACTTGGATGTACCGAGGACCATTAGTGGGCATATCATGTTCAGGACAAGATATGGTGCTGGGTAAGTTTCTCTCTCCATTATACTCTTCCAATTTATTTAATAATTACCCGAAGACAACGATCTCTGTTCCACGTCCTCCACTCCTTCTCCCTCCGCTGCTCAAGCTGCGGGTACGTGCAGGGCATGGGTCCCATCGCGGCTACCCTGCTCTGCTACATGGAGCCCGAACGCGTCTACGCGTGCCTCGTCATCCTACACGACGCCTACAGGTTGCACGACGTCTTCAGCCCGGGCTTTCCAGGCATGCTCGAGGCGATCTACGTCCAGGAGCGTATCATGGAGACGACGATGCCCGGAGTGTACGCCGCGTTCCGCAAGCACATGATTTCGACCACGTCGTACGCGACCAAGTGGTACATCACGCTCTTTGCCAACTCAGTGCCCTTCCAGACGCAGCTAAGGCTTTGGGACGTATTTTTGCTCGAGGGGTACGATCTATTCGTTGCGGTGGCGGTGGCGATCGTGTGGGTCTATCGGGGTGCGTTGGACTTTTCTCTTGCCTTTCTTTTTCCCTTCGAATCTGCAGGATACGATGACTGATGCCGCCTGTGTCTCAAATAGACCACATCACGTCCGCCTCGGCCAACTTCGAGACCGTCCTGTCGCTCCTCTCGTCGTTCTTCATACCAGAGAACGAAGACGCCCTTATGTCATGGATTGAGGCCACGCTCGGCGACAAAAAGCTACGCGCGAACATGGTAAAATGGCGGCAGGACTGGAAAGGGCTTGTTGCCGCCGGCAAAGACGGGAACGCGCTGCTATAGAACCCCAGTTTGTCTTCGCGCCTCCTGTCGTTCTTGATGACCTCGTTTCCGCGCCCCAAGATCCCCATTCACCACCCCACCTTGGAGCCCATCGCATTGTGAATATCTGCTATCATCACTCCCTACGCTTTCCCCCGCGACTTCCCAAGTGTTGTCTCATGTTTTCTCCTCTCATCTGCTCGCATACATTCATCAACTGCAACTTCGAACGCTCTCATTCATTCATTCAACACAAGCTCCCTTTTGCTCGCCACCTAGTCCACGCACCGCTTTTATATTTATAGGCATAGTTATCTTCCTGCATGTTTTCTTCACCTCAGTCCAACTCGATCAGAGCCACCTTCTCGTAGTCGCAAGTAAATATGTATTGCACGACCTACGATACAGTACACAGGCGAGACGCCTTAATTCGTCGATAAATGGTGTAGGAATAAGAGGTTAGTTTTAGAACTGGATCCCCGAAGAGGTAGATGCTGCTTTTGAGTGCAATGCAGCTACATTGGTGCAACCACCTGTCTCTCAACTTCATCACAACGCACAGGTAGTACATTTACAATTGAACTTGTTTTTAGCAGGTCTAGAGATAGAGCAGTATGTATACACAGCAGTACAATTTTTGAAGCGACAGTCATTGTCCATTTACTTCTTGAGCAAAGCAGGGGGGTTGTGGCCAGCAGACAGTCCTCCTTCGCCAGCATAGGTCGCGCCAGTTCCAGCTAGTTCCTCCCTAATGCAAAGTTAGCTTAGTCAATAAGAAGTGCGTTTAACGTACTCGATGCGGAGGAGAGCATTGTACTTGGCGACGCGCTCGCTGCGGGCAGGAGCGCCGGTCTTAATCTCACCGACACCAAGGGCAACAGCAAGGTCGGCGATAATGGTGTTTTCGGTCTCTCCGCTACGGTGCGAGATCATGACACCCCAGCCGTCGGATTGAGCGAGCTGTGCACTATATATTGCGCATATAAGCCGTTGAAACACTGATATTTCATACAGGGACATACGCTTGGATAGATTCCGAGATGGTACCAATCTGGTTGACCTTCAAAAGCAGGCCGTTGCAAGCCTTCTTCTCGATGGCAGTCTTGATACGAAGGGGGTTCGTGACCGTCAAGTCGTCACCAACGATCTGAATACCGCTCTGCTGCGTGAAGTGGGTCCAAGCTTCCCAGTCGTCTTGATCGAAAGGATCCTCAATAGAGACAATAGGGTACTTCTTGACATAGCTGAGGTACAGATCAGCAAGCTCAGTGCCGGTGATCCACTTGCTTGGGTCAGAGTTGGGGTTCTTGAAGTCCAGATCGTATTTGCCCTCCTTGTAGAACTCGGAGGAGGCAACGTCAAGGGCAATCTTGATCTTTCCCTCATAACCAGCCTTCTTGATGGCTTCGGAAAGCAGTTCCAGGGATTCCTCGGCACCAGAGACGTTAGGTGCGAAACCACCCTCGTCGCCAACGTTGACAGCTGCAGGAATATGTCGTCATAAACTTCAAGGGACAAATAATCGGCAACATACCATCAATTCCATATTTAGCACTGATGACCTTTTTCAAGGTATGGTAAGTCTCCGTTCCGATCTTCATGGCCTCAGTGAAAGAGGTAGCTCCAGTAGGAAGTAACATGAATTCCTGGAAGGCAAGCTTGTTTCCAGCATGGGAGCCACCGTTGATAACGTTGAAGGCGGGAGTAGGGAGGACGAAGGGGGGTTTCACGCCTGCAAGATCAGCGAGATGTTGGTAGAGGGGAACGCCCTTCTCAGCCGCAGCAGCCTCAGCAACTGCAATCGAGACACCAAGAATTGCGTTAGCACCGAGTTTTCCCTTATTGGGGGTGCCATCGAGCTTAATGAGGAAGTCGTCGATGTCCTTTTGGTTGAGAACGGAGAGACCAGACTTGATGAGCTCAGGCGCGATAGTATCGTTGACATTGGAAACGGCCTTGGAGACACCTAAGACGCGTAAATGTATAAGAATGTCGCCAGATAAGGAGTTTAACAATACCTTTGCCAACATATGCGTTCTTGTCACCATCGCGAAGTTCGACGGCCTCATGAATACCAGTAGAGGCACCAGAGGGCACGGCAGCGCGGAAGCGACCTAACTCACGGGTGAGAACGATTATCTATTCTAAAAGTCAAGATAGCCTACCCTTGGCGGTATGGAGGTCGACCTCCACGGTGGGGTTACCGCGCGAGTCGAAGATCTACAGTGAAGAGGGACGCTAAAAAGGCGAATATGGGCGCATATACGAGAGGAATACCTGGCGAGCGTGGATTTTGGTGATGGACATGGCTGTAGGATGGTGAAGGGGTAAGGGACCCAAGTTATCTCGAATCGATCTTAGTATCGTCCTAATTTTCCCACGATCAGTGGCGCAAGGTCGGAGGACCGATCAAATCCCGACTGTGTCCGTCGTTCCAGGTCTTTCCCTCCTTCCCTGTTCCCTCCGAGGTCTTCGAGTCTCGAACCCTCCATGTGAATTCACAAAGATCCTACCCTACCCTACATACACGATCGCCCTGCCCAAAGTCATCCCGTCTGCAGTCAGTCTACCTGGTTCCGATTGGTGAATTCCTGAACCGGATATATCAATCGGCGCAGCTTCTTACCTTGCTCAATGACACGCCAAAATTTCACAATAGCCAATCAAGCACTCTTCTTCTTGCCCTTTTTTCCGACAGGAAGCGATTTCATTAAGGCCGCTTTTGACCGACTCTTGTTCTTCACATTCGCGGTCGAGTAAAAATTGCCGGCTTTGCGCTGTAGTTGAAATATGATCATGAGGTCGGAACAGCGAAATAGATCATGAGCAACATACCTTGTTCGTCTTCATCCGAGGTTCCTTTTTATCTGACGCTTCCTCGTCAGAGCTTTCTTCTTTTTCAGGAAGGGCTGAAGATCAATCAGAAATGGCCCTTTTACTGGAGGTGATCGACATACCATCACTCTTGGGTTCCTTTGCAGCATTAGAAACAACGGAGTTGGAGTTGATGCCTTCAAAGACGTCGGTCCACTTCAAATCATCTTCGTCTTCTCCTTCATCGACATGATCTGAGTTTTCAGTCCCGCTTCCAGAAGCATCGTCGTCGACATCTTCGTCCTCATCCTCCTTGGGTTCTTCGTCCATCTTCTGAATATCCTCAGGCAGGAAGGTGTTCTTCTGGATAAGAGTCTTCAGGTTTTGCTTGACTCCTGGAACTTCAGCCTCAGATGTCGCCTTCCCCTTCCCCTTCAGATCATTTTTCTTCCTCTGCTTAGCTTCGGCAGCATTCAGGTCCTCTGACCTTTCAGGCGGTGGCACAAAGAACGGAATACGACCCCGAACCCAATCGCTCAAAATAATCTTGGCAACGGAGTCCAAATCTGGTTCGCCATGTTTTAATAGTCGGCCTTTCATCCGTGCAAGTTTATCGAGGAATTCTTCCGGTTCCCAACTCTTCGTGGGATCATCTTTCTCCGGAAGATCTATCCCGTATGTCCTGGAGAGGTAGATGGGCTTCACCCGTTCCATGAGAACAGGTATATGTTCTGAAGGAGTTGCAAGAGCTTCTACTCGGACCACGCCCTTCAGGACGGTAGCTGCTTGCGAATCGTGTGCTGAGGCGGGCACAATTCCAGGGCAATCGATGAGGTATATTCGTTTGGTGAGAGTAATGTATTGCCAGACCTGGATGAAGAAAATAAGTCGACTGCTGCATATGTTCATGACGTGGCCTACTTTCGTCTCTCCAGGTACTGGGGCTACACGGCAAACTTTGTTGCTCTTCAGCGTGTTGATGACGCTACTTTTCCCGACATTAGGGTATCCCATAAACCCCACGGATATTTGCTTCTTGTCTGAATGCAACTGGGAAAACTGCCGCAGCAACTGAATAAGAGAGCCTTTGCCAAAGGAGTGATTCGGCGAGGCATGGAAAGCAATAGTGGGGTAGCGAGGGGTGAGGTGTTTAATATATCGCGCCTGCAAGGGGTTTAATAAAGGAAGAGACAGATTACAGAATAGACACTTACCGTGACCCAGTTCGGAACTAGGTCACATTTGTTAATAACTAAGACTACCTGTTTGTGCGATTTCTCTTTTCTTATGTACTCGAGTACAGATTCGCACATTGTCCCGAAGGGGTCGCGAGCATCGAGGATATGGAGAATGACGTCGGAAGAGTCTATGACCTTGTACAGTTCGCCATATATTCGTCTTGAAGTGCCTTTGGCATAAATGGGCTCATTGTAGTCGGCATGAGTTTGTGGCTCGACAATCGAGGAGGCAAGAGGCTCTTGTAACCGTTGTCATGAACAGGCTGTCAACAAATTGGGGCTAATGTACTTACCAATGACTGCTTGACCTGATGAAGCAGCAGCATTGTCCGCCTCGTCTCCTGCTGCAGCACCAAGTTGACTCAGTTCCTCGAACGTCCCAGCTTCTATTCTTGGTTTTTTTCTTTGAGCCTTAGGGCCAAAGGTTTCGGCGAAAGGTTCGGTTTCGACGATATGAGCTCGCTGGATTCAGAATAATAAGCCTCTGCGCTGAACGACAAAAATTCATATTAACCTTGCGGAGATTCGGATTGGCAGCATCGTCGAGGAGAGCCATCGGCAGTTTATTCCTCCTCAGTAAGACTGAATATGGGTCGTCCTTCTTGGACCCAAGGCTTGTTCTAAAATGATCCAAAGCCGTTTGAGAGATAACTCTGGTATTCCCTGACAAAGGGGTTAAGAATTACAGAGATGTAAGTGCAGGTGCAAGCAACGCACCGAACCATCTACGATCGGGTTGCACCCGTCCAGGCTTCGTCTCGTCTTCTCCCTTCTGAAAAGCGGCAGCCTGGATAATCTTCCCGTCCTTGTCACGTACGGCCTTGCCGCCGTTGAGCATTTTGACTCGAGCAACTTGCTTCGCATTGCGGTAGAAGTTTTCGCCCTTGACTTTCTTGAGCGAGACTGCAGATGACGAAGTCGAGGATCTTGTTTTGGATGGGGAGGCTGTCTTTTTTGAAGGTGCCATAATCCTCGAAAAGACAACGCCTCAGGAGCGTCTTTGAATGGGGAAGGGTCGGTGATCGCGAAACCGAAGTACAGGCACGAAAATTATATCAAAGGTTCTCACGCTCTACTTATCACTGAGGACGAAGATTACCAGAAGTTCGACGGGGCACTCTCTCCGTTGACATAACGCCTGGAAGATTACGAGGTGTACAATCAGGTAAAACTGAATGAGCAGCATACAAAAATTCTACATGGTAAATTGTATGTCTCCAAACCAATAGGATTCCGAATTTCTAACTGTCACCATTGACAATCCTACGGACAACCAGTGTTTCTTCTGGAGAGAGCTGGTCCACAAGCTGGGCGAAGTTATTCGTGTTGTGAGCGGCGCAATCACGTAAAAATGCCTGGAGGTGCGCCTGGACAACAAATTAGCAAAATATATTTAGAAAAAGGGCGTTACTGACCTGCAAGTCCATGTGAGAAACGGGGTCATTCTTCAAATCCTCGTCGTCATTATCATCGAGAATTTCGTCGTTATCGAAGGCCATTCCCTTGGGACCCAACATGTCCGACAGGAACGCGAACTCATCTGCTTTGAACCCTTGATTTTGTTTTTCCTCCTCTGCCCAATCTTCATCCTGGTCCAACAGTCAGTAGTGTCGACCAGAGAAAAATTGCACTGCACCCACTCCATCATCGGATTCTACGTCATATACCTCTCCTTGGGCTGTCAGAGTAGCCGCATCTCCACCAGACTGAACGTCTCGCAGAATGATCTTGAGGGCTTTGACAGGGAAAGAAATCGCCGTGAATTCATGAGGAGCTGGAAAGACACGGAGTCAACACATAGAACACAAGAGGTCGGACAGCGGGTGGCATACTCTTCTTCGTTTTTGAGCGAGTCATAATGACTGCGGATATGAATGACACTCTGCATTCAAGCCTGAAGGACAGGACTTACCATTCTTAGTTTCCGGTTTGATGATGATGTCTCCCTTGACGGTGAGATTCTGGAGGCTCGGGCGATCGGACACGAGAAGCTGGGTTAGAGCCAAGGTGCTGATACGAGATGGCCAGAATCCTTGGAATGTTTCTGCATTCTCGCACCACGTTTGGATGAGGATATCTAGCCCATTCCGGCCATTGATGTCCAAGGATTCCAACAGGGCCAGGACAGTGTCTCGTTGGTTGTTGATCAGGAAGGCAAACGGAATGACCAAACTCTAGCGGAGCGAGTTCAGAACAGCACCTCGAGGAATAATATGGTTGTCACCTGGAGGAAGGTCGCAGTCTTTGCAGTCGTCATTCGTGACACCATCGCTTGTAACAGCTGAGGTAGAACGGGAAGTACGGCATCACCTGTTCGTCTCAAGAGGTGGATGATAAGATCACCTATTTGGAGGCCTCCCGACTCATCCTGGCTCTCGAGCATACGTCCGGTGAGAGACAAGACATATTCGAGACCGCTTCTACCACTGCCGTCGTTCCAGGACACTATCTGGTTGCAATCTTTGCGAATGATGAGGGTAAGACAAGAAATCCCGTTCTGCGTACATATCAGGATTAGCCCCAACTCGCCATGAAATGATGCAGTTGTATATTCACCTGCAAGACATCCCGGTCTTCTGCCCCGCCCAAACATGAAAATAATCCGGGCGCCAATAACTGGAAGAAGCCTTCTCCAAGATTGTTTTCTTTGGCTCCTGAGACCAAGCTACTGATCAGGTCGATTGCTGAACTAGCTATCCATGATTCCTCCTTTTTGGCAGAGGTCACAGCCGCACTAAGTGGAGGGAGGGCTTGCTTGATCACGGTCTCGTAGATGCCATTCGCCGGTGATGATGCAAGATTGGTGAGGATGTCCGTAAAGATCGAAATAAAGATCGGATCTGTACAGGAAAATTGTCGTTTGTTGAAGGACATCATCAGAGATGCAACGAACCTTTATTGTTCTTATTCCACACTTCTAATATTGCAGTAACCAAAGACCCAGCGAGTTCCTGTGTCAGCCACTTGCCTTGATCCACCTCAAGGACCACAGATAAGGATTCTAGAATTAAGGACAGGGTGTCCTCTGAAGCGACGAGGAGCAAAGGGCCAAGGTCTTGGGTTATTCGAGGGGCAAATGGAATAAGAGCAGAGTCCTCTCCGTCTTGACAAAAACTGGAGAAAAAATAAGTGCTGATTCGTGTACTGAATGGCAAGAACATACTTGTGTATCGCCTTAACTGCCGAAATCTTCACCGGAACGCTAGCCTCACTTGACTCTAGAATTTGGACTGCAGCATTGAGGTAATGACCGGCAGACTGAAGGGGTAGCAGTTTGGCATATTGACTAGCAAAGACGAATCCTCTTCCTTGTAAGAACGGCGCTTCTGCTAGATGCATGAGCAAATTGGGAGAATAATGTTAGAAATAAACAGACCCGATACACCCAAAATGGGAGGTATCACATTCGAAAGAAGAGAATCGATGTCGATGGGTTTCTGGCGACCTGATTCCTGTTCGTCCTCAATGCAATCTAGGACAGACTCTGCTTGGGATCCGATGGCTGCAAGGCCTGCCTCTAAGGGTCGCCACCTGGGAACAAAGTACACATGAATAAAGCATTTCGTCGATGGCCAACGCACTCACCATTCAGGGTCTCCTGCATTGCGAGTTTGTTCGGACGCCACAACAACTTGTGTAATGGACGATTGGAAAGACGCAGTTGTTTGGGCTGGAGCGCGTTCCATCAAGCACTGTAGGATATCGGAGGGGGGTAAGTCATCGACTTCAACACCTCAAAGAGAATAGTTACACTGAGAAGATCAAATCCAGCTACTCTGACGCTGTAGGCTTGGGTTTCGTCCTCTTCCTGGGCAACGAAGGCATTTGCGTTACTTGCCCAAGTCTCCGCCTGAGCGAACCATCAGGTCGAAGAGTCAATTGAATGGCAGGGAGCGTACATACGTCTTCCTCTGACATTTGAATATATGCAAATACCGATGAAACCAATGAGAAAATGTTCGCATCGCTCAGCCAATTGTGAGCCTTCCCACTTCGAATGACAGCAGCAAGGAGATCAATGATAGGGCATACAAGCTGTGGAAGTTCAATCGGCTCATCTTCTGATGTGTTTGGAGCCGATTCGGACCCATTGAGATAATATGACGTGAAAGTTGAGTACAATGCTCGCAAATGGTTTATAGACACCGCTAGGAAATCATTCAGGTAGTCGACCAGAGCTCTTGGAAATGACGTGTGGAGAGTATCCAGTGTCTGCAATTACATGTTAGCCAGGACCATGAAGTCGTAAAAACAATTCCACCTTAAAAATCTGGATTCTAACAGTGAGTCCGTCCCAGCTGGAGGCATTGGCAACATCTTGAAGAGGATCGATGCTGAGCAAAACTTTGAAGGCTTCTAACCAGACTGGTAGAACCGAGGCCGTTGCTTCCTTCACAGCTTGAGGATGCTGATCTTTTACCATGAACAACGCCGTCACACATTGGCGAAAAACAGAGACGACGCGGGCACGAGTCGGAGCTGAATGCGACTAAATTGATCAGTGGAAAACCGAGCACGAGGGGTTGAAAGGAGGGGTGGATACCTCGGTGGATCCAAGTATCTGCAAGAGGACAGGAAGAAGTTCACGGAGAACAGGTAAAATCTGGTCTTCCGTCAAGTCGGACTTGATGAATTCCGTAAAGACCTGCATTGCACCATGGACAGAGTTGGGCGATCCAGAAGATATCAGACTGATAAGGGAGGCAAGTAGATCTGGATATTCATCTGGCCAATCACAGTTGGCTATGGAGGAGAGGGTGTGAGCCTAACGCAACGAGTATCAGCAATTTTGACATCAACAGAAAGTATAGAAAGAAGCTCACTGAGAGCGTTCGGATTTTTCTAAGTGGATCTGAGAGTCCATGGAATACTGCTTCCCGGATTTGAGCTTTTATCTGGAAGTGAGAGATATGTCGACCTTCTTATTCATAAAATAAAGTGAGGAGCTACCTCAACTGGTGGAGCACAGCCTTTGAAAGTGGAAAAGTAGGGCGACCATCTTTCTCGGACATACTTGCGAAGAGCAATGCTGGCAGAGTAAAGACTTTGTTATGAGGATCAAACGCGTTGAATTAACGGGAGGAAACTTATCTGCCTGAGGGGCATCTCTGCCTCTTGCGAGAGCATCAGATGAGAAAGAGATAGGCCAGCTTCTGCACAGACGCGAACTATGTCAACTCCTGATCGAATACGCGATGCGTGAAAACGACGCGCCTGGACGCGTAAACCATTCCCCTAGCTTGAGTTCCGCAGCGATTCGAGTATTTGTGTCTGGATTGAGGGTAGCCGTCAAGCATTCTGCGATCTTCGCCGTGGTCATCTTGGAGGTTAGAGGAAAACTTGCAACAGGTTCGCGACCTAGTGACATGGAGGGCTGATGATCACGCCACGTGCAATGCGCGTCCTGTTGGCAATTTCAATATCCTGGATCTAGTTTTGAGTTTCACAGTCGACCAAAATTCGTCTTGACTGAGCTTCGCGGTATCAGTATCTTTATGTGTTAAAGTTTGGTCAATTGTCTTTCTTCTTGAGGCATGCAGTACGGGCAACGCGTTCAATTATTCTTCAAATCTCTGTGACATCACGTCACACCTGCAATAAGGAGCTACAATTAGGCTGGCTTCGAACCTCCATCTTCGATCTAGTCGAACACACCTTCGCTCGTCGAACTCCGAACAAACAGCTTTTCTTTCATCGGAAACCGGGAGTCGACTGAGAATGGAGACGGAATTCAACACCGCTGGGGCACGCCGCAGCACTCGAAAACGCCGTAAAGTCTCATCCACCGACGCTCCCGAACAAATCGTGACACAGGAGCAGACTGTTGAGGCCTCTACCAAGGAGGTTCGGCCAACCAGGAAGAGAAAAGGAAAGCTCAACAGTCTCCTTAACATGCCGTTGGACATTCTTTTTGAGGTATGGTAATTGGACTGGGACAACGCCAGCCACATTTGATCCTTTTCTGTCTAGATTTTGGGGCACCTGAAGCCCTACGATCTTTTAAGATTAGCGCGCACTACGAAAGATTTTAGGCGTCTCCTTATGAACAAGTCTTCGATTTCGGTCTGGAAAGCCTCTCTTCGAGAAGTGCCTGGCTTGCCTCCATGCCCCCCAGAGATGACTGAGCCAGCTTGGACAAACCTTGTTTTCTCCCCCCAATGCACGGTAGGAATGCTTGGCTTTCCGGCTGCCGATTCCTGATTTCTGTTCAGTATTGCCTCGCCATCACACGCAATATCGAATGGCGGTTTCGCGCGCGGATCTGCAAGAGCTGCTCAAAGACGGTGTGAGTGCCCTCCACCGGATTGCCTTGTTAGTGGCTTGAAGTCTCACCTTCTGTTTTACGCAGATTAGGCAATCTTCGGGATCGGCTGTACGCCTCCTACTTCTTGTTCGACGGTCAGGAAGAACCCGAAACCTTGGAGGATCGCTTTCAGAGGCTTCCTCTCATGTCCTTGATTGCCAACCGCCCCGACAGTGAGCCTCATTCTTTTTGCGCGTAGGAACGTGGCTTATTGAGACGCTGTAGAAAGGGGAGTCAGACTTTATCGTCTTTCGGACTACCACGAGCTTGAACATCGGTATAAAGTTTTACTCCAAACGGACGAAGAACGCGCTGCATACATCGACCAAAGAAAGGCTCTTGTTGAAGAGATATGTCAGGTTGGAGAGACATGTCTGCTATTGGCTCTATTTCATTGACCAAAGAGTTCCTTTAGCACGCAAGTCTTTGTGAAGCATGGATGAAAAATCAAGTTGAAGACCGAGACACTGAACTGCGCCAACTAAGAGAAGAGAGGAGGACTGCGTAAGCCATTCCACGTCCAAGGGACTACATATTTTTTGATCCGCTTGGTGCTCTAGCATCCGGAAGAAACTCGAAGAGTTGGGCTGGGGACACGAACTCGCGAATATCAAATATCCTGACAACTTTGCTACTCATAAGCTCGTGGATCGACCGCAGCGCCTCACTGAAAGAAGTAAGCCCTTTTTGTGTGCCCGGCTCGTCGACTCACTAGTTGTTAATTATTTAGTTTGGATCAACATCAGAAACGAGCTTGTGGAGTACATGAAGCAAATCCGTGTCAAGCGCCTCCAACGAGAATTCGAAGCTCTTGTTTTGAAGCGCAAAGGATTTGCTGTCCAATTCCTGCGCCTGTATAGGAACCGCAGCTTCAATGAGGACGACGTTATTCCTGACGGGGTCGACTTCTGCAACTTTGAGCCCGTTCAAGAACTATGCCGTCGACCTGTGGATGTTGAAGTCAACCTGGACAGTTTCGCCGCCATTCTCCCTCTCTTACCTGACCTCATCCATGGGTGGCGGGAGAAGGCTGATGAGTCCCTCGCCGCTCTACTTAAAAGGAGTGTCCCGCCCACTCGCAAGGTATTATCTTGGGTTGATGAAGATAACGAGCTATGCAGCAGAGTCGAGTGGAAACCCAACCCCTACGACGGGATGACGAATGCGCAAGTTCTAGAAAAACTCAAGCTCGCAACCACAGCGTTCACTTGCAACATCTGCACCATTCGGAGGAGGTACTACGACGCCATCTTTGAACCTTGGTACGACTCCGATGATTCCGACGAAGTGTCCAACAGCCAGATGTTCTTCTATCCCCAGGTCATCAGCCACGCCTGTCTTACTCGCGACGAGTCTGTCGTGGATTGGATAGGCTGGGAATTTTATGAGACGCTGGATCCTTCACTGAGTCTCAAGGGTGGATTGAGCAAGAGGTGCTCTTGGTCGAGTTCCAGACTCTCCCTGGACGTGCAGGCCGGCAATATCATGGCGGAAATTCTCCAGTTGGCGGAACTGGATCCTGCGACAGCAACTCCGCACGACATGGATAAATTGGATCTCAGATTTGCATGCCTTCGATGTTCGAAGGATGCTGACGAAGGTGAACCCTATCAAGATGATAGCTATGAACGAGACATGACCAACATGCCTCTCATGAAATGGAGACAAGCTGTAAGTTCAACACATCTCCTTTCGTTTCCTAACTCAACCCATCCCAGGTCAAGCACTACAAAGATAGTCATGGTGGATATTCTATCAAAGATTTGCGGAAATATTTCATGAAAGTCGAGGGCGTACAGTTGGACGACGATCTCAAGGCAGCGGAGACAGATTACCGAAACCAATGGGATGCAGTATGGCAGTGTATGCATTGCCGGGACACCCCTCAAGAGAAGTCGCCATCGACTCTTCGCAAAGCCTTGGAACATATCAGGATCAGGTTTGTTGAGAGGTCGATTTCTTATCATTGACATCTGACCGAACCGTCTCCTTAGCCATAGCATCACCTCGCCGGTGCTCAATACAGACTACTGCAAACATCCCACCCATCTTGACCTTGAATCTAGTGGCCCTTTATTTTGGGTTGACTACCTTGCTGGAGACTTCTCTGTCGCAGAATGTCAACCTGCGGACGACCCTCCTCCCTTCTCTCTCTTCTGAAAAAGGCTTTTTTGGGCCCAAATCTCCTGCATAACACATGTATTCTGTTGGTCTCTAATATGTAACATAAAAATACAAGATACTCAAGTAACTTAGCACCAAAGAACAGTTAAGTAGCTCAAAATCAATTCAAAGCAATTAAAACCCCTCCTTCCCCATGTCCCATTCCCGAACCGTTCCCCTCTTCTGATATGCAATATCCATGACACTAACACCTTCCCCGCTCCATCTATCCGCCACAGCGGCGCTGGAGCTTTCAACGACGCCTTTCTTCGTTTTGCTCTTCTCCTTCGGCAGCAGACCCAGCCTTTCTAGTCTCTTCTTCTCTGCTTTATCTTCCCGTCGGACACGGATGAGTTCGAGCATGGCGTCCCACCCTTCGAATTCGGCGTTATCTATGAGCCCGGTAGCGGGCACTTTCGGTGGCGCGAGAGGCGCAACGTCTAGTTTTGGATCGTACGACTCTTCGAAATAACGGTCCATCTTCGATGGAAGCTGGATAAGAGGCTGTGGCCCAGGACTTGGTGAACGAGAGTCGGAGAGAGGAGTAGAAGCTCGTCGGGAGGAAGGTCCTGGGGCTTGTGGTTTGTTGTCGTTGGTAACTTTCGAACCAATTGAAAGCGATCGATGGGATAGTGGTTGCGGACTGGTGGAGTAGTCCTTTGGACTAGCAGAGCCTTCGGGCTCCTCTTGGGTTTCGACCTCTGGTGTTTCCTGCTTCGAGTCCGATTTTCGAGGAGTGTCAGGAGTGTCTCGATCACGTCGAGACAACACCTCTTCTTCACGGAGGTCGTCCAGTGCATATTTCGGAGACTTTGTGCCCTTGTGTTTGGATCTAGCGGGCTCCGCGTCAGATAGAGGTGAGGTCGAGCGACGAGGTGAGCGCGAACGTGACCGCCGCGAGCGAGAGTGCCTGTCGGGGTCCTCGCGACCTCGCCGCCGTTTCCTGCGCCGTGCGTCGTCCTCGTGCCGGTCTCGACTGCCGTCTCGCGAGCGTTTTCTGCGTGGCGAGGCACTACGGCTGCGGCTCCGCCCGCGTCTGCGGCGTTTGGAAGACAACTCATCGTCGTCTTCGTCCCGTTTGCGCCTTGAATGCGAGTGCGACGACCTGTGCCGTCTGCTGTCCCTATCTCTGCTGCGCGACCTCGAGCGAGAATGGCTCCGCCTTCGTCTCCTAGACGTGTCGCGGTCGGAGTCTTCATCGTCGTGCCCGTCCCAAGACTCCCAATTCCGGTGAACCTTTCTCCGCTCAGCCCGCCTTCCGTCCCAGCGGTCCCAGCCCTCCTCGTCGCTCGTTCTCTTCCGTTTTCCACTTTTCCCAGACCTGCGCAACCGTTCTGCCTCGGCAGCCTCCTCCGCCCGCGCCCTCCTTTGTCTTCTCTCCTGCTCTTCACGCTCTTGTTTCACTTCCTGCGCCGCGAGCGCTTGGGCTCTAAGCAGCGTCTTGTTGTGCTCGTCAGTGCTCTTGATGATGGAAGTCAGGAATCGCTTGTTCGTCCTGGGGGCATTGCCGTCCGACCTACACAGTACAATTTATTGTTCAAAGAGCCGAAAAGGGAGGGCGTGAATAGAGAACGTACAGATTGCTGGAGATATATGCCCTAATTCCTTGTTGCCCATATTTCTCTGCCTTCTTCTTGGCCTCTCGAAGAATGAGTTCCGCGACGTGACGGTCAAGGTCGTCGTCTGTGACCGTAGATGAAACTGAGGTTCCCATTTGCGCACGAACGAGGCCAGAAACAACGGATGACAGCGAAGAAGACATGGCGGTGGTAAAGAGGACCTTTCACAGGAAGGTCTCTTGCAGGATTGACGATGGTATCGAGAAGGTACTGAGCTATACAAGGCTGGGCCGGACCCACAGATATCTATTTGTGCATGTTTGTCAGGAGTGGCATATGCTTTGGAAGTGACTTGAGTATTTCATTCAGCTTATTGAAACGCGTTCAGTCATGAAATCTTGAGTCGACAACATATTTTCATCAAATTCCACTGCGTGAACAGAGCGGAGTAGTCGGAAACACGCGTGCAGTAATGACTCAGTACCTACTGTAGCTACGAATGACCCCAAGCATTAACGAGCTCGGGGAATGGCTGAATGGGCGAAATGAAGTGTACGATATGTATGTAATAGATCATGCAAATGGCGGAGAATAATTACGAACTTTAAAGATACTGTAGGATGAGGGGCAATAGAAACTGTGCGTGTAATCGTATATGAATAAAGCGTGGATAATAGGATGATGCGGGCACTATGCTGATCGTAGTATTGGGATGAGGATGCGGACGGATGTGATGTGGGGGTACAACAATGATGGCGAAAAATGCAATGTGTCGTTGTTTCATGAATGAAAAGAGAAAGTCGTAAGGACGTCGAAAATGCAGATATGGTAATGATTTACTAAACGGGACATTAGTGTCGTTTTCGATCAGATCAACGAAAGTAAACTCACCATCATAGTCGTGGCCCGAAATCGCTGCAGGTCATGCGAAATCGTCAACTCAGTACCCTGAAGCGCGCACGCCATCTTGAGAGGCGGAAGGAGGGAATGATTCAGACCGCCTTCCCAAAGCAAGACCTCGACGTTCTTGAGCATATCGTGGGTCTTGACAAAGTCGATGATCGAGTGGAGGGAGGTCTCGTGGTCCAAACCAAACACTAGACGGTCCAAGTTGCCGGGAAGGTGCTTGTAGAACGCAGAGGGACAGGAAGGGGTTTCCGTCCTCAGTTCACGCAACCGGGTGCACCTAGGGATCAACGACGCGTACTCCAGCGAAGCAAAGCCGGGGAACGACATGGACTGCAGCTGAGAACCGAACGCGTTGACGAGATATTCGAAGACTTCGATGCATGGGTCCCTGTCGAAATGGAGGGAGCGAAGGGACCCGGCGGAGTTGTGGAGCAGCCATTTCATGAAGTCGGCAGAAGGGGTGGACTGGAAGTTGAAGCGCACCGCTTCTAGGGCGCATGGGAAAGGGGGAGGGGAATCCTGGAGGTGTTGTGGAGCTGTGCCTCCGATGGATAGGGTCTGAAGAGACGGCCAGATGTCGAGCAATTGGAATATTGATTGCTGGTTCTCGGACCAGTTGCTGAAATGAAGTGTTTTGATGCTTGGGCCAGACTTGAGGAGGGAGATGGTCTGCTCGTCGAATGAAGGAGCCGATCGTCTGAGACGCGACACGTCGGGCACACCGACCACATCCTTTCCGGGCTCGGCACAGCCGTAGAGGGCGATGTCGAGCTCCTGAATGTTCGGACAAACGGTCACCGCAAGGGCGAAGGAATGATGGTGGAGACTGAACGGCTGGTTGTGGTCCAACACGACGCGCATGCGCTTGACGGCATCTCCGAGGGTCCTACCGTGGTCCGTCGTGCGATCGACCGCGTTCATGAACAACTGAAAGGAGGACTGGCTACGGAGTGTGATGGAAGAGAAGAGAAGACGTTGTGAGGCGGTGGACCACGCCTTGCAGACGAGGGAACAGGTGGAGAGGAGGCGGTTGCGGTCCTCGTCCGAGTCTGCATCTGCGCACGCTGTCTCGATGACTGTGAGGACGAGCTCGAGCGGGATAGGTGGCACTGCGGTGGGCGTGGGTGCCTGCGTCGGGGTCGTGTCTTCGGGGCAGTGGGTGGGCGATGGAGGCCATGCTCGGGTCGCAAACAGGGAGGAGAGGAAATCGAATAGAGGCATTCTGAAAACCCGCCGGGAGCGCACCAACTGGGCCAGAGAGGGGGAAACGGCGGGTGGCCAGCACCCGGCGGTGGTGGTTATATACGAAGCGCAGACACGCCGTTCCCTCCGCCAATGCGCGTGGGAACTCTGTAATATTGGCCTCCATTCTCCGCGCCGTTGACTCGGACCCTTACGTCGCTCTTTTGTTTTCACTGTTCGAATATTCTGGCTCATCCGATTCGCTTCTCGACATCTAATCAAACTCACGGCAATGCCCCGACGGCACCTCCTTCCATGTCACCCAGCCTTGGCGCGTCGAGCTTGCTCGAATCTGACTCCAGTCCGAAACCATGAATACCCACAGTGACTTCCTCCTCGGTCCTGCTCGGAAGACTTCTGCCGTAAACGCGGGGCGCGCGACTGCCTTGTGTCACCAGCATGTCTTCTCTATCTGGTTATATTTCCTGGAAGCTCGCACACCTGCCCTTCCCTCGCCGCGCATCCTCAAATGCATCACCCAAACAATTCTGCCGCGACGCTGGCGGATAGCCTAACCTAACTCAATTTCTTCGCCGTCGAGGATCAATCGCCCGCATCCTAGTGTAATGCAAGTCATTGTTCACATTCACTGCGCCTCTTCCGACTGCCTAGAATTTCGACCTCTGCGTCGTTGAGCTTAGCGTCGCGTTTGTGATGACCCCGTACGTTTCATATCCTGTCATAGCCCAATCAGACCAGTACACTGCAGCTTTTCCAAGACGAACGTCGCACTGCTCCTGCACTGCTCCGAGTCAAGTAAAGGTATGTGTTTAATGCACCTCTCGCCCCATATGTCTGTGACACCGATATTTCAGGATATAATTTCCCAATAAACAATAAGCCGCCTCCTACGTCATTGCAACAGGTTGAGAAAATTGGTTGCTCAGGGGTGGATCACGGCCCTAGGAGACGATCATCTCCTCCTCCTGTCCTTCAGACCCATATTTTCGTGTTTTAAACACGTTGATTCCTCCTGTCCAGTATATTTTCAGCTATGAAATCAACAGAGACGTTATGACACGCTTTGACACGGTCATTTTCCAGACAATGACCAGTACGTACGTGTAATTTCCGTCTAGGTTCACCGACCATGTCATGTTCAGATGGAGTTCGCCCATTTTGGGTTCCGCCCGACGCATCTCCCCGTCCCGACGCCCAGGGTCGCGACCGTGGACCAATGGCCACCAATAAGGGAAGGTTCGCGTGGTTCGGTGCGGCCATCCGACTTCCTAAATTCTTTGACTTTCCCAGACTAAATATTTTAGCGCCGACCCTTTCGAATGCAACGGACTCCGCCCGGATGAAACACTGCCCAGCACCAGCAACCACTTCTCCGTTCGGCGCGCAGTCCTTTCTCATCAATATTTACTCTCGGAAAATCCCTAACGCGGTGGTACGTGGCAGCTGTTTTGTCACACAAAATATGACATTCACAAGGCCCTAGTGTCGCGGTGCGGCATTAGAAGGCCGCTAAGTACAGGCATGGGGCACGCCTTAGCCTCAAGTTGGCCTACCTTCGCTCGTCAACTTACGCCGGGCTCAGGCCTGTTTCCGAAGACATTCACTTACGAAAACCTACGGTCCGACAATCGCCTTACCGGTAACCTGCTATTTTCCCAGAGCCCAAAAGCCTTATTGTCTTCTCCCAAGCGACCGGCCTCGGTACACCCATTGAAACTTGACTCCACACGACCAAAAAAATGCAGCCTTCGCCTACTATCATTGCGATATATGAGTGTGGTTCACATCTCCCGAGCTCCATTCCATCCCTTCGCTTCGTTTCTCTTCAAAAATACCGGAAGGCTCAGCAGTCTCAGGCTCATATCAGTCTTATTATCTTCGACTGCATCTTATGACCCCCTGTGCTCATCACGAGTCAGTAATTCAACACATTGCCCTGCTATCTATTCCCCATCCTGACGACACCCGTACAGGACGCTACAGGCGTTTGCGACAAGCGGCATATCCATACGAACATGATTTCTATCCAGCCCCAGATAATCTTGTCGGACCTCCGAAGACGGTAAATTAACACCACCTTCCCTTTCGGACGCTTTCAGCTGAAAGTCGAGCCCCAGTTCTTAACATAGAACTGTCTCTGGGTACGCCTTCCTAACCGTATACGCATTGACATTTCTTTCTTGAACGGGTTGGGAAAATATAGAGCCTGACACTGTGAGCAGCCATTGGCGGCGACCTTGCCTGTCATGTGCAGCCTTCCCCCGTGCCAATAGCTCCGAGGCGTCGAAGACGCCCTGAACGAGTGCTCTTCAAGACATCGAATCCGAATTCCTGGCGATTACACTTTTACATGCTTCAGCACTCACTATTTGCTCACTTCTGTTGTCAACATCCGTCTTCTCCTTCTGACGGACGGATCCATTCAACGCTTTGTGGCTGTTGGGCAAGTAATCTACCAGCCAGGAGTGCTCAGTGCAATTACACCCTCAACTCGCGATTACGTCGTAATCTAGTGCAATAAGGTGGCGATACACCCCGCAGAGTGCTAACTGTTTACTTTCAAAGTAAGTTTGTCTTCCGGTAGCTGACAATTTGGCCTCTCTTCCCGGCGTTCTTGAATACAAGCCCTTCGAACGACCTTTTTTTGACTTGCCCGCCTCTCGATCCCTCAGCATCTCGTCCTCTGCTCGGTCTTCAAAGAAACGTGCTCCGTAGCCGATGGCGGTTATAACCTTGAATGTAATACAGTACGTAGTCCACAAAATGAAATCATCGGCATTCAAGGAATCGGGGTTTAGGGTCCGCCATCAAGTCTCTTATGGAGCAGGACTTACGTTGAAGCCCTTGCAAGATGAGATAACGTCCACAACTCACTTTGCCCCAAGAAAATGAAGTTTTATTATGTCATTCCTCCTCGCTACCCTCGCTATCGCTCTCGTCTTCCTCATCGTTCTCCAGGTAATAGTCTTCCCAATCCATCACGACGGTCGGCAAGGTCGGCCCCCCGTCTTCGAAAGTTGCATCCAGCTTGACGCCATACACGCCTTCTACAAGGGCTCTCCGCATGAAAGGCACGAGGACCGCAAAGTAGATCTGGCCGAAAGCCATGACGATGCCCTCCTGCCTCTCCTGTTCGTCACCGTCATCGTCCACGTTGGTTCCCGTTGCGAGGCGTGAATCGCTTCGGTAGGCTTTGATATACGCGAATAGCGCTTCGCCGCTCTTCGCCAAGACCTCGTTGTCCAGCACGCGCGATAGAGTCGGTAGAATGTTTGTCGGTGCTAGGAGACGGAGCCCGTTCAGAACACTCAATAGTGCATTCGTGAATTCAGCAAGAGGTGGATACGAGGCGAGAATTTGCGGTGGGATGTGAGGGGGGCCTTGACTAAGGAAAGTCGATGTAGAAGCAGGCGTTGCGGGGGTCACTGGTACGGGTGGGAGGTCGGTTGTTGTGCTGACGAGCCACCTTGAAGGCCGTTCCCATTTCGGCTTTACAACACCGTTGATATTCCTGCCAGTCGGGCTTGTTGGAATCTGGAACCTTGAGACAAACTTGTCGCGCGTCTTCCTCATATCCTGCCTGATCACCTCTGCAACTGCACGAGAGAAAAGCGTGGATAACAGCCCTCTGAAGTCGAGCCCTACCCGAGCAAACGCAGTTGAGCAGTAAGTCAACTGAGTAAGAAGAGATGGGAGTAAGGATATTGATAGTAGCGAAAGACTGGGCGAAAGAATGGGTAGTAGATGAGCAGTAAGCGCTCGGGAGGCATATGTGGTGATGAGGGCGTGCAGCCGTAGCCATTCTTGTTTTGCGGTGGAGGATTCAGAGGGTGTAACAACACCATTTGACTTCGCAGTGGATGATTGATAGGCCAGTGCCGCTGGTGATGTCTTCTCGAGAAATATGGTAGTATACTGCGTAATGACATCGTACACGCCTTCTCTCCATAAGTCGATGTATTTCTTCAAACACCGCGCCAGGTCTTCTTTCTCTCGTTCATCCAACTCTCCGTGTTGTGTCATTCGAGAGACATCGCCCTTGCAGGGCTCCAGGATCGACTTTAGACATGATTCTCGGCCAACGAGAAATGCTAATGCAATTTGCTCTTCGCTGGAAACGTTGTCCCCAAGGAATTCCGAGAATTTATCACTGTCGGACGCCTTCAAGTGCGGCGGTGCTGGGGCGAATGGAGATGAGGATCCAAAGACATCCATCTTGCGCAGAAAGCTGACCGCTTTGTATAAGGCTGGGAGTTTGCGATTCGGTTCGTAAAGGGTCGTCAACAAGGACAATAACATCTGCATGATTGAGTGGTGGATTTCGGAGAGAACAGATGAAAGCAGCAGTGGAGGTGGTTGGTTCGAGAGTGACGCATTCGTAGCAAGTGCCTTCGCGTGCGAGACCAGCGAGAGCGCTTCCGTGAAGTAGCCATTCCGCACGCACGTATCTATCAGAAGAGGGATTTCCAATAGGTCTCTAATCTTCTCGTGTTGTTCCAGCACAACTCGTGCCTTGCTTCGGTCCCTCAGCACAGTCTCCGTCCGTTCCTTCCACCCAGCGGCGCAATCTTCCAATGCTGGTAGGCTCGAGTTCAATAATGCCTCGAGAGAGGATGATAGGGAGGTCAGGGAGGCCGTTAGGGCATTGGTAGTTCGATGTAGTGAAAGGAAGGTCGGATATGATGTATGGGTGAGGGAAGTTAAGCTGGAGGTGAGGTGATGCGACTGAGTTTGCAGTGTTGTAGGTTCGACCAGGAGATCTTGCAGACCATAGGTAGTTAGGTTCGAGAGGTACTCTTGTGAGTTGGGTTTAAGCAGCTGCTCGACTGGAACCTTCGAGGAAGACGCGATGACATCCGTTAGCGGGGAGACATCAGCCAGACGAGATGTCGTGGCCTGCGTGGTCGGTAGGGCATGTTCTGGCATGATATGAGGGCCGCGATAAATCGGGTTCTACGCGTCCCCCCTGCCCCTTTGCATTGAGAGCCAATATGTCAGTGTGGACTCATTGCGCAATGATACGAAGCGCACCTGGACAGAATTGTGCACGAGAGAAGTGAAGACCTTATGTAATATACATACCTACCCTCCTTCTGACCTCCATCACCGTTGGCGCTAGCTCCTGCAGGAGGCATCTTTCTCTCTTTCACTCTTTGGAAATGAAGACGGACTGAAAATCCCACTTTTTCGACTTGCTGAATGCAACCACGCTTGCCGACAAAGTTTCAGCCCAGTCCAGAGACAACGTTTTCGTCGTAGTTGGGATCGCACGAACCAGACGGTTTCGGTCTTAACCATGGGTCCTCCTATCGTGTAGAGACGCGTATTAAATACCTGAAAAAAAGACTATTCACCACCCGCTGGCTTTTCCATCTCTTCAAACGCGTTCAGAACCTCTTCATCCAAGGACTCCATGGCTCTCGTACCGTCTCATCGAATCTTGTTGCTCACTCGTTTCCTTTCGGTCGGCAGCTTCGCGACATACGTATGCTCACAGGCGTATATCCTGTCTCTACCAATTCCGAACATCCCAAGGGCTTACTCTCCAAACATCTACTGCGTCATTGCTTATTTCTCGGCATCAGCTCTCTTAAACGTTGTCTGGCTCAGGCAACTGGTACTTGGTCGTATTCCCCTCCTGTCTCTCGGGGTAGAAGAGCAGTTACCTCGTCTGATAGAACATGAGGAGCAAGCGATGCTCGCTTGCTCGTCAGGATGGTGTCAACAGGATCTCAAGGCTATCATTCACCATACGATCGTGACATCGACACAAGGGCAATGTTTACCTTATTACGCTGCCGGCAACCTTCTTTTGAGTGAGTTCGTATTTCCCGTCTCTTGAATGGTTCTTATATTCAATTCACAGCTGCTTGGACTGCTGCGTCGCTGCATGGATACTGCCTCCTGTCTCAGCTCTTCCTCACCGGCGGTCTTCTGGCACAATTCTATCTCGTGTTCATGATCCTCAGTTCTGAAGAAGAAACGCCCATCACGCGTAGCAACTGTATGACGCATCTGGTTTTGAAAGTCAATGCTGGTCTTAGTATGCTTTTTCTATGGAAGGATTGGGCTATGCTAGATGTACGCCTAATTGCTCGCTTCAATCAAGGTCTGATTGCTCATCTCCTCAACAGAAGATGATCTATCCTTCTCCAGCGGAGCTTGTCAACACAGGCGTGATCTTCTTACTCATGGTCAGTCTCCATCTTCTAAACTTTAGGTTTGTTGTGATACTAACGCGCTCGTTTCCCTCATCTCTTCTACAGACGATCGCATCAGGACCAGACCCCACCCTCGGCATATGCCTTATTTACGACCTTGCAGCTCTTATTTTTGGCCAGACCAACAATGCTGAATGGCTCCACACGTTCCGATGGATAATGGTCGCTGTCAGCAGCTGTCTGCTGGCCGAGCTCGCGTTGTCGAAGAGACGAGATTTCTCATGGTTGAGGCTCGACGATAAGCCGTTTGTGTCGGTGGAGGACGGAGAGACACTTCATACCCACGACTCAATCGTTGGCGACTTGAGTGAGTCTCAGAGCATTTTCTTTTTCGGCTGTCTACCTACTGGATCTTCCACAGCTGTGGGAGAGCCGGAAATTAGCAAGTTCATTCTCGCCTCTAGAATCTCGAACGAGGCGTCGAATCCAGCGATCTACGAAGAGGATTGCTAATATACCCGATACCTTCCTATATCTTTTTTATTCCTATGGGCTGCCCTGCAATACACTAGTTTTGTTTTAATCCCTTCTCTACTCTGTTCATTGTCTCGCTTCTATCTTGGCATCCGCCAGAGAGGAAGTCCGCGAGAATCTGGTGCATTACTTCGGGCTGACGAGTCGTGTATGTGTTGTAAACTTTCTCCAACTTGGTAATCGCCTTTTCGAACGCCTGTGTATCGCGGATTCGAAAGTCGGAGAACGACACCTGACATTCCGAGACTTGGATATTCAATGCTAATGTTGGGTCGCTGAATAATTTGTATATCCTTGCAGGCATGTGCCAAACGCCGCGAAGGACTTGTCTGTATACCCATTAGCCAAGCTGTACTAAATTTGGCCAAATAGCTTACCGGAGAACGGGAAGCTGGCAGTAGCGATCCATGGACAGAATCGAAGGAAGTTTGTTCCATTGGGAATGTTTAGCGATAATGCACAACGATCCATGGCCTTCTGTCCAATTCCTCTTGTAGGCTATTGCAAGGTCTCCGAAGGTGTACAATCGACGCCGCGGATTGAGCATGTGCCATTGAGAAGCAGATAATTGTATCGCGACTTCTTGAGCCTGTTCCTTCTCGTTATCGATAAATATTTCTGCAGTTTCTCCGGGGATACTCGGTTCCGGTGGGTTGAGGGGGTTGAGGTCAATTTTAGTGTTGATGTCGTGGAGGCGAAGAGTTTCTCCGTTCAAAAAAGTATAAATGACGTTGTCCCGGAGCTGCGCGGTCCACAAGGGAAATTTCCTGGAAGTGTACACCCGCACTCCAAAGCCGTCCATATGGACTGTGATCCAAGGCCCAGCGGTGCACCGAAAGAGCACAGGAAAGAACCAGATCTTGGCGTGCAGTTGCTCTAGAGAAACCCGGCATTTGTCGTCGGTGTATTCGTATTTCTTGACGTCGAATGTAATCAAGTACGGCGAAATTGGGCGAGGAATGTGGAAAGTGATTTTAACGCTATCAATAGCGATGGAGCACGTTGGAGACTTGATGGAAATCCCCTCTGCTGAAAGAAGACGGAGGTGGCGCACACGGAACTTGTAGCCCAGGAGTTGGGCCATGTAGAAGAGAAGTGCGAGAGGAAGTGAGAAAGTCATGGATAACATAAGTGCTGCTGCCGGGGACATGGTGGGGACGGCGAAGGCCTCACACGCCCCAAAGGTCCCATGATGTCATCGGGGGCTGCCGAAGCGGAGGCAAAAGCGAATTTGGTCATGCTCAAGCCAAAATAGGACAGAATTCTCACGTGTCAGGGAAGGTCGGGTATAAGTAAAGACTGTACGCGTTTGCAACACATTGATGGAATTAAATACTTGAAATATGAATGTTCACCAAGAAATTCGAACGGGAAGTAAGGAGCGGAGGTTCACGAGACAGAGTCCGAGTGGAAATTGTCTTATGGCGAAACCTAATGTCTGCACTATCGTTGAGTGCCTTGTTTCGGTCTAAAGAGCGATGCCTATCTAAAATATCATAATTCATGTAAGTCGGCTACTCATAATTTGAAGTCGTCGTACTCACCTGGCTGGCAGTAATACCATTCGCGGATATTCTGGATTCTTTACTGTCCCCCGTCTGCATGCTACTCGTTCTGTCGGGTGGCCGAGCAAGGAGCAAAGAAGGCGGATTCAAGGTGTATTTGCTCCAAGACATCCTGTTCGGGATGAAACCTAAGCGACGGAAAGGGTTTGTACTTTGGTCAGCGGATGGTTGCTGGCCTGGCTTCGGGAAAGCTTCCATCACAGACTTCCTGTCTGACCCGGGCATGGGGGATGGGTTCGCCGAGTAATAAGAAGAGCTGGAGCTGTCATTCGTGACATGAACCTCAAAATGTTTTCGAGACGCTTCATGCGAGGCTTCGGCTTCTGTAGAGACATATTCTAAAGAAGGAGACGTGGCGCGACTCTGATCCACCTGCTGCGTGTCGGAACGCGAGGGAGGGCGTGTGCGGGGTGGGGTCACGTTGTTGCGTTCAACGGTCGAGATCGTTTCATAAGCCGGTGCTGCCGTCCCCACACTCGTATGCGACTCATGTGGGGGATGAGGCGACTTTACAATGGTTGCATATAGGCGCTTTTTCCTGCGATGCCTTCGACGGATAAAATAGAAACCAGCGCCAACGCATAGGAGCAAGGCGAGGAACACGGCTGCAGCCACACAGCCGCCTATGACGGCCTTGATGTACGGTGATCTAAATGAAATTAGAAGACTTCTTGGACGAGGGCTGGCTTGACGCACTTCTTCTGTGAGGTGTTCGTTGCACTGGCACCAGAGTTGATTGTGAGTGTGGAATCTGTCTGGTCATTCCCGGTGCCGGCTGCTGTATTGGTTGGAGTTCCGAATCCGGATGCATCATCCACAGGTCGATTTGAGGAATCGAACTGAGGCAATGCTGAGGGTGTAGGCCCACTGGGAGAAGTTGTCATGATCGCTGCAGAATTTTGACCAGGGGGCAAGCTAGTAGCCGGTGTATTGGCTTGAGATACTTCTTGGAGATGTACATTGACGTCAGAGAGCCGGCGAACTGGGGTGGGCAGAACAGTGGTCCGGACAACGGACGTCAGGGTGTGAGGTTTGGGCACTGGCTTTGGAAACGTCGTGGTATTCGCGGCTGGAATCTGAATAGATGCTACTGGCTTGTTCGATACGTGTGCAGAGAGGGCCGCATGTGGTGGCCGCAGGGGAGGACGGGGATCAGGCATAAGCGCCGGGAGTGTCTGAGGGTGGGTTGTTTGAGTCAGTGGAGTGGTTCCGGTTAATGGAGTGTTTCGGGTCCGTGAAGTGGGTCGATTCGATGAAGTGGTCCCCTTGACGGTTGGCACCGTTCGCGGACTTGTCTCTGGAGGCGGCTTGGTCGTGTTCGTAGGGGTGGTGGTAATGGCCTGTGTTGCATTACAGAAAGGCGGTTGGCCCAATGGTGGAGCATTGTTGGAGTCGAGGCGAGAACCCCGAAGATCTTGCTGCACAATTCCTACTACATTTCCTAGTATATCTCCCACAGAATTTCCCAACATATCTCTGGGGACACGCTTGGGGGGAGATTGGCAGTGCGGTCCAGAATGTGAAGGGGCTGATACAGGAGTTGTCGTCGTAGATGGCGAGGTGGTATGGTTGGACAGAGTGGTAGTTACGTCTGAAGGTCTCGTTAGCAAAGGCAGGAATTAGGTCTAGAAAGATAATTATATACCTTCGGTTGGTGTTGAAGAGGTGGTGTTCGCATGCTCGGAATGACCTGCCAGTGACTGAGGACGCCAACGATGGCCCATTTTTCCCGAATCCCAGAGATGGTCTTCGACCCGAGGATCGGTTGGTAAGTCAATCAAACCAACTTCAGCACTCACAGTCACAGCTGCTAGGCGAAAGACTTTCCAGGGAAGTGCAGGGGAGAGATGGGGAACAGATACACATTACTACTGTGCCCATTATATACTCGGGCTGCAGAGATCTGAAGACAAGGAAAGTGGCAGTGCGACTCTATCTGATTGCGAATGCATTCGAGGGCAACCGCGATAATCCAGGACAGTCGAATCCAGGATGATCCTTGCATACTGAGATGATGAGGACGTAGATCGAGCGGTTGCCTGATGAACGAGATGTGATTGAAGCGCCAGAGCACGAGAATAATCTCAATGATCCTCAGGGCTATGAGTAGGAGCTAACGAGGCCAGGATTTGTTGGGAAAGGTTCGGTGAAGTAGAGAAAATAAGGTGACTTCAGGCCCGCTCAAAATGAAGACATGAATGAGAGGTCACGATGATCAGACACATCGTGTCCTCAAAAGCATGTTGATGCCGTGGAGAAAGAATCATCGAGTGGGGATTAGGCCGGTCTGGTAGGAGGTGTCAACACTGCCGTCGTTCCTGAACAAAAGTGCCGCACAAGAAGCGGCTAAATGGCCATTGAGATACATTCGGCTTACATCACGCTGTCAGTACGTGGCATAGCGTCGATAAAGACTCAGAAGCCAGAGATAAAGACCATGCAGCTTAGCTCCAGAGTCGGCGTGTGAGAAGCAGAGAAAAACATGGATTGATCCCCCGAACGGTCTTCCCGACAAAGGCTTGGGTGTTCTGGTGCTAGCTTTAAATAGCTATGACGGGGACAGGGAGTGGACTGGGTGAGGAATCGGAATTCTTGGTCAGCGCATGAGACTGTTGTGGGGGCTGGAGGCGAAGGGGCGAGGAGCGCGGAATGTCGGGGAATTGGAGAGGAGGGGTTGTCCAGACGACGTCTGAGGGTGCGGCTCACGTGTGCGCATAGAAGATTCTGAATGGATGACCTGCTGCTGTCGGCTGTCGCCCGTGTATTCCATATCTTGTCTGTAAAACTATACTTCGACTCTCCTTAATTCTTTTTTATTCCCACTACTCCCTGCATGTCATGCCCAAGGCAAAGCACGAGCACCCCCCTGCTCGCCGTCGCACCCTCTCAGATCCCCTCGCCGCCGCCCTCCTCCCGCCACCCAATGAGTCGCCCATCGAGCGCGAGCTCCGTCTCAAGGCAGAGATCGACGCAAAGAAGGTCAGCGATTCCATCGATGACATGATTCGTCAGGAGAGGAACGACAGAAAGAAGTCGAGGGCAGAGGTCAATGTCCTCCTCCTCGGCCAGTCGGAGTCGGGTAAAAGCACAACTCTCAAGCGTGAGTCCCTCCCATCGCCAGCGCTCAGTTCTTTTCTCGTGCCTCCAAGCTGGTCTCATCCACCGTTCCTGTGGAGTTTGGGGTATTCCTGGTCCGCTCGCCAAACGCACTATATATTATGCGGCACGTCCACCTGATACAGCTGTACTTGGTTCTATCGCCTGTCCCTGTGTTCTCGGCCCCGTCCACATCTCACTAACAACGTATCTGATAGAATTCCAATTACTGCACTCCCCATCGGCATTTCACGCAGAGAGGATAGCTTGGAGAGCAGTTATTTATTTAAATCTTGTCCGTTCTATCAGGCGGTGAGTCCTTTGTCCAGTTCACTTCCATCTGGTTCTCCATCTGACCTCTGCTAAAGCATATTGGACGCCCTTGAGCCAGAATCTGACGCTTTTGATGACCATGACGATGTCGACACATACGAAACCGCCGCTGTCATCATCACTTCCAGCGGTCGACCCCCATCGGCCATCTTGGGAACTCGTGTGTCCAACTACGATTCCTATCGACGGCGCCTCGAGCCACTAGTGGAACTCGAAGAACGCCTCACCCGTTTGCTTTCTGCGCCTGAAGAAGACGAGCCTACTCATCTTGGTCCCTCTCGTCCGGGTTGGGATCAGTATTCGACCATGCACAGCAACGACAATGGTCCGATGTCACCCAGGTTTGCCACTCATGGGTTCCCGAATGGTCGACCAGCGCCGACCATCACGATTCCCCAGAAGAAGCAAAGCTCTTCTACCATCAGTCGAACACGCAGCAACCAGGCTATATCCTCGAGTAACGGCGTCAAGGAAGTCGAAGTTCATATTTCCAAGAACTGGAAACGGGCTTTCACTCTCGGGAGCAAGTCCAAGAGTCCTAAAAGCGCGCATTCTGGGGAAATCGAGGGGTGGTGGGAAGACCCAGATGACCCAGTGCATACTCTAAACGCATGCGCCCCCGTGATGCAAGAGCTGTGGCGGGACCCACAAGTCCGAAAACGCCTCCAAGAAAAGCGACTGCGTTTGGAGGAAAGCAGTGGATTGTACAGATTCTCCTCATCTCTGTTGGTGTCTGTTCTGACTGCTGCCTTCGCGCAGTTATTTGGACGAAATTCCAAGAATAACCGCAAAAAAGTATATTCCCACCGACCGTATGTTCCTTTCTCGACTATACGGACATCTTTCTTACAACTCTTGTTGATAGCGGACGTCCTGAAAGCTAGGTTAAAGACTACTGGTGTCGTTGAGCATACTTTCTCGATATCTTCTGGGAGTAACAGAGGCGTGGAATGGCGCATATACGATGTAGGTGGTTCACGGAATCAACGTCAAGCGTGGGCACCGTACTTCGAGGATGTGAATGCCATCATTTTTCTCGCACCTATCTCGGTCTTTGATCAAGTGAGCCCTGGTCGATTTCTTTATGAATTATCTATTGATCGATATTCCTCCTTTCTTAGGTCCTTGCTGAGGTGAGACCAGAAGCTCTGATTTTCATACACTTTGACCGAACTCCATCTGAAGGACTCTCATGTGAATCGATTGGAGGATTCGCTGGTACTTTGGAAATCCGTGGTGTCAAACAAGCTGCTGTCAAATGTCAACATCGTCCTTTTCCTTAACAAGGTCGATCTCTTGCAGGTAGATGGGAGAGAATTGCCACTGTCATACCCCTCTCATGCTGTTCTTAGGCCAAGCTAGAAGCCGGTGTCAAGCTTAATCATTACATGATTTCCTACGGTGACAGACCCAACGACTATGAACACATCTCAAAATGTAACATTATCCTCCAGCCTAGCTTTTACTCCGTGCTTACATTTCTACTCAGATTTCCGAAACAAGTTCGGTGTCATCCACCAGTCATATACACCCAACAAAGAGCGGGAACTTTATAGTAAGATAGATACACTGAGTTACACATGGCCGTGTCGTTAATTGTTCTCTAGTTCACTTCACAGCCGTCACTGACACAAGAAGAACGGCCACCATTATCTCGACAGGTATGTCTGCTTGTCAGCGCAAGGAATGAAACACTGACTTTTCTTGCCCAGTCCGCGATATCATCATCAAAGGAAACCTTCGCAATATGAGGCTAGTTTGAAAACAACACTCTACCCTCCTCATTTTCGCTTTCGCACCTACAATTTGCTCTCTTCCTTTTGTGCTAATTCTGCTTCTATTCAATCTTAACGTTATGATCTGACCGCGCTATTCATTGACTAGCCTTGCTATAATCGCTTCTATTCCGCTACCACCTTCGCGATGCACCTCATTCCTCTTTCGTGACCTGCTACCTACCGTACGGATCCGTATATCCCTTAATACTTCGGGATGCTGTATAATTTGTCTTCGAGATGCTACACTAGACTTCAATCGCCATTGTAATCGCAATCCAAATTTGTTCATGCAATAACAAATTTGAATGGGAATCCAGCTTGTCCCTTCAATAGCTACTAAAACATCCTGTACGTATACGCGCAGGTATATCCCAGAAGTGATGAGAAGGCTGTGGATTCTGCTGGAATATTGGCGATTTCTCTTCAGGCTGCAGGCAGTGCTCAGCTGTCAGCGACCAGCCTGACCCTGCATCCTAGCTCTCTATTATTTATCACAGGACGACGCGAAACAGCCTTTGTCGGACACCTGCCCTCGGTTCCCCCCCGCACTTCGTTCAACGCCCAGAGTACAACTCTTGATCTTAGCAGAATGTCGTTACGAGGCGCGCATCGCTTCACGCGAAACTTGAAGACCATGTCTCCGGCGCTCTACCGTCAGGTGGCGAAAGCATGCATCCCAAGGACTTTGCGCGTCCGGGGGTCGACGGTGACATACGCCGAAAAACCGAACCTGAGCCAGTTCCGAACCTTCGCTACAACCACCACCATGTCTGCCCCCGCTTCCACACACGAATTGCTATCCGTCGTTTCCACCTCACGTAAGTTGGGGCTTTCGTTTGAATCGGTCGTGCGGTCGTGCTGATTCTGCTCTCTCCTCTCTTCGACGCAGAGGCTCCCGCAGCGATCGGGCCGTACGCACAGGCTATCAAAGTAGGGAATCTCCTCTTCTGCTCGGGATGCATTCCTCTGGAACCATCCACGATGCAGGTAGTCGAGGGTGGCGTTGTAGCTCAAACTGAGCGAGCCTTGAAGAACCTCAAGGCTGTCGTCGAGGCTGGTGGATCAGAGTTGGGCAAGGTCGCGAAAACCACGGTGCGTTAGATCAATCGATTATCATTGCGGACGCTCAAGCGCTCAGGACTCATCGGAACGCGTTTCCCGTCTGTAATTAGGTTTTTTTGAAATCAATGGACGATTTCGTTGCCGTGAACGGCGTGTATTCCAATTTCTTTGGTAGCCACACACCTGCACGGTCAGCCGTTGAAGTTGCTCGGCTGCCAAAAGACGTTCTCGTAGAGATCGAATGCATTGCAAGGCAAGTCTTCTACGTTTGCCACCTTACGATGTTGCATACCGACCCAACAACCATGTAGCCTGAAGTAGACGGACTTGTGCAGTGCTTGAAAGTCAAAAAGTCCGGAATGTACAGTAGGAATCATTCAGAGCCTCACTGGGCTCAAAAATCACGAGAACTCCATCTCGAGCGGAAGCGAAAGGAAATATTGCACATTAAGACGTCAAAAAGTGGACAGAAATTACATGGCTTCGATGACCTCCTTCAGACTTGCCTCATTAAGGATTTCAAAGCCTTTCGGTGTAACCTATAATCACCGTGAAATGAAGAACAAGGAAGAACCATGCAAAGAGGACATTACCTGAGCTAGTTGTACGTTGTGTTGATCTAGTTTTTCTTCCATGACTTGCTTCAGAACATTCAGAGTCAACAATTGAGCTTCTCGTAGGGTCATTTGCTACGAAGGGACGTCAATGGTTTGTGTGCCTGGCCGAACGGTTATACTCACCCTATGCCATTTGTCCTGCAATTCGCTCTGGGCGGCTTCTGAACCTGACCCGATTGCCTTTGCATCATATCGCACAAATGTTCCCGAAGGGTCCGTGTGATATCTAGAATATATGAGCGCAAATTATGAAACTTCCAAGCGACTTACAGTTGTGGCCCGAGTTCATCGATCCCAGCGATGAGCAGAGCTACGCCGAACGGTCTGCTCATCATAGCCTCCTCATCGTGCACGCTCTCACCAAACCGTAGTGCAAGATCACACACGGCCTGCGTTACGCTTTCGACCTTGATCCGCTCGTCGTAAGTAAATGCATGGTTTTGGGCAGTTACTCGTGCATGGTCGATCATCGTCCTCGCGTCTGCAGTCAATCCAGACATCGCACATCCAAGGTGAGTATCGATTTCCATAATCTTCTCGATTGAATTAGACTCCAGCAGTGGCGATTGCACACGCTTTTCCACGGCAAGGACAACACCTTCTGGTGTTCGAATGCCGACGGTTGTCGAGCCAAGCTACTCCTTGGAGGATCAATACAGGTATCTATTGATGCGCAATGCATTTGCACCTTGATAGCCTCAATTGCGTATTCAACTATACAGACGTATTAGGAAGCGTGTCGTTTGGAGCAATCGTAGACCATACCTTGAAAAAGACGACCCTCTGGAGAGAAGGTGTTAACACCCCGATCTGCGCGAACAATCAGGGTAAGCACTACAGAATAGATGAGTATGGTACACACCGTATTCTGAACGCGTAAGAAACATGATTGCAAGGCTGAAGGACTATGTGGACTTGAACGAACTTGAAATAAAGCGGCTTGCGTGTTCGACGCGTGTCCAGCCCGTGGGAATGTAAATATACTTTATCTAATCTTATCAGTGTGTGTACACGGCTCGTCCCGTTTCAAGTTATCAAAGCCACTGTCGAGACGAAAAAACTCGTCCAACCTCTCCACGGCGGTGATGTAGCCTTGCGCAGGATGTCAGCTGTGGTTACTGTCGGTTTTCTGACTTACCTCAAAAAGGATTTCGAAAGGCATCCCCTACGCCCCACCTAATAGGGTTGAAGCAAGATGATACTAATCGATCGAATCATTTCGCCAGTCATACTTGGCTTGAACCACCACCATGACGACCCCTGAACTCACCGCTAGCGATTTGAAGGCAATTCTAGGTTTCACGGTCTCTCTTGCGCGCAAGGCAGGCGATCTTATCCTCGAAGGCTCTGCAGCTATCCAGTCTGCGTCATCGGAGTCAGACGTGGGCGAGAAGAAAAACGCAGTAGACCTTGTCACAGAATACGATGTTGGAGTGGAGGAGTTGGTGAAGAAGGAACTGAAAAGTCAATACCCGACCTTCAACTTGTGCGTTTCTTTTCATGAACACTGTTATACAGGCGTTTAAGTCCTCTCTTCAGCGTCGGAGAAGAGTCGTACTCCGCTGGCTCCCGACCACCATTGACGGATGAGCCCACTTTTTGTGTCGACCCCATCGGTGTGCTTCTTTATCTCTATCTTTCAGCCCCCCTAACTCGTTGCCAGATGGAACAACCAATTTCATCCATGGTTTCCCTTTTGCGTGCATTTCCCTCGGTCTCATATACAAACGTCGTCCTGTTCTGGGAGTAATATTCAATCCGTTCCTTGATCATCTGGTAAGTAGTCATAAGCTTCATTCATGCCATGGCACTCACCAATCCATGCGTATAGTACACAGGCATTAAAGGTCAAGGGTCTTACCTGACCAAGCCCAATGCACAACCCCTTAAACTGCCTTTGTCTCAACCACCCAAGCCCCTCCCCTCTCTCAGTCAAGCATTGATTGGTACGACCTCTCTTTTCATCCTGCTCGAGCGTTATTCAAGCCAAACCACCCATAGCTGTTGAATGGGGATCGGATCGGACTCTAACCACGATCAACACGAAGTCAAACTCTTTCTCTCGACTGGCCGGAAACTCCGCCCAAGGAGTGATTGGCGGGAAAATGGCACATTCACTCAGATCAATGGGTAGCGCCGCCCTCAATTTTGCTATGGTTGCTCAAGGAGGATTAGATCTTTACTGGTAACATTCCTGCTTATCGAAAGGCCCCGGGGACTGATCATGAAGGCATCATCCAGGGAGATCGGGTGTTGGCCTTGGGATGTATGCGCGGGAATCGTCATAGCAGAAGAAGCAGGTGGTGTGGTTTCTGGCTCTCATTCTGCCTTCTTGCAATCGTCGAACGAGAATTTCGGTGCTGTAACGGAGGAACTCCTGACTGGGAGAAAGTACATTGTTGTCCGTGCTATTGGCGATACACCAGTACGTCTTTTGCTCTGATTTCTCACATATATTAAATATATCAAATACCTCTTCTAGGATGAAAACTGTTTAGATGCTCAGAAACGCATTATCAGAGAGTTCTACGCGACTGTCGAAGACGTAGAAGCAAACTAGATTTTGCATGCTGGCACTGCGGCGTGACTGCGCCATACAAATGACAAAGCAGAACTGGCCCATTCATCCTGCCCTTCACATCCTATTAAGCCGACTTGAGAATGTCATGCAATATTTCTAGTGGTATCAACTTGAACACCCTGTAACGCGTCGGAGTCAGAGCGCGCTCAAGTCACGTCAGGTGATCGGTTTGTTCATGCGTCACGCGGGCGTCGCGGCGACGTATCTGCGCGAGGGTATTCCGGAAGATGCACCACGAACAAGAACGCTTGGGCGTTCTAACCTTCCGGCCTGATCGCTTTCACACATTTCCTTATGTCTACACCTTGAGGAGTTAGAAGCGCGTGCAACAGTGGGGTTCGCCTTCTTAGCCGTTCTTCCCACATATGTTCTGTCGCTTCTCTTCTCATCGGTTACCCCACCAGGCTATTTACTACTGCACCGTGACCCAGAATCGCGCCTTGCACTCCAAATATATGCAGGAAGCATGTATTCCCGGACCGCTGACACGGACCGTCTCCCAGTTCTGCTATCATCTGATGCAGGACCACTTCCGTCTGAAAGTCGCCTTCTGTGGGTTAAAAGTGGGCATCGATTCTGAGAAGAGAAGCAAAACTCGGCTCCAACAGTCCTTTTCGCGGCTTTCCTAGCCTTCGTGAACGGTAAAGCTTCTATGGCGGGGAAAGCTATTCCGACGAATCGATATGCGATTCAACTCGCAATCTTCATTGCCTTTGGTAATGCTCTTGCATTTCGAGTATGTCTCTTGACGCTTATGAAGGCATTGTGCGACAGGTGGTGCGAATCATGCTCTCTGCTCGAGAAAGTAAAGGTGAGCAACTTTGCCAAACCGCTAATGCCTGTGCTCACAGCCTTTTTTGCTATACGCTAGGTTGCTCACACCGTACGAATGCGAATAGGATTTCTGTTCGGTTATGATATCGGTGTCATCTCAGTAAGTTGGACGCATGTCGACGAATTGTGAATCCTTTATCATCCTCTTAGGGATGCCTAATTATGCCGGACTTCATTCGTCGATTTGGAGAAGTCGGGGCAAACGGACAACCGTTCCTATCGAGTTCTCGTCAATCTATTATTACCTCCCTCTTGTCTGCTGGGTAAGTCTCTTTGCTATATCTTTAACAGCTAGCGTCGTTGACCGCTTCATAGAACCTTTGTGTATGTTCAATTGCGACATTCGCTACCCTGCTGGTCGCTCAAATGCTCGTAGAGGCGCTCTTGGCCAGGCTTTCACTTCAGACCGTTTCGGACGACGGGGCTCTATCCTCATCTGGAGTGCCATTTTCACCGTTGGAGTCGCGATCCAAACCGGCACCGAGTTCTCAATCGTCCAACTTACTATTGGAAGGTTCGTCGCGGGACTGGGAGTCGGAGCACTGTCAGGCACGTCCTTACATCCTCTAACTGTTGATAGTATGGACTTATTTCAGGGTCTTGTAGCCATCGTTCCGTGAGTCTGGACGAATGCGTTATTCCGCTAATGTTCAAGAGAATTTTCTCTAGTCTGTATAATGGTGAAACTGCCCCGAAGGCACTGCGTGGAACGATACTTGTCTTATATCAACTTCAAATTATCATTGGGTATGAGAATAGCGTCCGTGAGTATGGACTGGTGCTGAACAACCTTCAGTCTGTTTTTGAGCTATGTGCTGGATCTTGCGACCCACAAGATTGGCAATTCTGCCTCATGGCGTATTCCTGTTGGATTTCAACTATTACTAGGGTTGGTTCTTCTTTCAGGGATCTTTTTCCTGCCGGAATCCCCGTACGAGCCTCATTCATTTTCTTTGTCCGTCGATTGCTTATGCTTTGCTTTCATCAGGCGCCATCTTCTCGGAACGGATAGACGCGATGAAGCTCGCTCGGTCATTGCAAAGCTGAACGGGGTGCCCGAACAAGACACCTTGGTCGACGAGCTCGTTGAAGAACTCGAATTCGCTATTCAAGCGGAGAATGAAGGTGGAAAGGCGACCTGGGCAGAATGCTTCTCGACAAGGAACAACCTCTGGAAACGCACGATAAATGGCATGATGCTTCAATTCATCCAGCAATTGAACGGACAAAATTTCTATTGTGGGTCTGATTTCTTTGGTGATCCACGGGAAATTTATTGACATAGATATGTAGACTACTATGGCGACACCTTCTTCGAGAGCGCAGGTACCGAGTAAGGCATTTCCACCTGTTCGCGAAGCATGACCTGAGCCTCGTTTTCAGACTGAGCCCATATGTAATTCAAGTCATTCTTGGTGGCGTATCCGTCGTCGGCACTGTTCCAGCTCTGGTAAGATCCTTCATGAAATTAAGGAATGTTTCTCATCGAAAAACAGCATCTTATCGAATCATGGGGACGCCGTAAAGTGAGAGATTTACTAGAACTCTTGTTTTCGCGTCAGAATTAACACTATGATGATAGAGTCTCCTTACGGGTGCGCTCATGGAGGCTGGCTGTTCCATCATCGTGAGTCTTTGAATTGTGTTGGGGGCAATCGTTCATTTTCAATCCTCGATGTAGGCCGGCCTTGTTGGCCATTATACGTTGGCCCCCGCACACACGCCCAAGGCTTTGCTCACCAAGCGAAATCGAGCAGGAGGTGGGAAAAGGCCTCAATTCATCTGTCCAGGGCTGACGTGCTACTATAACTAGGCGACACCTTGATTGCATTTGCTGTCCTTCATGTCTTTTCCTTCTCCATTTTCTGGGGCCCAACTCCGTAAGGACGAAATGGCATCGCTCTCTCCATCGCTCTAACCTTTGTCTCAGATGGGTATATCTGGGAGAATCATTCCCGCTGAGAGTTCGCCCCAAGGGTATTGCGCTTGGAAGTGCCACCAATTGGTCTGCAAACTCTGACCGATTTATCCTACCTCTGCTTATTCCTTCTCATCCATCAGGTTCTGGAATTTCTTGCTCTCATTCTTCGCGCCTCGGATAGCCGCCAGGTAGTCAAAGTGCCTTCATGGTGTTTCCCGCAATGCTGATATTCCAAATAAGAATCGGACCACTCATTTTGTTAATCTTCTTTGGGATGCTCTTGTTCGGATACGTATATGTGTATCTTTTCATCCCTGAGACGAGGGGCCTGACGTTGGAAGAGGTATGTCTTTTTTCTGCTGTTCCAATACCTTTCTCTCAGCAAATTTCAGGTGGATGAAATGTATCGTGCTGGAATTAAACCTTGGCACTCCACTGATTGGAAGCCACACCTTGGAGAAGAGGCCCACCAACAAGCAGTCAAACACCTAGAGGCGCGATACGAGGAGAAAGCTCCGTCCCCCATTTCTCCCTGATTTTCTGTGACGCGAGGAAAGCTTGAATTTACAAGCAATGGGTCGGATACGAAATTTCTCTTCTCTGTTCTGTGTAAATTGTGTAAATTACATGATGAACAGCACCTTGATGATCTGTGCTTCAGCTAGAGGAAACAAGAGTCATCCTTCCTTCGCCGTCGTTGAAAGAGATCTCCAAAGCCCCGGCGTTATCAAAGAGCCCAGATGGCGCTCTTAACCCTCCTGCACCCTGCACCTTCTGTTCAATCACGAGGCGGGCTTTCGAAGCTGGGGCAGCGTTTGGCGCAACACTAGGCGACGTAGTCACAATGACGGACTGATCACGAGGGTCGATTTCGACGAGGGAGAAAACTCCAGAGTCCAACGTGAGCAAGGACCCATACGGTGCGACGAACACCCGACGGCGTACAGAATCCCGTATCTGCACGCGGACTGTCGGAGAGGTTGAGATGACGTTCCCGCCAAACGCCTGCCAGCCAAAGTCGGGGTGGTTGATGATATAGGTGCCCGTCCCCATGACGTGCCCTGAGAAGTTGGGGCCATAATCGCCAGAATATCCATCCCATTTCAAGGTATCGGCAAAGGAGTGGAAGGAGGCTGACCCAAACCCGCCCTGATCGATGTTCGACAGCGGGCCGCTGAGACCAGCATACCCGACGCGTAGGAGATAGTAGTCGGTTGGAGAAGATTCGAATTCTGATATCAGTGGCAGTGCGTTCAATCCACTGCCATAATGATGAATCTGTCGTTCAATACGCTGGAGTTTGCCACCATAGATGTTGTCCCTACGCAGAGGTTATCTGAATCATCACCCTGACGAGTGAACAAAAATAATCTGCATACCAGTAGCGTCTGGCATTGCCGTTGTATCCCCAGTGCTGAATCAAAGGCTGATACGCAAGAATAGAATTGAGCGCGTTTCTTGCAGTCGCTGAATTTCCGAAGTATTTGCTCCATGCGTACACGCCCTCTTGCCCTGTTGAGTCCCATGCCATCTCTGATCCAAATCTGGGAACATGTGAGCGGGGCGGAAGCAAAAAAAAACAGAGGAACAGTCTTACGGATAACGTTGGCCAGCCCAGATCGTTGCACGGCTCCTCATCCTGCTCTCAACCGCCGTTGCATTCGCGGTCAGGCCTTCCCGCTTTAGGTCGTTGAGGAGATACAAATACACTGTTTCGCCCATCAACCCAACATTTGCGTATCCTACTCTTCCATTGGTCATCGAAAGCACAGTGACAACGGCATGATTGAGGTACCACTGCCACGTTCGAGTCTTCACAAGAGTAGGATAGTTACGGGCGACACGATACAAGGCCCAGTACGCCGCAGTTACGTGGACGTAGTCATAGGCGCGGTCAATTGCGTACGAGGCTGCTTGATTCCAAGACCACCAATTTCCCCAATTTATCGACGTTGGATATGTATAACCAGGCACGAGAGCGGACTGGTAAAAGTAAACCGACTGTAGGGATAGTTAGCAACCTGGATGAAGAGTGTTTGCGATCTTGGACTACCTTTTTTACCGACCCTACGGCAATACCAAATGAGATGAAACGAGAATATGACATGGTTAGAACCCACCATCTGCGTTCTGGATGGATCCAAATAATGTCTGGGTAGCGAACTGCTCTAGTTTTGCGACTTCAGCAGCGTTGGGTTGGGCATATTGCTTCATCGCAGCGGCGAGCCATGAACCGGCACCAGCTTCGTCGCTCAACCCGGGGATCCATGCCCTTGCGTCGTTCAACACAACGGCGTTCACCTCGCGGTCGTAGCTGATTACGGAAGGCGATCGTTTGAAAGGATCGGTAGTCGAAGTGAACCACTGTGAGGTGGTGAGGAAGTTACCAAGGTCGCTGATTGTCTGCGCCGCCCCTTTGGTCAGGTAATAGTGGATTGTCTGAAGAGTGCCGTCGGTGTATATGATGGACAACCTAGCCCTTCCCCATGCATTTGCCGTGATGTCGTAGCCCTTCCACGAAGCCGTCTTTGCGTCGTTGTTGGCGGCCCAAGTCAATGCTCCTGAAGGCGATACCGAGATGGATTGGACAGCCGCGGAGTGTCCGAGGAAAAGTTTGGCAGTCTGGTCGGCTGAAACGATATAACCTGGAATACCAACCGAGATAGGTTTGCCGGCTGAGCGCACTGTCGACTCGAGTTCACGGATGGATGGGGCCAACCGAAATTGAACGCCGTAGGTGCGTATTTCTCCTGGCTGCAAGGTGACGGAAGTTGGTGCATTCCAAGGTGTGACTCTGGACCATTCATTTTGTGCGTAGGCCAAGGTGTGGAATTGCCATTCGTAGAGGCCTTCGAACGTTTGCGACTGGTAGAAAGGTGAGGCGGAGGTTGATTCCGGGAGGAAGCGCCAGCCTTCCAAAGGCGACTTCCCGACCGGTAGAACTACCAAAGGCGGGAGGGTGCCTAATAATGGAGTAACTTGGACATATCCTGCATCTTGGCCGATGTATGGGTCGAAAAGGCTGCAAAGCTCATTTGTCTGAGCTGCGGTCCGGTCGGAAAATATCTAAGAATATATAAGTTTATTTGAGACAGAAATGGATTTAATAAACTAACATTGTTGAACTCCAATGGTATGCCGAGGGCACCGATCTCGACAGCAACTGTTTGAGAATTCTTGACGGCGAAGAGAAGTTGGAGACGAGTATCTTGTACAACCCATTGACGAGTAATGTCGAGGAGAGAGTCAGACGGTAGGGTTGGGGCAAGATTGGCTGCCGCAAGAGTGGAACCTGATATCGATAACGCGGTGACCGGCCTTCGAGCAGCGGCAGTGTCTCCACTAATCCAGGTCGTAGTCCCGCTTCTGCGCGCACGGAAAGTAATATCGCCGAGGTGATAGTTTCCGTTGCCCTGGCGTTGGGTCATTTTGTCACTGGGAATGAAGTCGAACGCTGAGGAATTTCCGCGAGGTTTCAGGGAATAAAGTGTCTGCGAGTCTTTCACCAGTTGGACTGAGAAGTCGGATACGCTGAATAGCAGGAATCCATTCGCCAAGCCGAGGGTATTGCCTTGAGCAGCAGCATGCTGGGCGACACTTGCGAGGAGCAAGACCAACAGATTCGGTCTTCGATACGGAATCGTCAGGCAGTCGTCTCAAAAAGTACATTCGAAACTTACATCCTCAATGAAAGCATTGCGATGGTCTATGGCAGCAACCACTGAGCTTCAGAGGCAGCATACAATCCTTCAACTTATAGATCGCGAACATAGTACGCAAATCAACCCGGACCGTTGGGGAAAATAGGGGAAGGTCATGAGAGACCTTTGAGGACCCGAATCCGAAAGAGAGGTCCGGAGAGGGATAACGTGAAGCCTTTGCACATGGATACCCAGGCTTCGCGTCTCATGCTGGATATATGTTTAAAGAAGAAGAGTGACAAGGAGATGGGTACGGGGAGTCACAGTCGGCGTTGACATGGACAGAGTCAAGTATGTGTAGACGATCAGTTAAATGCGAGCAACCTAATTCCGAAGACGTGATGTCACGCGACTGTGACACGTCGAAGAACGCGTCGGCATGATCAACACAAGGCGATTTTTTCCTCTTTGCGGTATACTAGGTCTGCAATGGCTTCTTCATCCCAAACTCCGATTCCTCCCAACCCGACTCGATGGAAGCCCAATGTCGATCCTGCTTCCATCATCATTCCTGGCTTGGACACGACTGCTTCAGCGATAGATCAAATTGAGCAAATTGAACAGCTCATTACCATCAAGCTGCAGGTTCGAGGCTCCGAGGTCTTCTGATTTCTAGTGGTAACATCCTATTTGTATTCCGAACTAGAACATAGACGAGAACTTTTCAAGAATTCACAATGTTCTTGCAAACAAACTCCTACCTGCGGTGAAACGATATTCGGTGGGGACGGAACCCGTTAGAGAGGCGGCGAAGGTGTGTCTTACCGTGGTTCTCTTCATGTCAAAAAAAGGAACTTCGAGCATCCAGTTCTGGACATCGTTCTACGAACAAGCTGCACAAATACGAATACCAACATATGACGACTATTCGACAGTGAATGAAGTCCCTTCTGAACGGGATGAACACTCTACTCAAGAGCACACAAGCCATGAATCCCGAGACCAATTGACACCCTCACAAGCTGTATACGAACCTAGCGTCGTCACCAGCGAAACCTCATTTTTACCTGGCCAAGGTGCCATCTCCTCAACACCTGCCACGGCTCGGCTGGCCAGCGTACACGATAGTTTTGCTAGCCAGGCATCAGAGGAGCCGTCATGGTCTCGTTCTCTGGAATCCCCTCTGGTCCGCCTCAACCGAGAAATAAGCAATCTCAACCAGCCAGAAGAGAGTATGACGCCGTCTACATCTCAATCCGTTGACTCGTTGATAGATGAAGACGAATCAAACGTCACACTCCAGCAACATACAAGCCAAATCCCTCAGTCGAACAAAGGGAAGGGCAAGGAAACCCAGCCATTGCTCAAGAACCTTCTCCGGCACAATTTATATTCTGCAAGCGACTCCTCGTCTTTTGAAAGCAGCCTGAAGCCGGTCTCGCCTCTGAAGTTCCGAGGAAAACCCAAAACACCAACGATCAACAAGACGCTCAATCCATACCTCTCTTCAGCCGGGTCCTCCGTGAACTGGAGCGGGGTTGTCGATCTCCGCGATCCGTCTGTGCTTACACCACAGAAACATCGGCCAGGAAAACCAGGCCCTAGCAAGACGACAACACCACGCCCCGAAGAGGACACGGACGACGAGTCGTTCGATGGCCTACCTCCAGGCATGTCGCCGCCTGTGCTCATGTCCCCAGCGCGTCCTCCACGTTCCTCCGCCGAACTAGGGCTGCTCAAGCTAGGGCAAACGCCCTCGAAAGACTTCTCAGCGCGCATACAGCGCGACATCCTTCGAAGCGCACAGCGTCAGACCGCCCACCGAGTACCCCATGCTCATGACCATGCCCGGCGTGAGCCTAGCACGAGCATGAGCACGATAACGACCCCGCCGTCCCTCTCACGGTACAAGCGGCCAGGCGAGAACAGCACCACGAACAGCAGCGTGACGAAGGACGAGAGTCTGGAGAGCATGATCCGGCACATTCGCAGCGACATCCGCTCGGGCATCGGCGCAACACCGGGGGCTTCGACGACGCCTGGCTTGCGTCTACGCCCGCGCGCAGCGTTCACGAAGAGCGGTGCTGCACCGCCGCCCACACCGCCGTCGATACAGGCGAGGCCGATGGAGCAGCCGCATTTCCCGCCTCCTGCTGCGCGAAAGCCTGATCCGCCGTCGGAGCCGGCGACGCCGCTCTTTGAGCATGTTCAGCAGCATCAGCAATTGCAGGAGGACCTCGACTCGGACTCGGACTCAATGGACGAGATCAACAACACAGCGCATCCCTCTGCTGCCTTCCTCATGGCCTCGCAGAGGGCGACGTATGATGACGACTCGTTCGGTTCGTCCAACCACTCAAGCGACTCACTCGTGGACGAGGTCGTTGACCCCGGCGTCGTCCCGGTACATCCATTCGCCGCCGGGGAATCTGTGGAAGATGACGGTTTCGACGACGATTTATCCGATGACGGGCCAGGTGTCCGAGGCGCCTACCAGGAAGAGACGGTCTTTGGTGCGCCGCCTGCTCAGCGGGGCCAGGCGTCGCGTCAGAGTGATGGTCAGGGCTTGCGAATGCTGGGTGAGGATTTGTTGCAGGATACGATTGGGATCGGAGCGCAGATCGCCGCCAGCGGTCGCATTGAGGAGAGCCCGACGCCTGCTGCTTGGGCGCGTTAGATGTCGTTCAAGGACGCGCACATAGACTCATAATTGTATCATGTATAATCGTCTCTCTCATACACATAACCCGGAGCTATGCTACCTCTACTAATGGATTTGTTTCGATGATATTTTAGTCCTGGTCAGTAAGTCGGTAGCTTTGGACATAAAGAGCTGTGGGTAGAAATGGGAATAATGTCCATCATGCAGAGCTGTACTATGATTGTCCGAAGAAGCCGGCAAATAAAGATCTACCTACTGCCTATCACACCTTCTACTGAGCGCCCGCGCTGGAGAAGGGAGTGCGCATGGATGAAACCGCAAAGTCCCGAAAGCAAGAGGAAGAAAGAAAGAAGCTGCTATGATAGACCAAATAGGGCTCTTACTTTCTGGGGCAAGGTCATCTTACCATGTCCCCAAGGAACAGAGTGAATTGTTTTTGGGACATCCTTGAACATGCACGCCGATTCAGCTGGGAAAATAAAGTAGATGAGCCTCTGGAAGCCATGGAGACCATGAAAACAAGGAAACTCAATGAAGAGCCCATCTTTCCATGCATATGTGGACCAAAAGGAGTTGACGATCCACGAATACTTATTCATGGCAGATGGCGACGTAACGAGTAAGAGAGAGTAAGACAATACTCACCATACAGCACCGGTCCCACACCGTCTCCGTTGCTCGGAAAGAATACGCTAGCGCCAGCATCTCGTAGGAATTGTACACCGAGCCTGCTCGCCTCGCCCGCCCGGGCGATTTGTAACTGAGTCCTAACACCCTGTACGGAAAGGGTTACCGTCGCAGGTTCCTCATTCTTGTCACATTTTCGGGATGACGATAGCTGCGAACGTGGGTTAAGCTCCGGTATTTGAGATGGTGTATAACCCAGCGCAAGGAGTGTGTCGCGAGAGATAATGGAATATGGTAGGCCAGTGTCGAGTATGAAGTTGACCGCGACCGCCGTGGGCGTGTTATTCAATGGAGAGTTGTGGACGGGATTAGATCCCGCGTTCCGGGGTAAAGTTGCAGCGCGGGGATGGGACTCGGGCTGACGCATGCACACCATGTCGGAGTTTGGCCGCCTCTGGAGCGCTGACGCACTATCACCCCCTGGCATCGTATACGTCGAGGGTAGAGTGACGGCAGAGGCAGTCGCGAGCGGGTTCTGGGACATCTGTTGGTAGTATGGGTAAGACAATGATGGCTCGGTGAGGGCGGGAGGAGGGGGAAATGCGGAACTGTTTCGCCGTCGTCTTGCTGCGGTGGTATTTCCAGACCACCACGAGTGCTTTTCCTCGGGTTCGCGGTGACGGCGGACAACTAACCGCCACCCCATGAGACCCGACAGAGGTCCATACGGAATACGAACGCCTGCGCAGGGAATGGTCTCTATCTCGGTGGAATGTGGCTCGTTATCTGGACCAAGAGCCCTAGCGAGCTGTTCTGTCGTTGGGCGTGGTTGTTGTAGACTGGTGAAAGCGGAATCATCTAGTCTATCGTCGTCACCAGTGAGGTGTGGCTCGAAATGCCGCGGTTTGGAAGTGGGGATATGTTCAACGGCGTAAGGATCGTGAGTGTCCCATGCACCCTTCTTCGACTCGGAGGGCAGGTTTGGGAGGGATTTGCGTTCGAAAAAGTAGGGCTCTTTGCTAAGATAGCGAGGTGCTGAGCTCAGGAGGTTGAGGTCGGGAGAGTGGAGAGTAGTAGACTAATTTCCGGATCAGGAAACGGAAGCAAATTACCGCCAACACAAGCGGAACCAAAACGTAACCCGATGTCGAAAAGGTTTCCAAAGGTCGCTGCCAGTCCATTACATCGAAAATAATGGTACGTACCCATGACTGTCCTAAGACCGGAGAGTAACGCCTGGTGTAAGGTTGACAGTGCGCGCCTCTAACTTCTAAGATCCGCACGAGCGCTCTTCCACTGCATGAGTGACGCTTCCACGATTTGTTCGCATTGCATTATCCAAGAATGGAACCCCATTTTGAAATACTGGCTAAGCGCTCGTCGTACACGGTTGGCATCCACAGAGGCGCTGGCATGCGCTGTGCCCTTCCTAGATGGGGCTGACCGCTTAGTGCACACCGCAATCAAGGCGGTAGGAGGGCCCGTGAATCCAGCTACGATGCATTCGCGAGTACACACAGAATGTCACAGTGCAGGTTCCGAGTCGTCGCAGAACTCGCATACCACGAATATTCGATATTCTAGGACGATCGATGTCGAGCGATAGGCAAGCCTCGTGGACGTAGCCTTGCAGGATCCGTTTTTGCAAGAAAGTCAAAATGTATACTGTCATGAATATATGAGGATGACCTGGGGCCGGATAAAACCCGACGAGGCGAGCAATGGCAATAAGTCCTGTCTAGCAGGTATCTTGAACTTAGTTGTGCTTTCAAAATTACATTATTCCTAGCCAAGCTCCAGCATAATCCCATCGTGGGCATCTGGACAGCTGCAGGGGAGTGTCACAAGGGTGATAACTCACCCAGAGGAGGCCAAATACAGCCTACAGCCTGCATGCAACACGCATTGCAAGACTCAGGATACCCGGTGACGCCGGTAGGCGAAATTATAGTGACCCCTGAAACCACTTCTTCAGGCAAAGGCATAGCCTAGGATAATATTGCAATTCGGTATATATACATGAGGGTCGGCATACCTCGAATAAGGGCCAAACACGAAAGAGAGGCACATAAGCAATAATGGTTACAGAGGAGACATGTTTCGTTTGTATCTACATGTAATAGCAATAATGAATGAAGTATCTGAAGACTGCGGACTAGCTAGTATCATGGGATAACGTACATTAACAAGTGGATGATGATATACGAATGGACAATGCGGGGTACATAGAGAAAGACAGATGGATGTACACAAAAAAAGGAGAGGACGAATGCAGAAAAGCAAAATAAATTACTCGACTGATTATGCAAGTGCAGTGGGGAATGTTCTCCGAGATGGAGGAATATTGTAGGTCCGCTCCGCCCAGGCGGCGATTAATAAGAATATATTGCATCCGAAGGAGTGAATGGTTCAGTAGGGACCGGCGTGGGACTGCGTGTAAGGACTTGCGAATGAGGCCGCGGAGTAGGCCCGCGACGGGGGTCGAGAGGACGGTGCACTTGGAGGTAGCGGCATCTGGCCCATCCACGGTGCTACGTATGGCGAGGACGCATCCATACGAGGACTGGAGTAGAGGTAAGGGCTCTGATTGGATTGAGGGGACCCTATACTTCCGATGCTGATATACTTGCCACCAGGTACGACAGGAGGCGACCGATAGTATTGAGTCTGAATGAGCCCCATTGCCTCCATCATAGGCTTCATGGGGATGACAGGAGGAGCATCTGGTCTGTCGTTTTCGGAATCGTCAGAGTCTTGAGGAGTGTCCGTTGGCGAATGCCTGTAACCGATGCTATCGGCCCTTGCCAAAGGACCCATCCACGGCGAATGGCGGTCAGGAGGGAGGCTTCGAACGGAGGTCTGTCTCTCAAGTCTACCGGGGGGTTCATCGTTATGATCTTGTTCCGTCTAATGATGCCAGGTGGACTTACCCATGCCATGATGTCGTATCTCGGTCAAGTTTGTCCCCCAAGAAAACGATGAGAAACTCTGGTAGTTCCTCGTCCCGCGACGAACCGCCTTCTGGTTGTCTTGAGGAGTCGCGCCGACCCCCAAGCGAACTATGGCGGCCTGACCGGTTCTTTGAGCGAGAACTGGAACGGCTTGAACGCGAAGATTTGCTCGATTGTGTATCAGATGACCGAACGCTGGCTGAGGACCTCTTGAGCCGTTCATTGGTATTTTGATCGGGTCTGATGGGCAAAATGTAAGTTTTACTGTCTCTTCACAGAGATTCAATCGGGCTTGCTTACACCCTACGGACAGCCGGAACGGCATTTGAAGCTAGGAATCATCAGCCATGAAAGCCGTAAACCTTTGGCAGAAGAGCCTTACCTTGTTCAAATGTGACTGCCATCGCTTTCGCCAGCTTCTCAGGTTCAATTTTAGTGACATCTGGCCATGTTGAGCTCAATGATTCTAGACGACACTGACTCGCCTCACCGATATCAGAAATTCTATAAAAGAGATATAAGCTTATCGAAGAGTAGAATATGATTTGATCACCCACACAGACAACCTATCTGGGTTCGTGACCCGTAAAGGGACTAATGGGCGCTGTCAGAGCACATTCAAGGACGCCAGACGTGAAGCCAACCTCGATGACTAAATGGTACACCCCGGACCATGTTCAGAAGGGGAAGGGACATTACACTATCCGTAGCAGATCTAATTAAGGGGTTAGCACGGCCACGGCATCACAGTGCGCAAGGAAGCTACTCACACAGGAGGCTCGGGTAGGGAAGGGGTGAGCTCGTTCACTAGCACAGGCTAAGTATAACTCTTGGGTGCCATTGGAAAGACTGACCTTTCTGCGGCTCTTCTTCTGCGGCCGAAAGAGCGACTCCGGAAGGACGCGATCTGCTGGGTGGCGCAGTAGAGCGGGACTTCATGTCGAACTTTGGATGGAGGGGGGAAAGATTGTCATGTTTTCTTAAAGAGCTGGTTGGCAATGGTATTCAATGACCAGTTCCAGGAGAGACCATGGTAGACGTACGAAATTCGCTTGTAGTCGTCATCCAGCGCCCTTGCCAGTCTTCGAAACCCAGAGTCAAGGATTTCAACCTGTCGTTCATACTCTGTGGCGCAACATTAGACATCATTTCGGGAGAAGACAAGAACGAGAGCGCCAACCTTTCCCCTGACGCGCTTTCTAAACATACCAGAGATAACGAATGAGCGAACGTTATCCACCATGGCGATAGAAACGACTCACCCGCTGCCCGCGCCAGGTCATATAATAGTCCACACATTTGAACTCCCCTTCGTATACTGTAACTGCAAATACGATTGGAGAGGGCATTGTATTTGTGACATTGTCGTTATCGTTTCGTACGGAGTTTGCTTCCGTTTTAGAATAATTACTGTAGCGAGAGCGCCCACTCAGCTATTGTGGAGACGGGATGGAGCAAAACAACGATGGGCGCACTTAATGTATGTGGTATAGAATGTCCTGGCTTCAGAGTTGGTGAGGACCTTGAACTTCTTCGACGCTGCCTTCTTGAGGTAAATATGTGTGTCCCTGACCGCGATTTCCTCGAGGAACTCTGGCGCGCAGCGAGCGTGACGGACCCGGCTGCCCGCAACGAGCCGAAGTGCGTGGGTCTGCTCTGTGCGGGGGGTACCAGACGCTTGGCTGAGGGTGGACTGCTTGTCATCCTCCACCTCTTCGCGTCTCTCGAGAGGCCTGTTCTCTCGCTGGGAGCTGCGCGGGGATGTGTGCGAAGATCCTGCAGGCGACATTATGATGTAAGTAGGAAACGGGGAGCTGGAGTGGTGCAAACGAGGGTCGGCAGTCGATGAGGGGATCGGTTGGGTATCTAACCAAATCGATGGTGGTGGGTGGAGCGAAATAGACGCGAAAATGGGTGGAGGGAGGGGTCGGTGGCTCAGGGAGTACAAGAAACAGAGTGCTACAGATCCATCAAACTATCGCTCCCTATAAACGACCGAGATCACCCAACCTCCATTACCAAACTTCTTTCTCCTTTCAAACGGAACGTCAAGCCGCCGTTTGACATGCTGCACTCATGCCGCACAGCAAAGACCTTTCCATGCCTCATCATCGCGAGTGGCTTCGACACGAGGCAGACCATCGATTCACACCAGTGCATGATGTCCGATATATCATGGCAAGTAAATAAAGACAGGACGTGCGTCTACTATGGTGTTCCGCGGAGCATGCACCCCGCTTGAAACACTCTCAGATTATTCGCGCGGAGTTGATTAGGTGGGCGTATCATTCATTGTTCGTGGACGAACAATTACTGGCTTAAATCTGATGTAGCAGGTAGAAATCCGTGTGCGTTGGGTATCAGTGGCAAGGTATGCAGTTGTAGATATCGGCATCATGTTACACCTGAAAGACGGGTTAAGTCCAATATCGAACATCAAGTTCCGCCGTCACTCACAAGGCTTAGTTCAAGCGTCCAAACTCGGCGCGCCCATAGCTTCACTGTCATGGCTGGTTTGTCGTTAGCGGCTGGCAAATCGACATCCAGCCCATCCCACCAGCACTTCCGCTGAAAAAGACGTAAATTAAAAGACACAAAGAGGTCAGCCCTGACGTACCGCCGGTTTTCTCCAGAACAAGAGGAGCTTCTGCGCGGTGGCCATTTGTGTTGCGTCAATTTCCACTGGTTTCTCTCCATTTGGATGGTGTATGATGCCGGTTTTCAACAGAACAAGCGCTATCGACGATATACAACAACGCGACGGCTCCAGGGCCCGGAAACCCCATTCATCCTCACGGTCAAACCCACTGAACCATAATTAATACAGAAATAACAAAAAGAGGATAAAGCACACCTCATGCACAACATATCGATCAAATGCTGTTCGGCCACGTTGTTCTCTTTGTTCACGTTTCGTTGCAGTGCCGTGAAGATATTGCGTTTCTCGATGAGATAGTCGCCCGACCTGCGTTTGATGTCTAATAGATTATCATTCGCCATGCCGTTCTGATCTGTCGCTGCGTTGCTGTCGTTGGGAGGTATGGAGAAGTATTCTAGCTCTTCACGAAGGACAATAATAGCCTGTTTCGAGAGCAAAGGGTTTTGTGAAGTGGTATGGCCAAATTCATTAGAAGCCGAATCCAGAAGGTGTTGCTGAGCGGTAAGTAGCCCAGGGTTTGTTGTGGTCCCATAGAAGTTATCCGAAGCGTTGCGGAAGAACGTGAGAACGAATTGGAAGCAGTCAGGCTCGAACTGTCGAACAAAGAATGACTGTGAGCATTGCGTGTAGAAAGTGGACGTCGTTCACGAACATCAACACCATACACCTCCTCCTCATCGTCATCACCCCCTCCATCTGATAGAGCTACGCTTTGCCGACTTAGCACGAGGCCGTTGGGGAAGAGGCAAAGGAGAACGGATTCGGGAAGGTTCATGATCGTCTCGCGGTCAACCTCGAAGCGCCTGCCACGGAGGTCGAGGAACAGCCTCGTCAGCAGCTGAGGCTGCAGGTTGGTGTGCGCTGGGGTCTGCGACACCTGCGTTATTGGCGAATTGTTCATGTTGGCCATGGCTGCTGCAGGGGATGCGGAGAACGAGTGACACGGTCAGGTTGAGAACCCAAGGAAACGTGCCGCGCCATCACGCATTTCAACCAAACAAGGCCAAGGCTTGGCACTGCTTTCAGTGTCGTACAGTATGAAGGCTTGGGCTCAGAGATCTTTACACAGAAAGTAGGATACAGAACGCGTGTGTAGCGATAATCTTCCAACCTCGAAGGGTAACTAAATAGTCTCATGGGGAAAAAGAATGCAGTATATAAAATATGGATGATATGGTATAGCGGGCTGAGAAAATGGTCGTGACTGACATGATGTGGTGTTTCTGTTTCCCAAAAGATCCAAGAGGCTCGCAGAAACCCCCGCCAGAAGTCTACGGGCTACGTACAGAGATGCAAAGAAATACGAGGGTCCGATAAAAATGTCAAACGAAACACAAGCTGCAAAGAAACGTACTGCTGATGGAATATCTGTCCGTGTATGGAGGGGAAGGGAACTAATGATCATCATACATTGTTGCCGTAAGTGGGCTGCGGCGGGGCGGCACCAGGCGGTAGGGAGAAAGCTGCAGAATTTCGCGAGTAACGGTTTTGAGGAGGCGCTTGTGAAGTAGGACGTCTTCCGGTGGGTCTGGACACTCGACGGACGCCATCTGGTCCAGGGACTGGGCCACTGTCTGTTAGACGAACCCCTCTCGCACCACTATCGTATTCTGAGTTGGGGTTGAAAGGAGTCTGCTCGTCGTAGCTCGTAGGAGACTGTGTCTGTGAACGGAATGGGTTTTGAGGGTCCTGCGTCTGGGGGCTGCCTGCTTGCTGTCGGGAAAAGCGCGCGTCATAGGGCGACGTCGGTGAAAGAAGACGGTGTGCCGTGGATGCCGACTCAACAGTACTTTCACTATATGTATCGGCTGTCTGGGGGCTTGGAACCAGTCGTTGGTTAGAACCAGAAGCTGCATCCAAGGTGTAATTGTCCTCGCTTGATCGCGACAACGACGAAGACGACATTAACGGTCTGTTGACAGACAGAGGGGCTGGAAGCATGAGGAGCGCATTGCTGTCATGTCTCTGACGAGGGCTGCTATACGCTGTCGAATCCACCGTACTAGAGTCGAAGGCGGCCTGCTGATGGGTAAGATCAGAGTTCGACGCCGTTGAGTAGCGATTACTGTCGGTCCTGGAATTTGCATTAGTCTGGATAAGTACGTTCATTTGGGCGACTCACTTCTTCTCATAGTAAGCAGAGTCCCTCGACTGGGTACCGCTCTTCCACCGCCGGTCACGCTCGAACTCAGCCCAACGCTTCATGACGATATGCGATGAATCGAACTCTCCATCCTTGTCACCGTGATCTCCGCCTTTGTCACCGGCAACGACACGGGTCTGACCCCATGAGAAATCGTCAAAGTGCCAGAAAGCATACGCGGGCAAGATCCCGTTCCAGATGGGGAGCGAAATGAGATAAACCAACATCCATCCGATGTAGGCAACCTTTCGAGACGTAACAACAATCAGAATACCAGGAAGACCGAGGACGATGGCCAAAAGGATGAGAGGAATGGTAGTATCGGGACCACCGGGTATAATGGAGACGACGATGAGGTATATGGTGAAGGCAATGGCGGCTGGCAAGACCAAGGTACCCGCCAACTCCATACCGACAACGAACTGCATTGAGAAACAGAAGGTTCCGCAAAGGTCGCGAACGAGTAACAGCTCGGCCAAATTGTGGATAGTGGAATTGATCCACCGGCGACGTTGAGAAAGCAGCACGCGGAAGGTATCCGGAACGACAGTCTTGCAAACGGCTTGAGGACAGAACATGTTCTTGCGTTTGGGGAAGGTCTTCAACATGAGTGTTGTAAGGTAGCGATCTTCTCCGAGTAACAGCAGGTTCTTCTTGTGCAGCGTATCGACGACATTCTCCGAATAATGTTCGACGATGTCTGGGTTGGCCAGAATGGGAACCCAGTATCCGGTGTCGCCCTTGGGAGCCTTTATGCGATACATACTGAAACAGCCGGGCAAGCAAGTTACACCACCGAACATAGATTCGAACGCCTTCGTCATGTGGTGAGAAATGTAATACTCAAAGACTACATGCGAGATGTAAGTGAACACCTCGGGTTGAATGACAAACTACACATACCTTGCATCATCGTCACGAAAGTCTCGGCCTTATTTGCGATCTTCGTCTCTCCGCAAAGACCCATAATCTCCTCGTCATGAACCATACAGCTAACCATCCGCGTCAACGAATCTGGGAACACCTTCGTATCTGCATCCACACAGAGCACAAGCTCGTATCGATCCGGGCTTACTCCCGTGGCACGCCAGATAGAGTTGAAGAACTCGTACTCAAATGTCGTCATTCGCTCATCAAACATAACTTTCTGCAGGAAAGCCATGAGGACGATTTGACTGTCTCGCTTACCACGATTGCCAGGCTTAGGGTCGTTCGCCTCGAGGGGATTGCCGCACTTCGCCACCAAGACGATGGGAACACGTTGTTGCTTCGAGCGTTCCACGGTGGCATCATCGTAGTCGTAGAAGCCCGCGTAGACCTTGGCCATGTTGTGCCGCTTGTGACCGTCCGCGATAGCGACATAAGAATGGGGTTCGACGTCCTGCGGAGCGATGACAAACTCCTTCATCATCGTCAGACAAATCTCCGGTGTGGTCAGGTCGTTTCCAGCACCCTTGACCATTCCGTCAGCTATCACCAATATCAACTTGTGGCTGTTCGGATAATCGGTGGTGGCGAGTGAATCGAGGGTTGTTCGAAGACCTTCGACAGACTCGGAGTAGGCCGTGACCAGACAGATGGTATGGGCCAGTGGGAAATTGAAGGGTTCATAATCAATCGGTGGTTGAGGGACGACGTTATGCAGAGGGAATGGGCAAGGGTTGTCGACAAAATTACTCCGAGGCGTTTCTCCAGCCAACGACATCGTGCTTCGAGACTGCCTGTAGCTTGGAGAATCCGGTGGGGTTCCCTTCCCACCCTTAGCCGAGTACATAGTTGATCGCTTCCAGTTGGCTGTCGAAGAGGAGTCCAACACGCCGTATGCGGTGGTGGGCCGGGCTCCTGAACCCTTCAGGTTTTCCGCCGGCGTGAAACGTGAGTAACTGGGCAGGAATGTCTTGCGTTTCTGGTCCTTTGCCGTCCTGAGACCATGCTTGTTGACGTTGGGGCGCAGTTCGCTCGGCGCAGGGCGGTAAATGTCGTTCGTCCAGTTCTCAATCTCTTGCGAGCGTTGCATGCGCTGTTCGTATGTCTCTCGAGGGAAGTTTCCAAGTTTCCAGGAGAAGAACCATTGGAACATGACGGCCATGACGAAACGGATGGCGACGACTCCGATAATGAAAATGAGAGAAAGATAGAGCACAACGGTTGAGGCGACGCAACCAATGGTGTTGGTGTCGATGAAACCAATGCCGACAATATCTTGCAGACAGTGACCGAGCTGTTGTTGTTTCGTCCTCATGAAAAGCATCGTCAAGTCCTTGCCGTTGTACGTCCCATTGCGGGACTTCATCTCATCGAAAAGTGGGGGGTAGTTGACCTGCGCTCGACTAAGCCATGCCAAAAGATCGAGATCCAGGACGGAGCTGCAACGACGTTAGAAAGAATCAGAAGCCCTGCATATGTATGCAAACTTACGATTCATAGACAGCGAGATTACGGTTCGAACTCTTGACATCGTCCCAAGTATAATAAACCTGTCCCAGGATTTGAACTGTTTCCAATTGAGCACGAGCGTTGGCTGAAGTGTGGCAAGTCGTCGAAGCTTCGTAGTTGGTGATGTTGGCGCCCGTGTTTCCGTACTGACTGAAGATGTTGCAGGGGAAATACCAGTCGAGGAAGCTGCCACTGCCCGTGATACTGGAGCTAGAGGCTCTGGTGATCAAACCGAGGCAATTCTGGTTGACCTTCTGGAACAAGAACGAGGCGTCGTTACCAGCAAGGTTCCAGCCGCCGGTGAAGAGAGGGTTCGTCGTTCCATTGAACACGCTAGAGGTTCTGGGGTGGCGGAACTCGGTGAAGTTGTAGTCATATCCGTGGATCACAACTGAGCCATTCCCGATGAACTGATCGCCAATAGCACCACCGTGGAAGCGATTGGGAGGCTTCCCACAGACACTAATGGTGAACCCGAAGGTGAGAAAGCCGACGCCAGCCATGAGTATCAGGATGATGCCAACTAGGCCCATCTTTTCCCGCCATGCACGCTGCTGCTCAGGGCTCCGAATGCCTTCAAGGAATTAAGATTTCAGCGACCCACGAAAAGAAAGAGTAGAAAGCAACTTACCGCAGGATCTGAGCACAAATGAAGGGACCCATATCGTAAGGATGAGACAGTAAATCATCCATGGTCCACTGGGTCCAGGCCCATTCCAACATCCTCGATGTTTCTTGACTTCAGTAGGGGGCGGCGGGGCTGACACGGAAGGTTGACGTTTTCTCCGCAATGTGTGGCCACGCTTGAACAGGGCGAGGCCCGACTCGTGGACGTCTTCTTCTCTTGCGAGTAATGATCGTCCTCGGCGTAACTGAGGATAGTTTCCAGTAGCTGTATAGCGAGGGTGGAGTTTCAAGGTGTCAGTGAGTTCGATGGGATGTTAAAGAAAAAGGTGGCCATACATGACGGCATAACCCCTACGCGGGTGTTCCCCTCCTCCTCGAGCTGAGCAACATGGCTTCGATAGTGCCATTGCCTGTGGCCGGGATCTATCTTCTCGCGGTCTGGCCTGACAAGACTCTTCTTTCTTGACACGCGCGACGGGTCGAATTGCTCCGTATACTCTGCGTCGCCACCAGTGAGATGAGGTTGGTATGCGGAGGGCATTGTCCGCTGTCGGTTGGCATCGAGGGCGCCGTGCCTGTCGCCTTGCTCGATATCCCTGAAAGAGACGCCAGCCTTTGCGCTCTCGCTAGGTTGTATGGAGGGCCGCGTTGGAGGCTGCTGGCCAGGATAGGGCGGCGCAGGTGATCTAGACTGTGCGGCAGGCTGACCTGGGCGAGCTGAGCGGGGTGGCCGCTGGTCGCCCCTATGGTCCATGGGGGCGATGGGGTGGCTGAAGAGAAAGGCAAAGGAGCGAAATGAGTGGAAATAAGAGAGGAAAGGGCGGCGGACAGGCCCTTGGAAGGGGGACTGGGGGAGGTGGCTGTTGTCTGACAGTCAGGCTGGGAGAAACGAGGTCCCACTTGCCCGGCACCTGCCTAATTCGGCAGCCTCTCGCAAAACTCAAATTTGTTGGTTTCGTCTTTCGACATGACTTCGACCATCCTTGTTCCTTTTTACGACTGAAACTGCCACTGGTCGCTAGCCAAAATCCACTGTGAAGGGCTTTCAAATGGTAGTGGCACCAACGTCACTCCTTCAACCATCCGATGACGTGACGCCGGAACCCCTTTACGGCCCACCACCGGCTAGATATTCCACAGTTCACCGTTTGTATCCAGCATCCACAGGCCGGAGGAGTTTCTTGTGTCACGCCAGAGCAGCGTGTAGGACTACCTTCGCGACGACCCGGTCTGCAAGGTCGTTCACAAGTCTTCCTCGTGGCCGAGCTTGTCGATATTACCTTGGGCTCCGGACCTCCTCCTACTTCTTTCTCTTTTCGTCTATATGAACGCCAGAATAACGTCTGCTATGTAGCCGCGCGCGAACAGTTTCGTTGGTTTCTGCCAATCACTGGTTTCGTTTTGCACAGTTCGCCAACAAGCTATGCACCATGGCGCTGTGGCGTACCGACCGCGTACCTAAATTTCATTTTGATCCACCGTCTAGCCCTCGCCTCGGGACAAGCCAATCATGTTTTTTTTTGTCCGTCCGACGACAGCCGGCCTGTTTAGGCGGTGTCCAGCGCTCAGTAATCTCATACATAAGTAGTTGAGACGTGACATTCACCCTCCAGGCATCCCAAAGGCATCCCCGTTGCCCGGGAGATCTCAAGGTGGAGGGGGATGGAACGGTGTAGGATGAAGATCGAGCTGAAAGAAAGCAATTTTCAGTCATTCCTGTCCGTTCTGTGTTCGGATATGTTCGTACCAAGCTGACCTGTCAGTGCCATCTTGCTGAGTGTTACCTTTATCCTCCTCGGAAGTCGGATTTGGAGTTGCTTGGAAGAGCCCACGCCGTAGCTCTTGCCGCCTCAAATTTCGCTCTTGGCATGATCATGATGATGTCAGTACATATCTCCCCAGCTCCCAACTCGGGATTCAACATAAGGAGATGATACACGACCTGTGTAAACCCGCACTTCGAATCATCCTCGCAAAAGATGACTGATCACCAATCAAAAGATGACCAATTTGGACAGATATTCCTCCAAAGAGGGATCGATGGTCGAAACTTGAACATGAACCTTAGGCGTGTTCACTGTTGACAACTCGAGGGAAGTTCGCCGTCGACGTTCGTCATCCTGATTATTGATGGCCTCCCACCGGCGCGGGGGAAACGCATCACGTGAGCGATGGGAGGCAAATGAGCGCGTGGACGCGCCGATAATATTAGCAGACGTATGCCTGTAATGGGAGCTGCGTCAGATCCCACCAAATGATTCTTGACTCAGCAAGCTTTTCGGCCTAGTATTCCTCGGAGCATCGTTAATTCCTTTTCTTTCACCTCTCTGTCCACTGCACCTCTTTTCACCATGGCGTCCCCGGCGAAGACGAACAATATTATTACCACTCCTCCTATTGACACCGTTATCAAGCCAATATACGAGTATTCGGAAGAGCAGAAGTCGCAGATGGCCGAACTCCGCGAGGTATGCTCTTCCTTGTCATCTGTTGACCTATCTTTAATCCCAATGTTACTCTGATTTGCCTCTTAAAGTATGCGGACAGCCTCCTCCTTCCTACAACAGACCCATACTACCCATGGGAGCTGCGGTGGCTGAGAAAGCCGGACACCATCCCACGCTACATGCGTGCTGCAAAGTGGAGCCTTCCGGACGCGAAGAAACGCATACAGTCTACTCTTGAGTGGCGGAGGGAATATCAACCAGATCTTATTCCGCCGAATGAAGTTAGAATCGAAAGCGAAACTGGGAAGATGTGAGCAATATTTCTACCCCTACCATGCTAAGGAAAAGATTCTGAGGGTACTCCAGCCTGATCAATGGCTTCGACAAGGATGGTCGACCGATTATTTACATGCGGCCCGGACGAGAGAATACTGAAACGAGCCCGCGGCAACTGCGTCATTTGGTCTGGTGCTTGTAAGCTGGCCTGGTAAACATGTCTGTTGAGTCTTGCAGTCATAACGAGAATTTTCAGGGAGCGAGCAAAAGATCTCATGCCTCCAGGTCAAGAGTCTCTGGTCATCATTGTTGACTACAAGTCCACGACATTGCGAACCAACCCTTCAATTTCTATAGCAAGGAAGGTGTTACATATTCTTCAACAACACTATGTCGAGACCCTTGGCCGCGCCATTGTTGTCAACCTTCCTATGCTCCTCAACTTCTTCTACAAGTGTATCTCGCCCTTCCTCGATCCCGTCACAAGAGACAAGGTTCGTCTTCTGGTGCTGAGTCACGAAACCCAACTGAAATATTGAACATAAACCCTTGCAGATGCGCTTTAACCCCGACCTTTTTGAGCTCATCCCTGCCTCTCAGCTCGACGCAGACTTCGGGGGCGACTACCACTACGAGTTTGAGGCGACAATTTATTGGGACCAAATTGTGGCGTATGTCGTTCTTTTTTTCCTTTTTCAGACAATCATAATTGACAACCTGACATCACCGTCCCTGCCCTTATTCATTTTCCCTCCTAATTCCATTTTCACCTTGGTTGCGCCTTCCTTTCCAAATTTAACATACGCAGCGCGTGTGGTATCAAAGAAGACGGCACCCACGTGGGCTATCCCCCGACGGATGGAAGCGCGGAGAAAGCACTTGCTCAGACCGACAACACAGCCTCAGCTCCACTGCAGACGTCACCTATGAGCGAGAAGACACGAGTTGGCGTTTCTGCACTTTCTGTCGAATCGGACAGCTTGAAGGTGCAGATTCCAGTTTGATGCATGAACAATTCTCGTAAATTAGACTTGTATCCTCCTCGTATTCGTCCCTCTGTATCCGCTAGCTCGTGCTGTTGTTGTTGTATTTAGCGAAAGTTACTCGCAATGTCCGTATGTATTGTCTTCACTCAAATCACGAATGAACGAGCGATATGAAGCTGGTACTATTCGATGTTAGAAGGATCCCTTTCTGTTCAAGTGCTAGCTACAGGGGTTAACATATGTACGTCTAACAGAAAACAAGGTTGAGAGCCATAGAACGAAAAGCGTTCAAGGCGTGGATATGCGGGGGGTAATACTGACACTGGTGGTACAGGAAGGGTCAATGAATGGTGGGGAATGATGATGAATGTGCGGGTAAAAATTAGATGTCCAGATGCTGGATGCGGATAGATAGAGACAATTAAACGAGTGTGCATAAAAACCACGATTCAAAAAAAAAAAAAAAAAGTGAAAGAGTCTTGCGGGAGGGTGTCCGATATGTGGGACATCGCCAAGCCACGACCGTTATATACCCAGAAGAGAAACCAACGGGTCCACGAATGAAGGTTAAAAACCGGAATAACAAGTTAATCTAAAGAGAAAGGAAGGAAGAGTCTAGATGCCCGCTCTCCAACTTGACGGTGGAGGAGCTTTGCGAATAGCACCAGCGCTACAAGCTGGGCTGGCAGTAGGTTGACTGGTCGTTCTTGACCGTGGTGCACCTCGACCATCAGGACTGTTACGCCCGTTCTGATTCTGGGAAGCGGGTATTGGAGGCACAGGCGGGAAGAAACCAGAATCACGTCCGTTCGGTCGCGCTCGTGCAGACGCCGGTGCCTTGCGCGCATACACGTCTGGTCCGAACGACTCTCCATACGAGCTCCTCGCCGAGCTAAAGTTCGCCGCACTAGCACGCGCACCTCCGTACTCACTCCTCGAGCTGCTCATCATCCCTGCACCCGGGCTGAGCGTGCTGCCACCGTAAATCGACCGCGCGGGCCCACCGTACATCGATGCAGAGCTCGGCCACCCGCCACCGCCACCGCCGCCCTGCATCATGTTCATCATGCCAAATTGCGGCGTCATCATCGACGGGCCTGAAGAACCACCATAGACGCTGCCTCCACCTCCAAATCCTCCAATCGCGGACCCGCGTTCCCACTCGTCGCCCGCGGCTGCCATGGCCTGCTGCGCAACGGCCATCTGGTATGCCTGTTTCGCGATCATCATCGCCTGCTGGTGGGCCGCGAAGAAGCTTGGATCTGCCGGCGGCGGAACCATGAACTGCGCAGGCGAGAGCATCTGCTGGCTCATGTTGGCATTCCACATGCTCGGAGAGGTGCCGAATCCCATAGGCATGGACATGGAGTTGCCCATGGCCATCATTGGGTTCACGGCTGACATGCGCGTACTCATGGCCTGGTTGATTGGCATGTCGTCGTCGTCGTCGCTGACAATTGGACCGGGGCCGTTGACGATGTTTCCGAGCTGTAAATTCCATCCGTTAGCCATGGCTCCGAACCATTTGACAGGAAATAAAAATACCTCAATAGCGGCCTTCGCTTCGCTGCGACGTCGCTCTCGTCTCCGTACCTCACGATCGTCCTCAGTGCCAGAGCTATTTCCATCCATACTGCCTCGTGCCCCCTCCCTAAAGTGGTTCCTATTTGGCGGCTTCAGATCTTCAGGATCGTCCTCAAAGCTAACACTTCTCCTCTTGACATGCCGCTTATTCCCCAGACCACTCGCACCCCCGCTCCACTCGTCGCGTTTCTTCTCCTTGGCCTCTTCTTGCGTGCCGACGTCGCTGCCGTCGCGCGGTGTGAAGGGTGCCCGCCCACTACTGGAGTCCCCGGTGGAGCTAGCAGGGCTATTCCGTCGAATGGCGAACGGTTTCTCAGGGATGTGGGACGCCGATCTCGGGGCCATCTGCGATGACAAAGGTATTCCTGTCAGCATCGTAGAGCTACGCTGCCGTGTGCCAGGACCGGGACCAGGCCGAAGCGTTGACCGTTCACTAGGAGAGGTATCGCCATTCGTGCTACTGGACTTGCTGGTAGGTTTGCCGGCTGCAGGAGCTGGAGAAGAGCTCGTCGTTGATGTCGAATCGCGCATGAAACCTTTAGAAGAACCAACAGCCGGAGAAGGCGTAGTTGCATTCAACGTCGTGCTTCGAGGTCGTGGAGTGATGAAGCTAGGCGAAGATTTCGTCTCCGGCTCCTGTGTCGACTTCTTTTTGTCTGGGCTTTCCTTACGAGGGAAGGCCGGCCTGGAAGTGACACTGAAAGCAGGAGGCGGCGCGCGCTGCTTGATAGGAATAGGCGCAATCCTGTCCTTGCCCGAGCCCTTGTCCTTCTCATAATAATGATCATCGTCACTGCTCTCGCTCTCTGAAGACTCGTCCGGCGGCTCGCCATTTCGCGATATGAACTTGACAGCAGAACCAAGCAGTTCAGCCAGGTCTTCGTCTGGGGGGCTAGGGTCCTTGTCCGTAGATGTAGGAGGTGGGTTGGGACTCAGAGACGGCCGACGCGTTTCGTTTCGCGGAAGGTCGCTCCATTGCTTTCGCGAGCTATCCGACGTATCACCTGAAATAGAACTAACACCGCGAGAGGTCGATGCCTGCGACTGCGGTGAGGCGGGCGTCTGTAACTGTAAAGCAGCAGTGTTTGGAGTCGGCGGTTGAATGGTGAGTTTGACGACTCGCGACAAACGATCAGTAAGCAAATCCCGATGTTGCTCTGGACTTGTGTCTCTCCGCAGTGTAGGGGGTTTAGGTTGCGACTCCAGTGAACGCGTGTCCGATTCCGGTGACAATGAATACTGTTTAGGCCCTGGAGTGGGCGAACCTGGAGGCGACACAAACTTGACTGGAGGTACTGTTCGCGTCAAAGGCTCGTGATGCGCCGACGTTGGACTCTCAACAAGCGGAGAAGAGGAGTAAGTTGGTTGGTTATCGTTGAGCAGAGTGTGGCCTCCCGTGAAGCCAGCTGTGCTTTTTGTCGGTAATGAGGGTTTGCGACCAGTCAGTTCGTTGATATCAATAAGTGGCTTAGGATGCGTTGATCGCGTCGTGACATTTCCGGTAGAGCGCGAATGGATACTGGAGTACGAAGACATGGCGCTTCCTGGTCGTCTCGGAGCCACAAGCGTTGCCAGAGGAGCGTCATCTTCTGAGTCGGAATCGTCCGCGACTTTGCTACTTCGCTGAACAGGAGGCGGCGGAGCCTGTGCGGTTGACTGTCTGGAAGGAGGATTATTGCCCAACGGCACTCTGTCTGGGCTCGCTGGGCACAATAACACTACATTTAGAGGAAGCCGAATGGAAGCAAGACAAGTTAGACTGACCATTTGCATTCGAAGCCACGAGGGCACTGGCTCGTTGCGCGGCCGCAGAAGGCGTCAGTGCTGATGTTGACACACTTGCGCGATTCCTCAAAACTCCATAGTGACTGAGACTAGACTGCGAACGCGGAGGAATTTCTTCCTGCTTCGCGCTCTGCGGAACTTCACTTCGCGACGGAGCCATGGAATGCCCGAGGTGTGATTGAGGGGCGCGTTGAGGAACTGGAACATCGTTTCGCCTGAATGTGCTCGAAGATGCGCCACCTCCATGGCCAGCCTCCGACTTGGCGCGTGCCTTTCCCGGACGACTGAATCTGTCGAGCTGAGAGGCCCTGTTGCCTGACCTCATTGTTTCGTCGTCCGAATCTTCCTCTCCCGATGTTTCTGCCTCCGATTCCGAGGTTGTTCCCACTGCTAAACTCGACCTCCTTCTCTGCTGCACGCCGGCTTTGGGCATAGATGGTGTCGAACGGGAAGGCCTTGGGCTGCTGCGTCCAACACGGTCTTCGGGGGTCATTGACCGAGCAGGGGCGCCTCGTGCAGGACTTGGATCACGGAAAGACGGGGACGGAGAACCTGCCATGCTCCGTCTGGCTTGAGCTTCACGAAAGGCGGCGACAGATATCCGCTGAGAGGCATCGGAGTTGATACTTGTCCCACGTGGGCGAGGTATTGGGGCAGCCAGGGAGGCATTGGACCCATTTGTCGAACGTGTCGGTGAAGGTGGCCGGATATGGCGGAAGGACTTGAGGTTGAAGGACCCGTTGTCTGCATTGTCCGGGGAGTCTAGAACGTGCGGAAGTGACTTTGAAGGGGAAGTTGGAGGTAGGGAAGTAGCTGAGGAAGATGATTTTGTCCAGGGGAATAAGGATGGTCTTTTGTGCGGTTGAGCCGAGGGTGGTGAAGGAGTTGTATTGGGTGTTGTCGGAGAAGTTTCATTGGGTAAAGAACGTGTGGAAAGAGCGCTGTTTGGGTCGCCATAGGCGGCAAATATTGCAGATCTGGAGGGTGGGGGTCGAAGACGTCGCAGATCAGGTGGGTCCGTGTCCGACAGCACACCCGGGGTGGCATGAGTTGGGTATATTGGCTGGCGGGTAGAGCTGTAGCCATCTGAGCTCAAATCAGGTGAAGTTGTGGTGTTGGAGTCGGAACCTGACATATTTGATTTTTTGCGACCGAATAGTCGTAGTTTGCCGCCACCTGCGTGCGGAGGCGACGGTACGGGGGGCAAGGGAGGAGAGTACCCGTTGTAAGAATGAGGTTGGCGAGCAGAATCTGGGTGAAGGAGGGTCCGGCCGTTCGGATGGGAAGGGAGAGAGCGATCAGGGGTACTGTAGGAGGAAGCAGTTGGGGAGGAGAGGGAGGACTCTAGGTCCTCAGAGTTGCTTCGGAGGCTTTGGGGAGCATTGTCGTCTCGCTTTGAGCGGGGGGAGGACTTGTGCTTGCGGGAGAAGAGGCCACCGAGGAGCGTCATTGAGCGCGACGATGGCGAATGAGTTTCTCGATCCCTGAGAGGTGGTGGTGTGGGTCAAGGAGAGCGTAGCAGTGACCTGTGCTGCCGCGATAGGGAATATGAAGGAGATGGGGAAAGAGGGACACGCGCCGCAGCGAGACCTCTGAGGATGGGAAGAGAGAGGTCGGCGGGACGGAGGGAACGAGCTGGTCGGTGAGAGAAAAGGCTGGCGGCGACAAGCGAGACGGCAGCCTGGCCTCTCTTGGCACTGTTTGCGGCTGTTGGTCCCTCTCTTGCGCAAGATCTCCACCACATCACCATAGCATCCGCCCTGTCTGTGCATTCCACCTCTCAGTGGCGTCGACAACCTCTGCCTTGCTGCTTGCCTTCTCTGTGCTCACTGCCCTACGCACTCAGCGACATTAACCGCGACGCTGGCGACTGACCTGCCGCGGGCCGAGAGACAGTTCACATCAATTGATGGTATTATTTGAAGTTAGCGATGACATCACCGACGGACGCACTACCTCCATGTGGGGAGCACCAGTCAGCGCTGCCAACTTCTCGCCATGTTGCGTCCGCGAGTGGGCAGATCTATGTATACTCCCTTCCTGCTATCCTCTAGGCTCGCCCGGCCTATTCTCCGATCCTCAACGCACTCCGATCCTCTCGATCTACCCGGAACTGCAACTCGACTCTTCAATCCGGTACTCCGGTCAGACCATCAGCTTCGTACACCTCAACAGCCTCCCATCGGGCGGCATGTTAGCCTTCCAGGTGCTGTGCTCCTATGTGTCTCCGAAGACTCGTACTTGGTTTGTTTAGGTACTGGATCACCGCCGCGTTCTTGCCACGCTTGACCCCAATCAGCCAATACCCCAGATCCATAAAGTACACTACTATGAGCTCTATAACTTACAAGAAGACTGAACAGGATCTAATCGCGGAGATTCATCAACGCGAATCCCGTCGAAGAGAGCACCTGAGCACCACGCAAAAGAGAACAGCAGTCACCGTAATCCCTTCGCCGACAGTAGGATCAGTCCCCCTTTCACGTCCCAAACGAAAGAAGCTGAAGCTTACCTTCAACGACCGACGGACCTCCCTCACCCTCTTTGTATACTGCACTGCCTTTCGGATATCCTTGTACATGAAAAGCGGAATAAGGGCTGCCATGACGGGAAGCGAGATTTTCCAAAAGCTGTTTCCCCGTTGGGTTAGCGAGATGAACAACAAAAATTAAAAAGACATGCAATAAATCGGAATTGTGGTCAACGGCCCAGAAAGGCGTGAAGTTCATTCCCTATCGTCCGATCATACTTCAGCTATTGAAAAATTGCGATAGCAAAAAAGAACGCACAAAATATCCCGTCAGCAGCGTCAAAGGCAAGAAGATGATCGTGACAAGTGTCAAGCGGCTCCTGTAGACGTCCGACATCCGTTCATCAGCGAGTATCTCTCAGACGTCAAGATAGCACATACATAACCATATTCATGTCATATGACGCCACCTGGCGGGAAGATAGGCTTTCAGGATACTCTAGAGTGCTAGTAATGATGGGTCTAACTCACGTTGAACGCGTAGTTGATCAGATTCTCAGAGATACCCGCGAACATGTCCAAGCTGTCCAGGGCAAAGTCCATGTGGTCGTACACGTCTGCCTGTACATGTGTATAGAGCTTCGATCAGTAGCTGTGCAATGCAGCTTATCGAAAGGCGAGACGTACTAGGTAGACCTTCGCCTTGAAGCTGAAGAAACCCTCGATCTTCTGAGCGGTAGGACTAGTAGGCGACTTCGGTTTTCGTCGATTTTTATTCGACGTCTTGCGCCTCAGCTTCTCGCCCTCAGTCGGCGATTTCGTCTCAGGCGCCTGAATCTCAACGCACACCCCACCCTGCTCCTTCTGTCGCCTCCCCCTTTCTCTCTGCCTCTTCCTCTTCGCCTTCGACTTCTTGTCCTTCCCCTCTGCCTTCTTTCTCTCCTCCCGCCCTTCATCATTGTCGGGCGCCACAGTATCGCTAATACTCGACTCGGTGTCGCTGTCCGACGGCGCGTACTGGTAGTCCCGGGCCATGTTGTCGGCGAGGGCGACGCATCTGTCTAGGTCGTACCGCCGCAGACCGAATATCATCGTTTTGATGGGATCGAGGGTTCGTTTGTGTAGGATGAGGTCGCCTGAGAGGATATGGACTGGAAGACACGAAAACGGTTTTAGAAATTTAGGTAGAAACATAAAGGTGTCCAGTTGAGGGGCTCACGGTTGCGAACGGTGGCCATGTCAGGGTTGAGCAAAATGTCATGTTCGAGCTTGTTGATCTTGACCTGGTATTCGTCCACCATCTCGAGGATGCGATCGACAACTAAAAGAGGACATCAGTTTCAAAAATATTTTCTGCGAACAAAAAGGATGTACCAAGGTCCAACAAACTCTCAACCAGTAGAGACGCGTCCTCTGAAGTTCGAAGGATAGAATCTGGACGGTGTAAACGTTCGGTAATCGGTGCTGTATACGCCAGACTTGGAGAAGGTTGCATCGAGATGACAGTCCCTTCATCACAAAGAATGAATTAGTCGAACTTTCCAGTCAATGGGGCACACATACCGTCGTGCAGAAGGAAGATGAACATGGGCTCATTCTTGACCATAACGCGGTCACCTTTCTTCAAGGCCCTGAGTTCCAGAAGCTGTTTTTGTCTCGCCTTTAAACAATAATGAGCTTGACACGAAAGGAAGGATGAACGCTGGGACGTACAGGACCTGAGAATCCACTCAAGGCAGACAGTCTCTTCTTGAGAGAGGAAGAAAGAAATGATTTCCGAGGTTCGTTTCCTGGTGCGGCGTCTTTCCCCTTCATTGCTTGTGGGTCTTCTCCATTGGTCAAGTTATCTGCATACATTTCAGTTAGAACAGGCCATTTCCCCCGATCACAGCAGCCTGACTGACCAGGAGGTACATCAGGTCCGCCTTCCAGGTCCAGGTGCCTGACGCTTGCAGCTTTGGCTGGTTCGGGGGGTATCTCGCCGTCGGATAGAGCTGTCTTCGACGGATCGGGAGACATGTTCAGCGGCGATGAACTTGGAGATGCAGATTCGTCGTCGAGGTCGACTGTATGGCATAGTATTCGGAGAAAGAGGTGTCCGGGATAGTAGTCGACTTTTGAATGATTGTGACCTCGTTCGTGAAGGATGTCTTCAAGAGCAAGAGAATGCAAGTCTGCGACTATGTCAGCAAACATAATGACTTAGAGAATGTCAAGGAAACTTACTGTATTTGAGAGCAACCGCACTCAGGACACTCCAGTCAATACCACCAATATTAATCCAGCGCACCATACGCGGTGGTAGGCCATCATCACCAAAGACGTCTTGCTTCTTCTCACTCAACAATTGGATAAGACCAGCATTTGTGACCCTTTGAAAAGTAGCTTCATCGGAGTCATAGTCGATGACATCAATCACGCAGTCCTGCTTGAAATGACTATACTCCGCGATAGACAGCCCGCTCCTCGGGTTGACGCCGGGCTCCGCCCCGGCGTGCTCGTCAAAGTCATGGTGGTGTGCCCGCCCACTGCGTCTCGCGAGCTCGTGGTTCGACATGTGCTCCCGATGGCGAGGCTTGCCACTTCCAGGATAAGGATAAGGGTACCCGTCTGAATTTTCAATGTGTTGACCAGGCATGAGAGTGTTCGTGCCGTAGGTGGGCACGTAGTACACGGAGGACTGGAGGGGGGAGAAAGGATCAGTGCTGGTGCTTGCGCGAGATTGCCCTGCGAAATGGTACCCGCTTATATGGCTGCGGTTTGGGCGGACGACGTGCGTGCCTCGATGCATTACATTGGATGTTTAGAGGCGATCTAAGGATAGGCGGCGATTGTGGAGGTCGAAGCCTTCATTGAAGTCAGGAGCAATGTGACAAGTTCTTCCGAGGTGGTTCATGGCTTTATCTCCGGCCCGTGGGTCCGCCACGTACTCATCCACGACCACCTCGAGCATCCCTTAGCCATGTCCATTACACACATTATCTCCCTTTCTCAGCTCAACGGAATACTTTCCAAGGACAAGGGAAAGCTTTCGGTTAGTCTTGTGTCAAGTTATATTCAGCCCACTCGACTTGACGCACTACGCAGGTCATCGACTTCCACGCAACCTGGTCAGGTTCCATGCATTGTCCTTGCTTGCTGCAGTCCTGACTAGTAGAAGTCCAGGTGTGGACCCTGCCATGCCATAGCTCCGGTGTATGAGTCTCTCGCGAAGCAGTACCCGAACGTCAATTTCCTCAAATGCGACGTGGATGCTGCAAGTGAAGTCGCCAAGCAGTATTCCGTCTCTGCTATGTATACCTCCAGGACTATTTCCGTCCAAACGTGTCATCTCATGGACATCATAGGCCAACGTTCGTCTTCCTGAAGGGCTCTACCAAAGTCGATCAAGTCCGAGGAGCTAACAGGGCGTACGTGTTGTCCGTTATGATGACTTCTGGTATTAATGACCACACACAGAGCCCTGGAGGCCACCCTCAAATCGCATGCTGTGGCCTCGAAGGGAAGTGCATTCACGGGCCGGGGTCAGACTTTGGGTGGTGCTCCAGCAACCCCAGACGTTGTTGCAGAAGCACAAGGAGCACTCAACGGCATAACCGGTCAATTCAACCAACTCGATCCCCAGCTCAAGGTTATGTTAGGTCTACTGGCGCTATACTTCGTGTTCTGGTTCTTTGGTTAAAGCACGTAGGTACTGCGCTTATTTATTTCCTGTACAAAAAGCAATTTACATCATATTCGTCGAAACTACATATTTTTTTATCATGTATATCAGCAGAGTTGTTCAACAAGTAGAAGGGGCATAGTCAGTTTGCGAGATGGTGTCAGAGAGAGTACGAGAGCGAGAGGAAACATGCACCTGGCTGTATATCATATACAGGCAAAGGATGCAAGATCGACCATGGCAGAGGGCTCTAGGAGGTCAATCATGACTAAGTAGGTCCCCATCCCATCGCCGCCCATGCCTTCCTAGCTGCCTCCTCCTTGGCGATCTTCTGACTCTTCCCCTGGCCGCGGCCTCTTTCTTGGCCATTCACTGTCATAAACGATGAGCATTGCGCAAAATGTTTGTTCTCCAGCACTTACTGCAGCACTTGACAGACCATGTGGGTTGGTGCGGGGGACCAGCTTGCTCCGCAGGGTAGGACACTTGGATTCCCCTTTGCGCGGCTGTCTGGTTAACGAGGGCAAGTGTAACTAAGGAATAAGCGCTAGACATAGTCGGTGGAGACGTGGGTAAAGGAGGGGGAGAACCCGGAGGGGCCGGAGGGGGGCCACCAAATGAACCCATGGAGGGCGATGCATGCATACTAGGCGGAGATTGAGTCATCGAGTGGGGGGAGTAGTTCTGAGTCGGTGAGAAAGCGTTAAACATGTGGGGGGAATTGGTCTGCGGCGGGGTATAGTAGCTCATGGTTACATCG